GACATATACCTGGACGATGGGAGATGTGCTGGAGACCTCAGTGAATATCGGCAGTGAGCATCCATGAAAATGGGGCTGTTCATCGTTCACCTTGCTCCCCAAGATTCATCGCAGCGCTAACACACGCCAGATGGCTGAAGGCTTGTGGGGTGTTGCCCATCTGCTCCCCTGATATGGCCACTTCTTCTGAAAACATGCCCAAATGATTTGCAAAAGAGAGCATGTTGTCAAAGTGCGCAACCGCCGTCTTACGCAGTTGAGGGTAGAATGGATCGTCTATCTGATAGGGCATTGCTTTTGAGGCCTGTATACCGCGTCAATGGTTTGTTTCTCCGAGGGATACGAAGACCTACACGCATCATTGCTTCGACTAGCCAAAAAGTCACCATGACAAAGGCGCCCTCGCCGCCACCAACTCCTGGTTTGGAGTCAGTAGGGAACCTAGTCTCGTGGGAGTCGAACATACCATCATCCACCTTTGTGTGATCATACCGCGATACCATGTTGGCAACTGATAACCCCCCTTTGGCCGGGGAACACATAATCTTCTTTAGAGTGTTCAGGAATCTGGGATCATTGGGAGCGACGAAGAATACCAGCGGTCCAATCAAAACAGCCGCATCCAGCACATCCTGATTCTCATAGCTCATGCAAAAATACTTGTCCTTGAGGTTGTAGCCTTTCGTCATGATCTCATCGTAAAGCTCATCACGCGCCCGCCTCCACTCCTCCACATCAGGACACGGTAGATTGGATCGCTTCTCCGATAGACGTATTGCTCTGTCCAGCGCAACCCAGAGCATAATCTTGCTGTAGACAAAATTCTGCATCTTCCCTCGGACCTCCCAGAGCGATCGATCGGGCTCGTTTCGGACTCTAATTACATGCGCGATCATGCGCCGAATGGCGACCCACTGCTCATAGGAGATAGGTCGTCCGTGCTTGTTGTAGAGATAGACACTGTCCATAAGCTCACCATATATATCCAACTGTATATGCTGTGCAGCTGCGTTTCCGATACGCACAGGCTTACTGCCCTTATATCCCTCTAGATGATCCAGTTCACTTTCCGGAATTTCGCTCTCACCATGAATCGTCACCATGATGGGTAGGAATGGGGCATCCGCTATGCATTCGTTATCCCTCACTGGAGGGAAGACGCGGTCAAAGATGAAGTTGATGTACGCTTCGGCTTCCATGGGGTAGCCGTTCTTGAGAAACACGTACACGACAAAAGCGGCATCACGGAGCCAGGAGTACCGATAGTCCCAGTTGCGGGACCCTCCGACGTACTCGGGGAGGGAGAACGTAGGAGCAGCAACGATTGCTCCGGTAGGTTTGTAGGTGAGAAGCTTAAGGACCAAGAGGCTGCGCTCAACCTGTTCGCGGTAGTGACCGCGGAACGTACAACGGGCGATCCAGTCACCCCAGAAATTCAGCGTCTCCTTTTCCAGTCTGTCCAGGTACTGTCGTAGGAAGTGCTCTCCGGGAAGACTTGTTTCTGGGTCGTGCAGCACGAATGAGACTGACTGCCCTTCTTTCAACTTCACCCTGGCATGGAGTCCTGGCCCCTTTGGGCCTTGGTTCTCCTGGAGCTTCAGATCCACCGGGGAAATGGCATCAGCTGGCTCAAGCGAAGTGTCGATACCGCAATGGATAGTTAAGTGCAACCTTTGCGTCTGACTCTCAAAACAATATTGCTTGTGAGAGCAGCTGGAGCTCTGGGGAGTGATCCAATGGCCACTGTGCCGGTCTCTTGCATAGTTGAACGCAGGAAAGATCTCAAAATCCATCTCCATTTCACCCCTCACGCATTCGATTCTCCGAACAACACCTGAATGACATGGTCTCTGAGGGTCATTACGGGCAATGGGGTCATCGCAAATACACCACTCTGAGCTGGTCTTGTGACTCGATACAGGCAGGTAGTCGAGTAGACTGACCACCCCTTGTTCGTCAATCCATCGGGTCTCCAACATATTAGTGTACGGTCGATATCTCTGCTTGCTGATTGGTTGGATATCCGGTACTGGACATATGGAGAAGTGTCCTCCCTGTGTAGAGTCAAGAATGCGACAGAAGATGGAGGGTGAATCGAAGACGGGCCAGCACATGTAGTCAAGACTGCCACTTTTACTGATTAGAGCGCAGGTGTGCATGTCCCCCACGAGGCCATAGTCTTCTATGCTAGTGTACGGTGAAGAAGTTCCTTCCATCTTCAATTGCTTTGTCCGGTGAGACATGAATATCAGTTGTTGATGTGTATAGCGTAGAGATGGTGGATTGATGATGTTTCTGTATTTTGTTTGGCATTGTGGTTGGAGGTGTGGTGATCAGTGACATCATTGACCCGGGGTATCCGTCAGCCTCCAGCTCCTCACATGTCCCCGCCTGGTGGAAGATGCAGCTAATAATTAACAAGGAGAGATCAGAGCCTCGGCTTATTTGGTTGGGAGTGCTTTTAGGTCAGCGAATCCCACTCAAGGTTACCATACCAGAAATATAGCTGTCTTCAATAACAAACGCAGGAATCTCAAAGTACAAGGCTGCACTAAAGTCACCAACTCAACATAGTAATAGAATAATAATAAGCTCTCAACCGTTATAAAAAACGCGAATATTTGATGTGTATGCATTCCCTTTATGATTAACCTTGAATCAGTGGTCACTCATAATGAGGTGTAGGCCACTAGATATAAGCACTCTGTGTTATTCCGGTAATAACGCCTCATCCACTATTAATTGAAGGATTATATTGTTAATTATCATATACACATAGTATTTATCCCATTGATTCTACACGACTTTGTCTTGACTTATGATCTAAATTATGAGCGCAAATTCCCAACTGAGGCATTGCCAAGTGTGTTTCCAGATTCTCTAAAATGCTTGGATTATCGAAGGACATTACTGGTGCACTTGTGATGCAAAATTGCGAATCATTAAACCGTAATTCTCAATAAATGAAGGCAAAATACCGGCGGTGTATCACAGAACAGAAAGATAGAATGCGAGGAATGACTCGGGAAGAGACGTTTTCCTTGAACGCAACATGGGATATCAGACAGACGAATAAACGAAGAGTGCTAGACAGCAGTTGACAAATTATACCAGGCGTAGCTCGCTATTCCGTGCGGTCTTGTTCGATCCAAGCCTTGAGATCGTGGTTGAACCCGTCGTACCCCTTCCTTGAATCCTCCCCTAGACCAACACAGCGGGCGAGGAAGCCCTCCCCCATAAGAAACGAAAGGAGACCAGTAAATGTCTCTTCATGGACGAACCTTGTGTGGCTCTGTTCTTGCCCCGATGCAGGAACTTCTTCGAATCGAAACATGTGCTCTCCGGTGAAAATTCCTGGGACAGAACCGATCCAGCTAAACATAGACTGCGTGTTTGATGACACAACGGGCGAGAACTTCATCTTTCCGTAGCCTGCACAGACATTCAATTTGTCGCCAGGTTGAAGATCGATAGATGATTTAGTTGGGTCAACGGGAGATATTGAGCGGATAAATCCATTGGGTGAGTATTTCGAGATGGATGGAAAGTCCAGAAACTGGTTGTGAAGTGTCAGAAAAACGGGTTTATTTATGATAGATATCATTGCTTCTCAATATCCAATGGATGCAAATACCTTTTCTCTGACGGTTGCTGGAGGAGCGTTGATTTCAATGCTTGTGGTGAGTAAATACATGATGCTGTTGGCAGGTCCTTCTGATTGATTTTCAGACAGCCTCAGTCTTCAACAAAAAGGACTTTGAAGACTAATAAAGGTGAAATTGTGTTTCTCTCCGATAGTTAATGTTTTGATGATTGATTCATCTGACATGGTGGGCGATCATCTTTATATAAGATGTAATCATTTTACCCGAGTCGGCGCTTCTGTGGGGCCGCTGCCGACTCAATCTTGCCCCTTACCCGGAGATGACTGAAATGATTGGCTGAAACGGGACACGGAATCCCGTGCCCAGCGATCTCAGCCTCAGGCCGTCAGCCATGGCTACCCACGAGCACTCTGACCAGAAACATACAACCAACCATATACCCGCTGTGCTACGTCGCCGGAGATTTGTGGATCCTCCAGTTGTGCCGATGGTCAGAAGGCGTCTAGTAAGGATTCGTGAGCCAAAGGCGTGCCAGCAATGCGCGTACGCAAAAGTGAAATGCGACCAACAAGAGACAGGTGGGTGCAAGCGGTACGGTGCATTCTCCGTTAAAGTCCGCAGGGCCACGTTGAATCAAGACTAGGTGTTCTCGTTTAAAGAGGGAGTGCATTGCTCAGGCCCCTGGGGCCCACAGGCGGAAGGCTACCTCGCCGTTGTAGGTACCCACGAGATCGGCAGAAGGGTTGGTTATTGACTTTGATCAAAGGGATGTTGCGAGACTCGAGAAGAAGCTTGACACTATGGCTTCTTTTGTCGGCATATCGCCTCAAAAAACGTCTGATGCTGCATCCAAGACTGAACAGGGAAAGAGACACCAAGCGCAGAAGATTTCGCAATTGATTTTTCCGTGGGACGAAAGTTTCAATCTTACTCATGAATATGCATCAATGATTTTGACAAAATACCGGACGGAGATGGCCTGTTACTGTCCTAGTGTTGTCATCCCACTTGACATGACTGTTCTAGAGTTGCAGCAGAAAAGTCCAGTTCTCTTGGGTGTGGTTCTAATGCTGACTTGTCTCGACGACGCAAATCGGCAGCAACGCATGACAGATCAGTTTCTAGAGCATGTTAGCCGTTCCATTGTTAAGAAACGGCATAGAAGCCTTGATATCCTGCAGGCTCTCTTGGTGTGCATATCATGGTACCTATGACCTTTCCGTTTCAACCTTATCTGTAGGACTTAGGGCTCACACCATGATAGGTATCACTTTCTGCCCGAATCCGAAGCACAACTGTCTATCATCTTGCACCTGGGTCTAGCCATGCTACGTAATCTTGGCCTCCATCGATGGCCTAATCCATCTAGTAGAAAACTACCGCAACCTTGCGAGCATGACAATGCTCCCACCACGGACGAACGGAGAGCCTACCTCGGGTGTTTTTATACCGCTTGTGTGTATGTAGGCCCCCATACATCGTTCCAGCAATAGGACTGACCCATCTAGAGCTGCAACATGTGTCAAAGATATGGATTCTCTGAGATACACGAGCTACACTGAAGAATGCTGTCGCGTACTTGAGGAGCTGCAGGAATATCCTACAGACATGTATCTTGTCCAGCTGGCACGACTAAATCGTATGGCCTACCGGATCATTCAAACACTTCCCTTCGATGCGTACAGTTCACCGCACATGGCTTCGTCGGGTTCAGTCCAAACGTGTGTCGAGGCTCTTGGAACGGAATTGAAGCGTATGAAACCCTCTAGCGCGCAGGACCGCATACAGGACTGTGAGTGACAGTGAATTTTCTTACTACGTCCTATATGGCAGCACTTGCTAAGCTTGTACCTAGCCATCCTGGCATTACAGTATTACAGCCTGGAGCTCCACTTATACGAGTCCGCTCTGGAAGACGACTTCTCAAAGAGCGACCGGAATAGCACCGGGGTACATTATGATATCCTTGACTCATCCTTGACCTCAGCCAAGGCCTTCTTCTCAACATTCTTTTCCCTTGCGCCTCAATATTTCCTCTATCTCCCATACTTGGTCTACCAGCAATACTACCATGCCGTCGAATCATTATCGAAACTTCTGCTATTGGCGTGGAAGGAACGCGATCAGATCAACATACGTATTACCATGGACGTTCCGACGACCGTTAACATGTTTATCGCAAAGGTGAAAGAGGCGGTGCAGCTTCTTAAGCACGAAGGATCATCCCTCTGCGCGGAGGAAATACTGTATCAACTCATAGCACGAGTGCGCGCATTCGAGGAGCTGCATGAAGCAAGACTCGCCGACCTCCAAACTTATGACATCGATAGAAATGCTGCGAGCAGGAATTCAATACGAGATGTGACATTTTCGCTACCACATGGCATGTCGTGGCAGTTTCTGGATTCAGAGTAACATAGCACTTTGCTATAATCTTCTGGACAGACGGGATGAGAGGTGGTATTGTTACGCTGACACGAAGGCTATAGCTTTTCTTTCTATCCTTTTAGCTTGATTATATCTCATAGATGTTAGTATTTTATATGAAGATAACAATCGTCCAAAACTGTATCTAGAATAATATATCTAGGGTTTGAGTGTGGTTGTTGAAGGTTACCTACACATACATATATTCAGAGCACCCTCACCAACCCATGACAGATCCGATTAATCCCTCGATCAATCATTAACGACTATTTATTCTAATCGAAACTTTCGAATATGCATTCTTTTGATAACAGGTTATCTTGGGACCTAGAAAGAATAAAGAAAAAATTAAAAGATTGTGCTATGTTGCCCTCGCCTATAAGCGTGATCTAGTCACGATAATCTGGGGAACGCTGTGGGGAATTATATTAGTTTATGCTTTAGTGACCATATTAACGGCTCAACAGATAACACTGAGATAGAGACTGCGCACTAGTGTTCAACCCAGCATCTGGCGATTAAAACAGTAAATGCCTGGAGCTGATAGTTGCCAACAAGGCCAATAAGTCACTGATTTCATGCTCAAGCACCTACGGGACGCACCGTGCAAGCTAGCCTCGCTGTCAAAAAGGGATATCAATATAGAGATGGTAGGCAAGTTGATTGACGATACTTCAGGCCCATACATTGAGAGAAAAGACTACTACAGTAGGATGCAAAAGGTATTCGACCACCTTACCTTACCGCCTACTACTAGTTAAACTTGATTAGGAAGGAGTTTGATTCCATTCTAACTAATATTTCGTATACCAACCATCTGCCTCAGTAACTGCCTTCACATGGTTAGGCATGGTTCTTGATAGCTTTTGAAGAATAGTAGTATCTATGACGATTGCCTCATCCGACCTGCAGTGACCACAGACTTGTCTAAGTGGGTGAGTTGGTCTGCGTTTCTAAGTCCGATATAACCATAGTATAGCGCTAAATTGTAGCTTAGGCTGGAATCTCCCCTCTAATTGTCTGGTTAACACTACAGCCGAGTTCTCTCTATAAACTAGGGAATTTTACATTTACGATTCAAGCATCCACACGATGACTGATATTTGCACCTGCTTTAAGCGCCTCTTCATCACCCTGTGCCAAACACCACATATCCAAGTGCTTGATGCTAAAATCAGCTCATCCACAAGCGAGGACGAAATCTAGGCTGTTCTATAAAGCACAAAGGGCTAACTACCCACAAGCATGGAGTCCTTTTATCATGCTGTGGGCTGGGTAAGGCTGGAATGGCGTCACACAGTGCAGGAGATTGTGGCAGGTGACATAAGTGATCAGGGTTTTATTAGGATTCTACCTATAAAGGAGGTGTTTAATGAGTGGGAAGAAATCATATAGTAGGTAGAAAGTAAGGGCAAGAGTGATAATAATAATGAAGTTACTAAGTGTTGGGAATTCCGCTCTGTAAAACTATTTAATATATTTATTCTAGAGGCACGTATTACGTTCCTCTAGCCACCTCCTTACTGTGGTAGCCATGTTAACTTATGGGGTCCACCCAGTAAATATACTACTTTTTATTATTATGGGGAAGAGCTCTATAAGATATAATACTCATTCAATAAATATATTAATAGACTACTCACCTTATGAGGTTTCTAGTACTGAAACACAGGACAAGGTAGAAACACAGGACTTTTAGAAGAAGATGCTGCTGCTTTTTAAAGATTATAATGAGGAGTTGTTTCAGCCTTGAGTATAAAGGTATATTTGAAAATCTTCCACATTGCATTAAGCTGATTTCAAGACTTACTGTATTGTACTCTATAGTCTTTGGTGACAATGCATTACGCAAAAGAGTTTAGCGTGCCGTTTCGGGTTTAGCGCTTCCCTGCGCGTTACTATCGCCGTGCATGTTTCTATAAAGTCCCCTTCGTGTTTTTCGCCCTTCTACTCTTCCTGTCCCTTCGTTCCTCGTGTGCGCCTTGTGAGTGAGTTATTTTTGCCATTGATACGGATCACCGAGCTCCGCCACCCCCTATACCACCAGCGCGAACCGGCCAGCCCTTTGCAGCCCTTGGAGCCCGCCAGCGCAGTCTGCGCTGCTTTTCCTGGCCCTGGTCTCGTTTCCCGCTCAGCTCTCACCATTACGCTCGAGATGAGGCATTTTTGCCCGTAGTCCGCCGCGCCGACCTGCAGTTCCGGCCCCTGACCCTCACATGTCAATGGGTCTCTCGTTCCTTGCGTCGAGTGTAGCTCATAGTCCTGTGATATAAATGCTAACCTCGGTCAGACATAGTCACGATGTGGTTGAAAGAGATTTGGTGCAGCGACTCCGCAAAGCAACCGCCGAGCTGGAGGTGTGTACATGGAAACTCAAAGGTATTATTGGCGTTGAGCGCATTTCTACTTGGATACACTATCAGTGAGATGCAAGACGGTCTCACAGGGCAGCATCATTGTTGTCAACATTGCAAATAAGTAGAAGGTGAGTAAAGAAGCTGCTATGAACGTCACGGAGTAGTTAAATCTGATATAACCTTCACGGTGTGCTAATCCTGAAATCACTAGAATGCAAACATTGGCAGTTTAGTAATTGCAAGGTAGAACCAATACCGAGACAGCTCCTCCATGTTGATGTCTGCAATCGGTACACCACTAAGGCTGCCCAGCACGCAGCCTAATATCCAATCAGTGAAGCACATGAGAAGCAAGGCAAAAAGAATTATAAAGTGCTCTGGGCCTGGCCCCGTCCCTTTCCCTAAGTAGCAAAACTCATACACGACGGTGAAGAGAATTCCTAATATGGTCAATCCACCCAGGATGCCAAAAATCAAACAAATCTTTTTGCTAGATACTTTGCCCTCAAGAACGGCTAGCCTGGCCAAGGGAATACTTCCAATGAGAACCGCGCCTATATAAACCCCTAGGACCGCGAGGTACCCAAACTTGACCTTATCCACGGGTTGGGCAGGCTCGTTTGCCATGCTGTTCAGTTCTCGCGTAACTTCACTCATCTGTGGACACACGTCGCATGTGCTATTACTCTGCCCTTGTGTATTTGACAAGCTGAGCCTGCTGATCCTGCTGATCCTGTTGAGCCCAGAGGATGGCATATCAGCCATAGTGCCATATTTCCTTGCAGAGTCACAAATTCGCTCGTCAGGCACGGCTGCCTCTTCTTCCGGAGCAGATAGCGACACAGCCCCCAAGGCTGGCGAAGATTCTGGGTCATTTTCCTTGGCTTCGCCTTTGACCGGAGGATCCCATGAACCGACCATGAAAAACCCAACTAGCGCGACGAGGGCACCCATCACGCCATTACTGACGTTTATTAACACCAGCTCCCAGTACTGCCAGCATTGCTCAACGTTGTATTTGTTCATCATATAGATGTTGAAGATCCAAAAACCAATAAGAAATTTAGCAGAGCGTATGTTGCGGATCCTTCTTGCTGGGCAGAGCGGTGCGCGACCAAAGAGAAGGCAGGTCACCATATACAGGGTGACTATGTCGCTGGCAAAACCAATGGCTCCATAGGGAACCAGGTAAGCTTCTTGCATGGAGAGGATAGGCGGGGTTTGGGACGCCATGAGCGCGTCTTCGGTTGAAGGGTGTGAGACACTTGGATGGGAAGAAACTGTGCCGTGGGTGTGGTCGAGATCAAACAAATGTTGATGACAAAAGATGCAAGATCAATGCTGGGCCATATGAACAACGAAGCTGATCTCGTATGTCTTGCCCGTGCGTCTTACGTGTGAGAAAGCCACCTTCACCTTGGACGGAGCGTTTTCTTTCCCAGATGTGATGTGACTCTAGTTTTGAAAAAATTAAAATATTTGTGGATGTCGGCAAGCTCGCATGATTTGAATAGTCAGAAATGCCAACATCACAAGTCCGAATACGAGGTCTGGACGGCGGCATGACCCGCTCACATTCTTTGACTCTATTTGTTACGCTGCGAATGATTGGCCCATTTTATGCCTCCAATGCCTAGACGGAGGGCTGGAACAAATGCAACTAAAAAGCAGGAAATGTTTTCCCGCCACGTCCTAAAGCTGACCTGACTGACATCAGAGACTATGAGTACCCAAGACCGACACAACTCTCACGCTGCAGGAGATGACGGAAGCGATCGGACTTATGCCAGGTTACAAGGGCACTCAGAAAGGATACCATCCCAAGCCACTTGCTACATCGTATTTCACCATACATCGCGAAACCCATTCGAGCACATCTACAATGCGTGCCTCCAGCTACACTATTGTCCCTGGCACTTCTACAACGCAGGCCACCTGGAGGCTGCTGCTGACAAGGACATACAAACGCCGACTAACTGAACTTACGCACGGCTCACAGAGGCCAGGGGGACATATCTCCAACGAAGCTCAAATTAGCGCAATTCCCATGGCATCCTAAGCTAGATCTATACGATGTCATGCCCCTTAGAAAGTAGACATACCCAAGTCGCCCGATGTGACTCTCAAGATTCCCAATTTCCTTCTCATACCAGAGCTTTAGAGCCCCGTCCACCTGCCGCAATGCACGAGCCTCTGTATATCGCCGAAGAATGTGATTGTATCCGTTGGATATCCTCATACGAGGGTCGCCATCCGGTTGCATCTGGATTATCGGGTCTTCCTCACTCAATCTCTTGAATTCGACTAACTCACAGAGACGGCGAACCCTTGAGATACCGCTGGGCTCAACGGCAAGGTCGATTTGAGCTGATTCTTGAAAGATCAAACAGTCTTTAAGAGGGATGGCTTCTCTGACAACATCAAGATGTAACTTTTGGATAATGTCCCAAGGGTGGCTGTGGTATTTCGGACAGCGAATTCGTGGTCTGGAGAGTTAGCATCTAATGAGGAACAGGGAGACTTCTCACCTCTAGGTGATTTAGATGAAGGACTGATTATTGATTCTCAATTCCAGCCAGCCTTTCAACAACCCAGACTTTGGCCATAGGGCTAAGGAGACGGCAATCTTCACAAAGATAACAAGAATACCTCTGCAAAATATCCTTAAAAGCAGCAACTTGCTTGTCTTCCATTATTTCACCGCGTTGTAAGAGAACCACAGGGTCATCATTGCTCATGGGAAAAAAAGTCGGTAGGCCCGTACTAGCGGAGAACCCTGCGGACACCCTCCTCATGGACAGCTAGGTCTACAAGGATGGCGCCATCTAGATGGACTGTCTTATCATCAGCAACCCGTCGGTAGCTGGGATCTTGGAGAGGCACTGCTGCTCTGACCACATCGTTAAGGCCTTTGGATCGAACACTGGCCATAGGATACTGTTAGTAGCTGCAACACCATACACATATGGTCTGTATCATTAATTGTCCGAAAGCGGAAAGTCGCCTCCAGAGCAGGCCATGTGTGTTGTCAGACATATAACGTCTCCTTGATCTAGACTGCTGAAATTGCCGTCCACCCAAGAGCCCTTTTCAAGGCTATTATCCGAGAGCTGAAAGTCGCCTCCAGAGCAGTCCACATGTGGTGCCCAGACATCTGGCAGGTCCTTGGTCCAGGCTGACGAATCGGACGAGTGAACTTGTACTCAAGTGAGATATTAGTATTGAACACGAAGTGCTAAACTAAGTGCTAGATACAATCTTTAATGACTGTCCTTAGATAGTCCTTACGCTGGTAGAGTGATGCCTAAATTACTTTTGTAATCAGGCTTAACACCCTGAATTCCCAGCAAAACATTAACAATGGACAACAGTAGTTGAACTGCCTCATGCTCATTATGCGGCTCAGCATAGGGGCGTTTAGTCATTTAAATCCATGCCGACTACCATCTACACCATAACCAGTCTCAATGAGAGCTGCCATCACCTGCATTAAACCAGAGTATGCAGCAAGATGCGCCCCTGTTACTTACCTAGCCACTCTTTAACTATATCTAGAATCACCTGTATAGTACATAAGATCATGTAAGGCCTGAGCATAGCTAGAAACCTTACTATCATTCTCTAGAAGGGCCAAAACTTTGCTTACTATGTCTTTTCCTATAGCTTAGGCATGACGTCCCTAAGTTTTGGTAGTATATTTATAAAATAGATACTCTTACGGTCTGACCTCCAAGGCCGCGTCTGTTAAATAAAATCCATTCTTAAAGGTATTAAAGGAGAGATATATAATATAGGTTTAACCAACTTCTATTTCTGCATGAGGGGACCAGTTCTTGCCTTTAGTCTAAAAGTACATCTCTGTGGTATAATGCACTAGACATATTATATTACTCTGTTATCCATAGTAGTCAACCCTGCGCATAGCAAGTTTAGGTAGCCTTGTAGACGAAGCAAGGTAGGCACTCTTTATTTCTAAACACTGCTAGATGTGACCATATGAGAAACCAGCTCATGAATGCAATGGGTTAGAGTAGCATTATTATATGGCTTTAATGATAAGAACCCAAATATAGGGGCTGAGGCCGAATAATTATAGTCTCTCATAGATTTTGCAACAGGTGGGCTAACCGAGGAATCCCGGATAATGTTAGCTCCCAGCTGTTGCCATTTTGGAGCAGCAGAATGGGATAGCACAAGTGCAATTGCCCCCAGAAATTAACCCCGATATGCTGCATTATGCGTCGGAGAAAATTGCACAACAGCTCTCCGTTCATTGTATGTCCAAGAGTTAGAACACCAAATCCCAATTTCCATAGAGGACGAAGAGTGCCCAGAAATAGGGTTCTGGTCGTCGTTTCCGGATGTCGAGTACGGCCTCGCGAAGCGCAAACGCTAGATTGATAGTGGACGACGACGGAGGTTCTTGGTTAGACCCGCTGCTACGCTCCCTTTCGTGGCAGATGATCTGATAGAAAGTTTCGGCGAACTCCTTGCCCGCCGTGTCCCAACAGTTCCACAGCGTCCCGACCACAGCGTTGGCTCCCGCCAGCAAGAGAACGGGCACCAGTCCCAGCGGCTCGTCACCAGGCAGGACGTTCTGTTTCCCGCTCTCACAGGCGATTATGGTGAACAGCTTGGTGCGCATTTGTATGCTAAATAGATCTCGGGCCGTTACATTTTCTCCCCCGTGAAGCTTGAATGCTGACTCGAGCGGCTCCTCGACCTCGAACTTGACGTGGCCGTGGTAGTGGAAGATGTCCACATGCTCGGCCGCGGATTTGAAAGCCTGCGCGGTCGCCGCCTGGCCAACAAGGGGTTCTGTCTTCATCCGCAATCCTAGACTCGAGGCAGAGTCTGCCGCTGCTGCTCGATCGCTTGTTGGATCGCCAATTATCGCGATATTGAAAGTTGTCGGCGTGTCTCTGCCTTGTCGTTGCAGGCAGTGTTGTAGTATCGACAGGCTGGTCGAGTATATGACCGGGTTGCGCTCGATAACCACTTGCTGACCGACTTCTAAGGCATGGAGAGGGAGGCCGGCCAGGACATTAGTGGGACAGAACACCAATAGCTCTCCCTCCTTGGAAATTTTGGCCAAAGGTCCGACGAGAGGGTCAAGCTTCTTGAACCTGGAAATGGCGGACTTTTCGCGCAGCTGCGCGGGCTTCATGTTGGCCCGCATCCATGAAGTTACGTCTTTGAGCTCGATTTCAAGCTCTGAGATCCTTGGTTCCTCCCCGGGTCGCACTGACACCATAAATAGCTTGCTGTGTACCACCGCCCAGTCAACACAGATGATGTCTGTTCTTGCCTGAAACATGTTCTTCAACTGCTCGAGCTCGAGGCTCCGCGCTCCACGGTACGCAAGCGCTGGATGCAGGGTTGGATGGTTGTCCATAGAGCGGCGCAGCTTGGCCAAGCTTGCTCTTAGCCGAAAGCGGTCGACAGGAGGAGCGACGGATATCTGTTGCAGAACTGCGGCCTCCTGCTCCCACAGCTCCGCGGCGGTCTTGTCTCTGGAAATATCAGCTCTGATGCTTTCGGGCACGTCGGCACCGAAACCAATGAGGTCCAGGAGTCCTCGTGCTTTACCCTGCTGCAGCCACCACCAACTCCGGCCAGTGTCGTTCAACCTTAAGCTTAGTTCGAACCCGAGTGTATACAGTTCCGCGCTCCGGCTGACGAGAGCCTGTTTCTGTATCAACGACTTGGCGTCTCGCTGAATGGTAAAATCCATGCGGATTTCGTTCCGAATCTGCTCCGCCCTATCGAGGTTCCTCAGGGCGTGCTCCAGCGCCCCTTCGTGGCCTTGAAGAAGGGCTCTCTCCCAGACCCAGGCTTGCTGAAGATGGCAATCAGCGAGCTGTTCTTGAAAGCCTGCAGTTTTTAGGAACGCCTCCGACCGCTGGAAACTTTCCAAAATCTCGCCGAGCGAAGAATTGGCAGTCTCAAGGTGGAGCTCGACAGCGAGCAATTCCAGTTGGCCGATCCTCCGGTGCATCAAGGCCGTTTCGCGCTCCTTGCCGATCTCTTCGAACAGGGTGCAAGCATTTCGAACGCACACCAATGCGGCTGGAATGTCGTCGATGGCATAGTACGCGTTAGACCTTTTGTATATATTCTCGGCCGTATAGTAAAGCTGCAGCTCCTCTGGTAACTGCGAGATCAAAGCCTCGGCCTTTGCGAGCCAAGTAAGCGAGTCATGAAAGGCGTCCTGACTGCTGACGCTCTCCAGCTTCGCGGCACGTAGTAGCTCGACGTCACTAAGGAAACCGTACTTGTCCACCTGGTCCTCGATCATCTGATGCCGACCGTCCCGTTCGGCGTCGTCGGCTAAGAGCGAGACGAGATGACTAAAGATTTCCGGGGAGGGGGATTCCCTGGCATAGTCGTATGTGACTTGTGCCAGGGTCTTCGCTGCTTTCGAGGCCATCGACCAACCAAGATATGTCATGGCAACGGTTCTGGCTTCTTGGGCCCACCTGACGCTGCTTTCCCATTCCTCAAGCCTCTTATAGTTAAGGCTCAGCAACGAGGCACACCCAACCGCGACGCGAAATTCGTTCAGCGGTACGGCTTGCTCAAAGAGAGCCTGGAGGCTGTCGACCAAGGCGGGAAGCTGAGAGGCTTGCATGTTCGCGGTGTGCAGTTCCAGGTACCGGTTCCGGCACCATTGTGCATCCGGTACTGACAGTTGACAGTTCATGTCCAGGTCGAAATCTGGGATACGCGTCCAAGTTGGCGGAGAAACAGGAGTGGCGTAGCAGCAAGCAAAAGACAGTTACGGTGCAACGACGATTGTGAAGATCCTATCTTGTAGGGGAGTGTGCCCCCGACCGGATGATCGTCCATCGCAGTGTTGGGCCTGACAGTAGAAGAGTATGCGTGCACCAGGCTCGTGCATTTGGCTGCGGGGAGACACCAAGTCATCAGCATCAGACATCTACGAGGAGCTGCATAGACCAACAGCGTAGATCCTGGTAGAGGGGTCTGATAAAGTATGGTTCAAAGGTTTACCACCTCCTAATTTTTAAATTCGCAATAAACAATAGTAATTTTAGGAGTACAAATCTTTAATATTTGAATAGCTCAAGTATGTCTAAGGTAGGAATATTGTTTAGTCAGAAGTTACTAAAAGGTAAGAAATCGTCTATAAGAAGAAGTCGACTATAAATCCTTTAATGGGATATCGTATTATTATTTAACTATATTTTCAAATCAGTATTGAAATCCGATAAAACTTTCCGCACCTAGTTTGTGATAAATTACAAACATGTGTTGATTAAGAATTGGAACCGTATTTCCCAGACGACATTTCGGTATTCCACCAAATAAGTTTAGCGCAGAACTCTGAGCTGGCCAAGATAAGCGCCAAGTAGGATCCCTTTTTGAAAGCGGTTGGTTGTGGTTGGCAGCAGTCTGCTAAGTTGTACACACCTATGAACGCCAATTAAGAAGTCGATGACTCCCAACCCCTCATTTGACGGCACCACAGCAGAGCGTTGTATCGCATCGCATGACAATGGCGGACTATGCTTACACGGAAGAGAATAATTATGAGTTCTCCTTCGAGCCGGACCACTACGCCGAAGAAGAACTCGACGACTCGGAGCCAATTAATAGAGACCTCATCAGCGACACCACCGCGAGAAATTGTCGGATGATTGCATCCGTACGCTGCGTCGAGTACGGGAAAATCGGAGCGGAGGACGGCATCCTGCTTGTAATTGCCTTTGTGTTTCACCCCGTCGGGGCGCGGGTCAAGGAGGCAGACATCGAGCTGCGATTCAAAAGCTGCGTCATCGCTACGCTCCAGCCGCAGGAAATCGACGACCGAGAAAGTGAAGTGGTCATCCGCAACAAACTCGAGGGACGCTTTGACATGAGTCACCCTCCAGTTGCGGTGGGCGTGACGGCGTCACAAGAGAAAGAGAGGGTTAAGGGTTACACTCGGTCAATCCGTGGATCGGGAATTGACACTGAGCTGGCCATGTGGACTTTACGCGAAAACTCAGATCAGAGAGACGGTGTACACCTCAATTTTACGGCAGTGATCATCCTGAAGGGCAAGGGGGAAGTAGATGTAGATGTCGCAGTGCGGGCCCAGCTTGGAGCCAGCCTGAAGGATCCGTTGGGTATTCGGAAGATCGCTTGCCAGGGTTTGATCAAATTTGATGGCAAAACAAGTCGAGGACGAAGGCCAGAGAGCTTGACCACCCCTCCAGACCTTTTTGTGAAAAGTCTGGCATGAGGAATTTAGCGTTCCATTCATTGAAGACATAACTTTCACGGAAAATTTGTGGGCAGTCTCCAGGGCCAGTGCACAAAGGGGGCGTATTTGCTTTTTAGGAGCACTGGACCGTCTGGGTCGAAGGTTGATACGGACTATTGCTTTCATTCTGCTCAGCTCGTAGCAGACTCCTCGTAATCCTGACCCTTCTGGTGTACTTGGGACCCTTCTTTTTAGTCTTGTCTCTAGTGTCCTGTTTCCACCTCTTCCGAGAAATTTATGAAAGAGTTCTTCATACTTTAACTTATGTATAGTCTAAATATCTTACTTAAATTATGGACATGGTGGAGTTATCACAGCTCTGATGAGTGCTATTTCATATAAGAATTCCGTGCTGAAGGGAGCTAATTTAGGCTATGGAAAACTAGTATCAACTGTTGTGTTCAAGCTTTACAGCAGTAATATACGGTGTATAATTAGTATAATGACTATTCTAATGTGCGTATGAGCATAGCGACATATTGAACTGTCACATCCACTTGTGCTTGAGACGCGTGCTCCAGTACACTTGAATAGAGCCCTGGGACCTCCCTGAATATTGCTCCGAGAACAGTCTAGCCACCAGTGACCAAGGCAACCCCTGTTCCCTTCTTAGCTTCACTTGGAGGTCCTCCTCGGCGGGTAACCATGCCATGCCTTTCCTGGAGCTCAGTCAGGGCATGTTGCTGTTATCTATTGCTGGTACGCGCCTATGAGACCTTGTCGAGCGAGGAGATGACCGCAAGCCGCCTTCCTTTTCCACCGTAGGTGGCTCAACCTCAGTGTTTTACTTAAGAGCGGACATGCACCATGGCAACGCTCCCTTAAATAACCAAGAAATGAATTGTAAACGTTCCGCGACTGGTAGGCTGAGAAGTGAGAGGAGAGAGTGCTAAAACTTCCTTGTCATAAAGCACAGCAGTAGCTTGATGTTTGGGCGTGTAGTGATCTGAACCCAATGTCCTGCTGCATCTTTGCTTGCACACTTTAGACTGCTTTGGACGTCCATCATGGGAACTCTGTGCGGGACTGTCACAGGATGGCACATTGGGCCAGCAAGTGGGGACGCACTCTCTGGCTGTGATTGCGGCTATAGAGATAATTAAAGGAATAGACTTTTGCTTCAAGGAAGGCAGGATGTTCAATGGATTCTAGTTGATGATTAGGTAGGTTTTGTATGATGACCAGAGGTTCAGGATAGGGAAAAGTCATGCGTTAGCCATCATAACAGTAATTACTCCATATTGGTCGGATACCAACACCTCTCTCAACTAAGCACTCATCACTTCATTTAACACGTGCCCAATCTTCTGGTGTAAAGTGTTGATATTAATTTGCCCAGTTAAGACGAGCTAAGGCTTGCTCTTTAGTAAGAGCTGGTCGATGAAGCTGTCTCTATTTACGAAGACCAAGTTCTTGAAGAAGATATTGTAATGCCCTCTTTTTTATAGCACCATCCACCTCAGTAAGAAGACCTTGCTCTTTAGATGAGGAGAAGACTGACTTAGATTATAGAGGTGATCTCTCTGCACCTCAGTAATCTGGCGAGGACGTCCAGAACGTGGTTTTGATTGATTATCAACGTGTTTTTGTTCATTCAAAACAGTTGATTTGATGGTTGAAAGAGGCACGTCAGGATGCTTAGCTTTAATCTTAGAATAGCTCCATCCAGTACTCTTTAACTCGCAGATTTGTGAGCGTAATTGAGGGGTTAATTCTTTGCCTTTACAGCCCATTTTGGTTGTCGATATCTAGGGTAAGTAATGGATATCTACGCGTTTGGTGGTATTCTGCTGGCAGAATAGTAGGCGGTAAGGCAGGGGTGGTCCGATACTTTTATCACCCCACTGTATTATACATAGTCATGAGGATAATCTAGGTATGAGGAGACCAGAATAGATAGCAAAGCGTGCAAAAGGTGCAAAAGATGCAAAGCTATAACACTTCGGTAAAAGGCGTAATATGCTTATATGTAGGCAAAGCCATTAGTGCCCTGAAACAATGCGAACAGATAATGAAGGGGTTCATTAGAATGCGTATTAACTTCGATGACCCACCATGCAGCCTAGTAACACTGTCAGCGGGGAAAGATCAGATCGGCCCCATAGAAATCTAGATATGGATGGAGACTGTACCAGATTTCGTCATCCATGGGATTGGGAGGTCCATATTCTAGTCTAGACCCTTCATAAACTTTGACTTTCTCCATGGCTAATGCAACCATCTGTTAGCCCCGCACAGCTATGCAGCCTATGCTCAGCCTAATACGGGGTAATTCTTTTTTACATCCATGTACTGTGCAGCAAATAGCGGTATGTTAGCTACCTTATACCTATTCCCTGACATTAGATATTCTTATGTATGATGCTTCATCGATAATTAATAGTTTCTCCGTGGCTTATTCTAATTAGAATGTATACATGAAAGAGTAGTCGTACTACACGAATTTGTATTTCGTTGGTCTCAGTACCCGCGAAAAGGACACTCATCTCCCCCGAGACCAAAATAGCCACGATCTCGCAGGTTGTTCTGAAGTTCGCGGAACTTGCTGGTTTTCGCTTTCTTTTCGAACAGGATGTCGATCTCAAGATAGCTCAAGCCAAAGGTTTCCGGGAGTCTCCAGTAGCACCAAACAAGGCACAAGAAGGTAGTCCCGGCGAAAAAGAAACAGGACTTGCCCTTCCAGTTCCACACATCGGGACTCAACATATTCGGCGTCATCCAGTTGATGAGAACGCCGGACAAGTTATACGCCACGCGGGCCAGAACGACGGTCTTGACACGGAGCCGCGTAGAGGGAATCTCAGCGACTAGCACGTAGCATATTGGCCCGATGGTCATGTCATATACGAATGTCAGGAAGACGAGAAGAGAGCCAAGAGTCCACAATTGCCATCGAGCTGTCGAAGCTACGCTGACACACCCTGCAGTAAGTAGAGTGATAAGGATGACAAGAAGCCCCGAAAGGTAAAGTGTGCGGCGACCCACGCGAGGCAGTAGAAACCAAGAGATTATCCCGCCAGCAATTGCCAGGCCAAAGGCTCCGACTGTTAAACTGAAAGCCTGGCTGGTATTGAATCCGGCCTGCTTGTAATAATATGCGGCCCAGCCCATCAGGCTGCTGCCACACACTTGCTGAGTGACCCAGACGATGCACGTAATCTCTGTTCGGCGAAGGTCGGCCCGTTTGAAGCAGTCTAAGTATGAGATGACGCTGCCACCGGTCAGATGCTTTTCAACTTCGTTGGTATGTGTCAACATGGCGGCCGTCTCATCCACGCTGACGCCACTCCGCGTCAGCCGTGACAATGACCTTTTGGCCTCTTGTGGTCGGTCGTGCCGGATCAACCACCATGGTGATTCTGGAGCCAAAATCACGCCAACCAAAATGGGCACGCCAATCGCCCACTGGAGCCCATATGGAAGGCGAAAGGACAGCGTGGACTCGTTGTTGGCCAATGAACGAGTCACACCCGTTGCGAGGATCTGACCCAGTACCCAACATAGATTGATGCTGCTGAGAAGGTATGCGCGCAAGGCCACTGGCATCACTTCGGCGGCGTAGTTGATCGTCAGCGTCTGAAAGACACCCCAGGGGATCCCACACAAGATCTGGGCTGCAAGCAACATCTGCAGATTGACCGCGAAAACGGGTAATAGGATGCAAAGAAAGAGAAAGACGAGAGCGGCAGATATAGTAATGCGATATCCAATGCGGTCAGCCAGCAGGCCATTCAGAAGCAACCCAACAATTTCCCCTGCCTCCGCCCCCGTGGACAGACCAAACTGCCAGCGAGCAGGAATCTCATAGCCGCCGTCCCTGCTTGGCACGCCATAGTGTCGCTTGAAGGCAGGAAGTGAAAAGAAAGAGAATATTAGTAGGGTGTCGAACCCTTCCATGATGAGGGTCGAAGAAACGACCACCGACCACGCCATCGCCTTGGGATATAACCGACAACCATCCAAGAACGAGATTTTGCGTTCGGCTCTTGTTGCAGCCCTAGCCCCAGAATCCAGCTGGCGCAATCCAGGAATTAGAGTGGAGAGACCATAGAAAAGATCAGAATCGGATGACCGAGCGGTAGAGCAAAGCAGGCCATTGGTACTACCCTTATCACACCTGCAAGCATCGTATAAAGTATAGGGGCTCGGTACCTGCTCGAGATGATCTGAAGCAGGCCGTTTTACGTCAATTGCAGATGGGGCGATCGTGGCCTGTCCGGGTAATTGTCGAAGCGGACATGGCGGCTCGGAATAGGAAGCGGTGCTGGACTCCATTTCCGCGATTTCGGTGAGGATTGTTATGTTGTTTTCCGCCGGCTACAGATCCAGTGTGGTTGCCCACATTTTGCACAAAGCTATTGACCAGTTTTAGTCTCGGTGTCGAGGGTGAAATATATAATAGGGGATGAGATGGAATCCTTCAAAGGATTGGCTGTCGCCTCGCCTCGCCATCAGAATATACTACATGGTTTGAGTACCATGCAGCTTGCGGTTCATTGGGCGTGTCTTACAGCCCCAAAACCTTACTCGTGAAGAGGACCGAAGAAGGCGGACCAATGGTAGCCCATCATATTAGGTTTTCGGATGGGTTTAGGCAGCATATCTGAAAACATAAACACGGGGGGGAAGGGAAAACTTGATTGGCTTAGAGTGAGATCCTCAATAGTGGCATTACACAGCCATTAGCCGCAATAATCCTTTCCAGCTTGCATTGGTATAACAACTTTTACGGTTTATCACTTAACCAAATTACGTGATGGTCCAGAATCGCGCAGGTGCATGGCGTGTTGAAGAAGTTAGGATATGAGTGAAACCAAATCGCGTGTATTTGCTTTTCCAGGAAAATAAATTTAGACTTTGACACCATTGCGATCCTTCGCCAAGTTTGAACCTGGAAACCTCGGTAAACTGCCTTGTTCCCTATATCGCTAATGCCCATTTGAAAACGGAGCAGTACTGTTGACACATTGCCGCACTTGACGAAACTATCATTCTTAACTAGACACAACAAGCCTATCCTCCGTGGTGGTTTAGGCGAGATGTGACTGATGCCGCCAGAGCTTAAATGACCGCATAGACCCTAAAGACTAGGGTGAATGCATTTCGCCCACCTAAACAAGTTAGTCTCCTTATAGATTCTAAATAATAGCTGTCTTTATACAAATTTCAAAACAGAGTCTAGAACCCTGAAGTATACGGATAGGCCAAATACTGCTCAGCACCTTATTTAACCCGAACCAGAAATCCGTAATGACGGGGAACCGGCCAGATGAAACCTAATGTGCTTTAGCGTTCCCAATCAATCTGCACTAATGTCCGTGCATTGATGTTCTCTGGTTGGGTCAGAGCCAGCCTTTGGAATGATTGGTCCGGTGGCAAAGGTAGCATCTGTCTCAGCTGTGCTCAGGCTGCTCTGAACAGCCCAGCATGGTAGTGAAGATCCTCCCAGTACCTGGCAATGCACCCTCTCCCAACCGCTTCCTCAACAGCAGGCTAGGGTGATCGGTCTGTTGACATACCGCTGTTGTCCTTATCGCCAGTTATTACAAGCTTATGAGTACCTCGCCTGTGCCCCTATAATTTTTCCCTTTGAATTGGGTTTGTAGAGTTTTGAGGATAGTGTCATCTAATACTATTGCAAGCAGTGGTCTTTCTTACAGCGACCAGACTACGCATCTATACGTTGGGTTACAATCAAAATCAAATGTGGAAAGTAAAAGTCTCGATGCATTGTATAAAGTATTCGAAATATTGGTTCTGAGGTGCCAAAATCCAGCAAAATCCAGCGGTAAGCCTCGGTATTATCATATGGGATTGGTGCTCTCCACATACCAAAATATGGACTGAATGTATGATTCATGCATCAGGCCAACCTCTTCCAACGACGAGCCCAGTTGGATCTCACTGGGTTTATCTGCAAACTCCTCTTCTGAGATGGATGCAATAATCTTCTGTTCTGCTTGCGATATAGAGTCCAGCAGCGCATACAGTATGTTTGTATGCCCAACGAGACGGCGCAAATCGTGATCGCAACGGGAAATTTCGTCGTCCAGCTTTCTCTGGCAGATGCTCATAAGGCTAGAACGATATGCCTCCATAGATCAAAATATATGGAAAGCATACGAGGTATGCTTCAAGGTACAGGGGATTGCATGCGCAGTAGAATCTGCATCTTAAGAGTGTGATTCCCAGACATTTCTGAAGTCCAGGTAGACGGCCATATCCGAAATATATACCCTATTATTACATTCTAAGAAAAGGGTGGGTTGTTGCATGATTTCCCGTCAGGAGATTCCCGTTTCCACTCTCATAGGTCATACAGAAGTTGTTGTAGCCATGGGAATCGATTGTATTACACTGGATGAGCATATGTTTTGGGCTTGTGGCACATGCACGTTGCGCTTTTGTTGTATTTTCTGGGGAACATACGTACGAGAATGTGGAACCCCAATTAAATGCCTGAAGCTAAACCCAAAAATATACGGTACTGCCAGATGGACCACTGGATAGAGGCCTTTGCCACTAGGTGACACCACGGCTCGCAATCACAACTGGAGATTTGTAGTACTGATGTCATTGGAATGCTCTGGGCCTCTCTGCTGTATCAAGGGTAACCTGAGCAACCATCATCCACCGCAACTACAGCCACAGACATAGCCACAGCCACAACCATGGCCAAGCCTTCAGAAAGGTTTCGGGGCGATGGGAGAGAAGGTCTGTGCTTTTCAGTATGTCGAGCTCCCGTTCCATTAGCTATCTAGTAGTACCTTGGACCAGACAACGCTGGAGAAGGACAACCAGTGGAAAGATTATTCAAATGTGCAAGGGACACTGGAGCTGTAGTTGTAGCTGATGTGCAAAAAGGATCTGCACATAGAAGGCACATGTAGGAAATTTCATCGAGGGCAACCAGTTTATCATCTGAGTGTATGCTACATATTCATCAGATTGATGCGGTGTTGCCAGACTCTGATGAGTCCTCGCCAACCAGCCGAATACAAGAGACGTGATCGTGCATGTTTATCAGAGCAGTTTTACTGCGCTGTGATGATCTTTGAAGTTTTTCCTAATTCGCCCTCTCCTCTCTGGGGTTGCTTTTTTGGATTTTCGCTCATGACTACGCATCGGCTGACTGGCAGTCAAGGATTTTCCAGAATGAATCCCAACCCAATCCCATTACTGCCTATGTCATTCCATTCAGTCAGCAATGAATATCCGAATCCATTGCGAGCAGGGGCAGACACTAACAATAAGGTGAGGGTCAGATCTCCGGAGATCTTCGCTTTCAGCTGAACCTCCAGGTCCAGGTTCAAGTCCAACCGCAAGCTCAAGTGTTCATCTCCCTCCTTCTTTAGCGGTTCATTTTCCTCTGACGGCCTCCTGTGAACTCGTCCACTTGTATCTTTAATCGTTCCCACCGTGGTCTCGGTTCTACGGCGCACCAAACCGCCGGACTGTCCGACTGTTCTCCCAACATCCTCAATAGTGTTTGACCGGATGAGCGTTTGATCGCCGCGTTGGCCTCGTCTCAGTCTCTGACGTTCAGCACCGAGGGAAACCTCTTCATCCTCGGCCACGTCGCGTTCCTGCTCCTCGTCACGAAATGGCCTATTTCGAAGAGTCTGACGTTGTTGTTGAGGGACTGGTTGGACTTGAGGCTCAAAGGCCGGGGGCTCCTCTTCCAACGCATCCTCAAAGCTCGATTCGCCCTCAGATGTCCTGGAAATCAGAGTTTGATTTTTAGCGCTTAGCGTATCAACATTTGGTTCCTTCTCTACCGCTTCGTCGAGGCCATGTTGTATAGGTCGTTTATGTCGTAGTTTGCGTGGTTTTCTTCTCTGCGGAATAGATGTAGAGGCTAAATCGGCATCACCTACTTCGTTAGGCGCAATCATCGCGACTGAACTGTTCAATGCACTAGTCAATACCAGGGCATCATTAAGCTGGTAATGCAAAACAGTAGAGTCAAGTATTAGTGACAGAGTCTGTGTGATCAAGAAGTAGCATTATGTCAGGTATTGCCACTATGACATCCTTGACATCTACCCCTCACCATCTTCCAGCTTGAATCCATCTAACCAAGCGCTATGCTGAGTTGAGATTCCGATCCATGGATCGGACCGATGCGATTCAGGAGACCCACCACATTGCTGACCCACCAACCCAAATATTCATGCGGGGGATGCGGATAAATATCTACAGTACCTAGCATCCTGATCACCGCCTCTCTTCTCATTGTTCTAGCCATACCACTAGACCAGTCTAAATTCTAAATCATCCAGTCGATAAGATGCTAGTTATCCATATACACTATATATTTCTTATTATTTGAGTCAATATAAGCTTATATAACGGGCTATCGTTTGCCCGCGTGGGGATGGAGGCTAGTACAGAGATATATACCTCTGTGAGCCACCTTGACTACCACCTAAAATCAAAAATCATGATAGCACCCAATTCCTGGCATTATCAGCAGTAGTAAATCTCAGTATACACTATAAGGTGCAGGGGCCGAAGGGCTGATACAGGGAACTGAATGCTGCCCAGTCTTCAGTACAATTCTTCACGTCAAGACTAGGTTGTGGAACTTATGCAGAATTAGCTTAGAATAACACTAAGTATATCGCCATAGTTATACAGGTGCTAAACTTCCTTGTGTATGAATAAAGGCTGCACTATTTCTTCTAGAGAGCAGTGAATGATAACACAAACAACAGAGCTCTCTGACTCTTTACAAACTTCCTCGCGAGTAACAAACACTAGCCATCACGCGTTGTTTATCCATCTAGTCCATCCCCTGATCCCCTGCTTCTTGAAGTCTGAAAACAACAAGATAAAGAGCTACAGTCACCATGGACCGGAAGAATGAGACTTATAACACTGCTTCTGGTGACGGTCAAGCCAACAGAGTGAGAATGTCAACTTCATTTCACAGTGGAACTCGCCTCAATCTGCCTTTCTACGGACATAGTACTGACTCCATCATTGTGTACGTCCTTACACTCGTCCTGTTTTTCTTCCTTGCATGGTGGAACAGATATCTGGTGGCCGTCAAAGATAAACTTGAGCACAAGATCATCGCGGCGCGTGCCCTTGAGTCCATCGGACGACTTCCTCTCCACCGACGCAGAGCTCATTTCAAGGCTCGCTTTAGTCCAGTTCCACGATTCGTGAGGATCAACGGGGAGAATCATCCTCGGGCAGACGAGGGACCAATCGAGATGCTCGCAAACCGCGGCGAAGGGCTTCATGACGACGAAGTTAGAACTGATACTCTGTCCTCAGTTGAGTCGACCGCACAGAATCCGTCTCGTACTATATCTGGATGCGAGCATTGGTAGAGCTTCTTCGAGCACTTATCGCATTTGTCTTGTGAGTTTCCCATCTTTCTTAATTGTCGCATCCTAACAGACGTCTTCCAGAATGATAGGGATCATGGGTCTTAATATCGGTGTTCTCTGTACCGTACTTGCAGGAGTCCTCGCAGGGGAGCTGATCAAAGGATGGCTGCATGCGCCAGCTTGAAGTCGGGAGATTATCACAACGGATAGGCATTGGACAACATCACGGCGAGCTTGAGCTTTCACGAGCCACAATCATATCACCGGATGGTTCTGACTAGCAGTTATTATCTCAGACATGCGAAGAGCGAATAAGGCAGTGGAGACATCTGTACCTAACCTTCAGACACATTTTACACGGAGAATTTGCGTCCAGGTTGAGTTCAGCATCTGACCGTTGCAATGCACAAGGGTTAGTAAATGGCATTATTTAGTGTCGTCCACTTCGTTCGCAAATCGCGATGTAGCCATATCGAGTCGTTGCAGTATCCACTTATTGCCGCCAACGGGGTCCAGCGCTCTTGGCCGATAAGCCACTCTGAGAGACAAACCACTGGAGAGGATTGGTATTATGAAAAAGATATCGGAATATCGTAGTGACTGGATGCCTTTTAGCTAATTTTTTCTTTGTCGTCTGCTACTGCCAAGTAGCCTAGAAGCTGTAGGGCTGTTTCTCTGCTGTGGGGAAGTTCTCAAATCTGCTCATTTCCGCTCATACTAGTCTTGGTAAGTAGATACCAATTTCTGGCAGTACAGGGACCATGAATATCCTGAAATATTCTGTCCTAAGTGTTTCGTTCTAGTTATTATCATGCTACTCAAAATTTTGTTCTCTTTCCCCCTCTTCTTCTTCACTTCTCTGTTAGGTGACGACTGATCAAGACATAACTTCAGCAGCTCCATCGCGATGAAGTTGTCCCAATATCAGCGAGCAACGCAGATCCTGCTCTCTCTTGCAATACCAGTCGCGTCGCATAATCCAAACGGAAGACCAGGGCACGGGCTCATTGGCTATGGCATCTCCATGTACAAGCCCCCCTGCGCTTATGCGTGTCGTGCCTCGATTACAAACCCTCTAGATTGCAACAGGACAGCGGATCACGACATGGATATGGGTATGTCCTCGATGGCAATGGATGCTCCGAGACCTTCGTGCTATGCAAACAGTGATCCCTTCCTGCAGACACTAGCCTACTGCATGTACACCCACTGTGCTGGTATGCCCGTCTCAGCTCTGGAGAATTACTGGGATTTGAACGTGGCTGGTAGCCTGCAGCATCAACCGAGCCCGAAGGACTCGTATCAGGAAGCTCTTGGAAGCCTTGCCAAACCGCCAACCACGACACTTAATGCGTCTGCGGTTCTGGATAGTCCTTCTTTGGTCGATGAAGAGACGTATTTGGGTAATTACAATACTCTCTCCACGTTCGAGGCTGTCGAGACGTCCCATGAGAGATGCGGGTAGGTTTTTCACAGTAAATCACAGCACTGATTGCTGATTTGCGTCACTATAGCTTAGTGCTCCTTCTCACTGGTGCAATTATCCCAATCGCCTCTTCGCTACTCCGTCTCGTTCCATTTCCGGCAGTTTTGCGAGTATGGTTCAAGGCAGTCTTCATCGATCCTCCGGTTATCGGTCGTCGCCATAGTTCCCCGACACTCGACACCTTCTTTATGCCAACTCGAGGACAAGCCCTGTTCATTGCGTATCTATTAACAATTAACATAATCTTGTGCGCAGTCGGGTTTCGATCTGCTAACCCAAGCACCTGGTACGCCTCCAAGCACGACGAAATCCTCACCTACGTGGCCAATCGCGCCGGCGTGCTCAGTTTTGCGAATATTCCCTTGCTGGTGCTATACACCGGTCGCAATAACTTTCTCCTCTGGCTAACACACTGGTCGCATTCAACGTTCCTCTTGCTCCATCGCTGGGTGGCGTTCATCTGCACTCTAGAGGCCTGTCTGCACTCGGCCATATATCTGCAAATTTACGTCACGAACAACACGCACAGCACCGAGAGTAGGCTTCCATATTGGATCTGGGGCGTCATCGCCACTCTGGCGCTGGCCGTCTTGATCCCATCATCCACATGGCCAATCCGGAAGCGGTTCTACGAGCTATTCCTGGCTTGGCATGTCGTCCTATCCTTCCTTGCTCTTCTTGCGTGCTACTGGCATATCTGGTACAGGTACGGACATCAATGGGGCTACGAAACCTGGATATATACAGCCTTTGCTATCTGGGCCTTTGAGCGGGTGTTTCGGGTATTGAGGCTGGCGTGCCATGGGATTCGGAAGGCGTATGTCACTGTCTTGGACGATGAGTATCTCAAGATTGAGGTTCCCGGTGTACATGCACAGGGCCATGTATACCTCTACTTTCCCACCTTGGCGTGGCGGGTCTGGGAAAACCACCCCTTCTCCGCGATTGCCAGTTTCCGACGTGAGGACAGCATGAAGAGGAAGATCGCCGTCGTGTCGCAGGATGTCAAGGCTGAATATCTGTCGAAGAATGGTCCTTCAGTGACGACGTCTCTTGATTCGGACAAGACGCCGTCCACACCCTCATCGCAGGACCTGACCACCGACGGATACTACCAACCATGCCTCACGCTCTTCGTACGCATCCAGTCGGGAACAACGCGACATCTATGTGCGCGGTCTCAACTCCCGATTCTAGTGGAAGGATCTTATCCCCCATCGCCCCTGATCAGTGATCACTGGAGCAACTATCCCAATGTCATTGCCATTGCCGGTGGAGTTGGCATCACCGCTCTAGTCCCGGATTTGTGCAGCCACCGCGGAGGGCACACGCTATTGTGGGCTTCTCGCAGCAAAGCTTTGATCGAGTCGGTACAAGAGACCGTTGGGAACGCTTGCTTGCACAATCTGAACATGAGGATCTACCATGACCGGCGAATGGATATCCCGAACCTGTTGAGGGAAGAGACTCAGAAGTATCGGGGTGTGCCGGTTTGTGTTGTTGTCAGTGGGCCGGCGAGGATGGCAGACGAGGTGCGACATGTTGTTTCGGAGATGGTTGGAAAAACTCCATCTCTACTTATTTCTTTTGTAGAAGAGTCTTTTAGTTGGTAGTGCGATTAGTGCGATCAGCCGATTTCAAGATATGCGGATAGTTGTCGGTTTGGAATAGAATCCGTGTTCTCGTTGGACGCAAGTAGACGTGAGCAGGATATACAAAAGATTTATCCCAAAAAGTTCTTCAAAAACTGTCATATTATAGTTTCCTTTTGAAAAGGTCTTGTTTGTCACTTCCGGTTTACAAGCTGTTCATTGCAAGCTGAACGAGTTGCCGTTAAGGAAGATTCCCTTCTATGAACAGGGACAATCGCATCAAATCAAGGTTCCCGTGGTTTACTAACTCTCTAGCTGTGTATTTGGAATTAATTCAGTGGCCTAGGTTTAAGGTCTATCCCTCAAGAATTTAGAGAGCATTTGAGCACGTTCCGAAGCCCCATGAATCCAAGAAGAGAAACCAAGTGCAAAGCGTAAAGCAGGAGACGAAGAGCACACTGAAATTTCCGATCTGCTTTTATAAGGTCAGCTTACTTTCACTTTTGTTTCTTAGCGTCGCTTATACGGTTCCTTTCATCCACCAACCAATACAAGAAAGTGGTATCGCACAGCAACTACGTGTAGATATATCCGGACCCTCCAGTGTGGGTCCGCTAACAGCACAATAGTCGACGGGTACAGCCACCTTTGCCATGCTTGTCGGCCTAGTGATCCTGTAGAGTACGCCGATTCTGCGACAGATGTACAAGGTTTTCGTCAATTCGGATATGCTCCAGGCCATGGTCTTCCTCGGGCTGTACTTCTAGCACCCGGGTCAGGAACTCGACTCGGGCCCACACTCGCACCTTGGATCACTTCCTACCTAGGACAGAATTTTGCGCCGGTACTCTGCATTCAAACTGAACGGTCAGAGATTATCGGGTTGTCCGACGTTCTTGGACCAGTTACTGGACAACATGGCTAGCATCGAAGCGCATCTCCCGGGACCAAGATGTAAATGGAAGCCCGGACAGCGCGTTTTCCTTCCATTTGCGGGACCAAGTGTGCTTGAGACTCATTTTTTGGTATTGCAAATGAATGCTTGCGACAGGCGGATGGGCATGCAGAGAAGTTCCGTGAAGGATAGTTGACGAATTTACTCGTTCGAACTCATACAGGCTTCACTGCTCGTTTGTGTGAAATAGGCGGCTCAGATGTAGTTTCTGGGGTGGAGGGTCGCGTCAGTACGATCGCCGAGGGACCATATGGCACCATTCTCCGAACCATGTCCAACATCGCTATCACACTGTGGTTCTCGTTGCAGGTGGAGGAGATATCTCTGGTGTTTTGCCTTTGTTGGGGCATTTATCGCATCTGACGTTGACGAATGATCCGGTCGCGTGTGCAAAGAAGGGCCTGTTCCTTGGGTTTCATATGACAGAGGGTCAAAGCGCCCTAAATTGACTTCATTGATTGAGTTATGTACTACTCTCGTTTAGTTCTGATGGAGGACGTATGCATGGAGGTGAGCTTGGAGTGGATGATTTTCACTCGCTGCGGACCTCAGTGTCTAAAAATTGATCTGGGTAATGCAGTGGCTCAGGTTCAGTTTCACGTGTCCAAGAGCGAGGTTCTGGAGGTCATATGGATACGTTGAGTGGTAGAGGAGCTTTTCAGTTCAATAGAGAAAAGAAAGTCGTTTGATAGTGTGATATCCTAAACACCTGATCTAGTAAGTCAAGCGCCCAGAAGAAGCATATCTCTGGATGCTCCCACAAACTGCATTATTGATAAATTAGTTGCAGACACAGGGACACAGAAAATGGCCCAAAACAAACAAGTGTATGCAGCCGGTCAACCATCACGTGATTCATTTTCCCGAGGAATTCCCGGAGTCGGACAAATGCTCCATTTTGGTATGAGTTCACGTGACCACACAGCTACATGAGATAAGAGTCAAGCTGAGACGTGAGAGTTGACCTCGGCACATGAGTGATTTTAACAAGATTCTACTAAATGGTCTATCGATCAAGGGTCCAACCTGGAAAGCCCATCACTGTGGACTCCTTGGCTCCTGAGCAGACGGAGTTGGAACTCTTTTAAAATTGAGAATACAGCATAAATTATGCTGTCCACACCGTCCAGGTATAAATGAACGAAGGCGACACGGCCAATCGGCGATCGGAGATTCCACATCCGATGTGGTGACGAATATGATTCCGACCGGCAAGCCCGGGAGTTGCAGCAAAGTCAAAAATAGCCGGAGTGGATGGCGCCTCTGCCATCATCAGCAAGCGCTAGTGGCCACTAGGGGTCATCTTTTGGGACTTGAGCGGAGTGTCGACGTGGCTAGCCCCGAGATGGCAACAGGGCAGATGCTCATTACTCGGTATTTTGTCCGCTGACTACCGTCAATCTACTGCAGCAGCCAATCACACAGGATGAAACACAGCTCCGCCTACGCGTCCAAAGATGAAACAAATAGTACGCAGTACGCAGGACTTTACTAGTAATGTATTATGTACAGTACCTCTACATACTGCACTGAATCAGGCCCAACTCGTAGCATGTAGGAACCTCATTCTTCGCGTGGTAGAAATTGCACCTGCTGTCTGCAGAAGGGACGCGTTGTTGGCGTCCTGCCTTAGTGAATGAATCTCAATCCCTCGCATGCGGCCGGATCGAGTGGTTCCAGGGGGATTTTCCCGCCAAGGAAGTCCTTGTTCTGGGTGGATACGCAATCTTGGCGCAGAAGAATCATAAATCATGATACGAGTACGACCGTAAAACTTGGATCTGCGCAGCCCTGCCCAGTCAAACACCTGTTTGCTCTTCAAGCCCCCTGTTCTTCTGGATTAACGCCTGGTCCGGTTGTCAATCTGCCAAGTAGTATATAATCTCCACTCTCCAGAATTCTTCAGTTGGTTTCTCCTTTTTACTGCTGTTGATCTTCATCTCACCACCGCAGCTCTCCTCTACTCCTCCCACGTCCTTTCTACCCGCGGTCATGGATGCCAGGGCGGATTCGCCCGAGCTGGGCAAACCCCAGTTCGAGTCGCACGCTTGGCTCGAACCCATCGTATGTCATGTCGAAATCTAATCCAGATTCTCACTCTTTTGGTACTGACTATCGCTCTGCAGATCGTTGTGAGCATCATGATTGGCTCGTTAATCATCAACCGCCGCAGAGGATTTAGCATTTTTGGCAGCAGAACAACGGTAGAGGAGTATGATAACGGCAGCTCCACGGGGGACTTTCCCTCCAAAATCCCCACAATATGCGGCATCACCATCGAAACCCCGGATTCATCTCGCTGGGCGCACCACATCCACAGCAGAATCCTGCAGAAATTCCCGTTTCTGGTCGAAATGTTCTATTGGGCCGTCAACTATCTGTTTTACTCTGTCACGAAAGCTACGTCACAGTGGCTGTCCCCCGCCGAGATTGGCGTCGTCCAGGTCGCACAGGATCACGGTGTCGGGATCTTGAACTTCGAGCATCACTCCATCGCGCGGTTTTTCTTTCCGGTGGAGGAATCCGATTTTCAGTCATTCTTCCTCAATGGACACCAGTCCATCATGACCTTCTTCAACCGCATTTACTCTCTTGTCCATATCCCCGGAACCGTGCTGTAAGTGTATTTCCCATCTGAACCTCCTGCAACCCAGCGCTCACCACATCACAGGTTCTTGGGCTGGTACTACTACGCTGCCGAGAACCACAACACTTTTGCCGTCGCGCGACGGACCATGACCCTCGGCAACTTCGCCGCCTTCATCATCTTCTGTTTCTACCCCTGCATGCCGCCCCGGCTGCTCCCCGACTCCTACGGCTTCTACGACACCGTCCGCCAAGACCACGCAGAGAGCATCTGGGTGGGCGGGAAGTCCGTCAACCAATTCGCCGCGATGCCGAGTCTGCATTTCACCTACGCGTTCGTCATCGGGTGTACTTTCGTCTACCACTCGGGTTTCGTGCACAGACTGCAGGGCAGGCCGGTCCGCAAGTCCCCCTTCACACAGATCTTCTTCATGGTCATGGCTTTCGTGTACCCCGCGCTCGTGCTGAGTGTTATCATTGCAACGGCAAACCACTACTGGCTTGACGCGACGGTCGCCACGTTCACCGTCACCATCTGCTTCTTGGGGAACCGGGTCCTGTTGCTCCTCCTCCCAGTCGAGTACTGCATCTGCTGGGCGCTGCGGCTCGCAAAGCCTGTCCCGACCACGGGCTATCGGAACCTGTACAAGTGGCGCCAGGAACGTGGAGATGCGCCTTTGCTAGCAGAGCAGGATTCTGATCGCTTCTCCGATTCTGTTGTTTGAGCAAATTTACGGCGTTTGGTTTGGGCTGGACTGGGTTACTGCGGGCCACGCATACGGATAAAGGAACGGTCATCGCATATTTGCATACCAGGCGCATGGAGAATCTAATGTGTACATATTGTAATGGTATCGCTATCATGCATGCAGGAGTTACTTACTTGCCTTCATTTTCAGGATCGTACATTCGTACTCCCGGTGGTTGGCTGAGCCATTCTCTAGCTGTAGCAGTCGTACTATCACGTGACCGCCATGACGCGTGTTTTTGTCTTGTCCTGATCCTGATATGCCGATCAGCAACACCACGTCGCTGCAAACCTGCTTAATCCTCCATGGAAGGTCTTGTCAGTGTCTGATCTACGCCTCCATCGAATGAATTGATCCGAAGAGGGGGCTTGTGGCTTGTGGCTTTTGCCGGTGTCGTGTGACCGGCATTCTGATCAACCAATTGGATGACAATATATCCAGATGACATCGTCAGTTGTCTTCAGATACCGGTGATCATCCCCAAGCCGTCATCAGTAGATTCAGGTGTGTGGACATGTGCAGAATAATCCGGAGAAGGTTGTGCTGATTTAGAGTGGGGATTAGCTGTGGAGCACTATCACCTGACTTTGTCTGGCCTGATTGTACCTGAGTTGATGCTATTCTCATTCTGACAAGAAGGTCGTATGTACCTGTCGTGCTTGACTCGCGGGGTTGTCGAGTGTGATTCTGTGCTGTTTCTTGGGAAATCTTTTGGCACTGTTACTTAGGTGGACTGCGCTGGGCGCTGACGCGTTCGTGTGAGATCACCACTTTCGTTAGAGCATCTCTTGAGTGAAGGGCCATTGATAGTGCCCTAATCAAACATGGGTTTTTAATATGGATGCTTAGAATTCAGTAAATTGTTCTCTCGGCAGACTTTTTAGCCATCAGCTTAAGGGGGATGCATGCCAGCTATGGTTGCTACGCATACTTATGCTCTAATACATAACTTCTTATTACAGTGATTCTCAAAATCGGTCTAACCTTCAAACACTTGTCAATTGTTTGTTGGCCCCACCGCCAAGGACTTAGCGTGATTCTTTTATTGAGCTAATCGCCTTAGAATGAAGGCGGCTGTAATATTCTTTTCGTGGGAAACATAAAAAAGCCCGATTCGAAGAAGAATGAGGCCTGGCGCGTCCTTAGGTTGCAGTTGTGCTCAAGAAGCTTAAAATGCGTCCCCTTCGAGACCGAAGGAGGCAAGGGTCAGAAATAATATAGAAAACCTCTTTTCTCTCTGTCTCTGCAGAGGCGTGTCTGTGTGGATGCGTTCGAAAAAATAAACATGCTGTGTACGCTCCGCAACCATTGGAGGACTTGGGATGATTCTTGTACATGCGCGCCGAACTACTAGGGGATCCAGGTTCTCGAATGGTTCTCACGACGCGCTCGGTTGTTGTCCTGGTCAAAACCCACACTAGTTCGTAAGGGCAACGTGATTAGCTCTATTGAGAAACACCTGCATTTCAGTGGCTGGCTGTATACTAGTGCTGGAGTGTTCATGACATGGGTGATTGCGTTGAACCTGAAGAATCTTGCTGACATCCAGAAAAGCTAAGGCTCGTGCTTGGTTCTAAATAATTTTTCGGCTGCGCTTCATGGCCAATGGAAGAGCATTTCTTGTGGCCAGGTGTGTTGTGGAAAGTACTGCAAGCCTAGCCCGTGATGGGCTTAAATCCTGTCGGAAAGTACGTAAGGACATCTCGCCTTGGCGAGCGGTTGGGGAGCATAGAGAACACGACTACAAATCCATTTCCAGATTAGGAGCAGCGGCAGCAGAAAAGTAAATAACAACCAAGTTCGTTGTTCTGGGTGTGGAGAGCGATCTCCTTACCTTGGGTTTCTGATTTAAGTCATTCAAGACTACAGCGGGAAAAGAAAGGAGGAGATCTAGCTGAGTATGATTGAGCATGCACCTGCCAACCTAGAGGCGCAGAGTGGCTGGCTGGATGGGAAACGACAACTCGTCTGAGCGCTGAAAGGTGCTTGAGTGGAAAGTTTGGTCATTCGGGTGCTGAAGAGTAGCAATCACGATTGTGATTGGACGCATTCGCTATGGTAGGCCTCTTCTGTGGTGAGTTGTTCGTTGGCGGTGCTCTGGCGATTCCGGCATGTCTGTCGGAGGCTGGCTGATATGACCAAATCTTGTCGTGGCCTAGATGTCTTTTTCGCAGCTTTTGTCCGTCACCCAAGCCCTGTAAATAGGAGGAGAAAATCTTTTTCAGTTAATTGAAAGAGAGGTGGAGGGGTAGGGATTAAGAAATTCCCGTGAGATTTCCAAGCCCCTCACTCCAGTACACCTCTCGTCACACGATCGGCTTGGAAAGATAGCTTAATACCAAACGCAGTAACTCATAGTACACCAACACGCTGCTTTAGCGTAAAATTGGACCTCAGCTGCGCCTCTTTATGAGTGTACGAGGCCAAAGCCACGTTCGACTTGTTGTCGGGATGGATGATCGAGAACTCCACTTTTATGGGTACAGCGAGGAAGGAGGTATATGAATAGACAGGAATTTCCACATCACTAGTCAGATTAAACACAGCTGCAGTAACCGAAGATGGTTTTCTCTACCACCTCCCGGAATGTTCGCGTCGAACATGACCGCGAGACAGACAAGATCTTTTTACATGCCGAATGCAAGAGCGACTCCGGCAATTGGCAGTCCAGCTCGATCTGTCTTGACGACCATCTTGGTATTAGCACGGAGTACAAGGGGTTCGACACCACGCAGGAACAGACTGCTTCCGCTCAAGGTCAATCACTGTGGTCGCTTCTAGTGCCCGACAGACTTACCCTGAAAGGTGTCTCAGTATTGTGTGGCAAGGTCCGTGAGGAACACGGTGGCTGGGAGACGTCCATCTACCTCGACTTGCTTTTCAACAACAACAATGGGCAGTTAGTAAAGGAGAGTTGGTATGTGTAGTGAATCATGGCCGCTCTCCCAGTAGGCCATGCTTTGGTCCGCTAATGCTAATGGTTCACTGGTGCAGGTCGAGCAGTCTCTTGAAGTCAGTCGCAATGATCAACAGAGGCTCCGTGCTAACGTTTTTTCTTCTCGCGCCGGATGGGAAACTAGCTATTTCACAACTGTCGCTTGCCGAGGATCTTGAATACTCCAGTGGTTGTTTGCGACCTCGGAGCAACAATAGTGACATCCGCTTCGAGTTTGACGACCCACGCGGCTACGCTTATTGTATATCTCTTATGGTTAAAGACGGTAACTACAGTTCGGGTTGGACACGGGTAGATGCCTCATTTTCAGACCAGTTCAGCAACTTAAAAGGCAAAATATCAACAAAAGACCCGTCAGTATAACCAATTTGATGCGGAAGCATTATATCCTACTCACATATACATGATAGGGACCAATCATTTCATAAAGAGTATCCAATGTCTATGTATTTGGAGCTTCAAAAGAGCCTACCAAGCATAGGCTTCATTATTACAGGAGCAGATACATTTTCCGTATGTACCTTTTCTCTATGACAAAGGTGTCTCTAATCTGGTGAGCTTGACTGATCACCTATTTCGGAAGGGCGAGGCAACAAGAGTGACTGCACAATGCATATACCTTTCCGCTATCCTTTCTGGTGCCCTTCTGGGTGAGTTACTCTTTGGGAGGGTTGGAGCGAGTTATGCCCCTGCCTTTGCTTTTATGGCTGGATTGACTGTAAAATCTGCCGGTGGATCCTTTGTTGGTGACCCAAAATTGAGAGATGAGATAGCAGTGATTGCTCTTATCAGAGTATTCAAGGCAGAGCTTCCAGTTGCAACAGGATTGGACCTTCAAGAGATCTGGAAGGCGGCATTAGAAAGTGAGCTCAGTGGCGGATATGACACTGATTGCCGTGACAAGCTGAAGGACTGCATGAGGCAAGAGTTCACTGACCAAGGCGTGGATCTGAGCATACTGGAAGAAATAATGATGTCCTTGGATAAGTACGTTAAGTCTCTCTTAGGCTAGAATGCGCTGACTCTCGACTCAGAATTCACGATGTGGGTGTTAATCCCGCTGAGATGTCAGAGGATGACATCAAGCACCTGTTTGGCGACTACGATCATGATGGGGTGGATCTTCTCCCACCTCCACCTCCAACACCAGAGTCGCCGCCACCCGCATCACCACCCGTATCGCGGCCTGCATCACCACCACCATCCTCACCACCATCCTCATCACCTCCCGACAAGAAGGACGATGATGGGAGTGACTATATCTCCCGATGGAGACAGTATATCATCGCCGTGCAGGATCAGTTGTACCTTCTCGAGCCGGAGGTCGGTGGTGCTATCGAGGAAAGCACCGCGCAGGCACTAGAAGCCATCGCCAATGGGCTTGCTAGATTAAACCAACTGCTCGAGTTCTGGCCTGACTACAAAGGGGATGATGCAACGAACAAGCAGCGCCTGGCCATTATACAATCTACGACCGACTTGGTTGGAAATGGAAAGCAGGACGTGAAGGACACAGATGAGGATACCTCAGTTCTTAACAAGGTAACCCCACCCTGACCGCGGTGCATAGACAAGACCTAATGCTATCAATTTTAGGTGCTTGCGCTCGAAGAAAAGCTAAATGGTTTGAGGACCCAATTCAGGGACGAAACGACTGCCGAGCAAGCCGAGCTGGACAAGATCAAGCCCGAGCTCCAAACAGCCGTTGAGAAAATGTTTGCTGATCAAAAGCTATACCAGAGCGCCCAGGGCAAGCTCTTGGCGAATATCAAGGAGATTAGTGATGCGGAGCTGAAACATGATCCAGGTGCTACTATTAAAGTAAGGGCATCTGCTGCGCCCTTTGTATTAGACGAACTGACCAAGGTAGGGTGGCGTGGAATGGTACAAGGACCTTCTCCGAAGACGAACTTCTGCCCGTGAAGAGACCCAAAGCATTGCAGATGCAGCGGATGCAACTTACCTCCAATCGGAGGAAATCGTGGTCAGCATACAGGCCCGCCAGGCAGAGCTGAATCACATCCACAAACGGCGATTCTCGGTTGAACGCGAGATCACCAAAGCAGAGATGATCATTGACGACCTAAAAATCATGATCAACGGCACAAAGCAACAGGAGGATCGGGTGTTATCCATGGTGGATCTCTTGTCATCCACCCTTGATGATCTAACGCATGTTGGTGAGCCCCCGTATCATCGACATGACCGAAAGATCGCAGATCAAATGTGCACGACGGTCTTGAAGGTTCACCGAGAGTCTTTGGTGGATCCCTCCTTTGTGGACAGTGCAAGAGAGGCTGTCACGGCTGTCCAGAACTGGTTTGACGACTACATGCCAAAGAGTGTGCAGGAGGAGATTGATGCGATTGTAAACAACTCACTGTATCAGCCATCAACCAATGATGATGCCAAAGGAGATGACGAAATGGAACTTGACGAAGAGCAAGGTCCTTTAGTTGGATATAACTGATTAATTACGCACCCCGCAGGGGTAATATAGTTCGCAGCTGCTAGACGATTATTGTGGTGATCTTATATATTAGTACTCATTCTGGATGGGATCCTGAAATGGGAGCCGAATTGTGACTAACAGGCTGAGAAGCGATGTTTGGCGTTATCTGACAACAGAGGGACGAACATATTGATGTAGTGTTTGAAACTCAATAAAGAGTTAACGCCTGGAACAGGGGAAGAATTGGCGCACAGTTCGTTCTTGGTGGATGCGTTGCTAGAAAATGAAGGGATGACGGAATTCTGCCACCAAGTGGGCTGTCTGTTTTTTCGAGCCGTTGCCAATTCACTGACAGTATGCGCATTCACAAAATTAATAATGCTTGCATAATTACGGTACAGTACAATGGATGATGAAAATAGCTCAATAATTTGCTTATGCCAAGCTCTTACGGGTGGGGCCAACAAACAATTGACAAGTGTTTGAAGGTCAGACCGATTTTGAGAATAACTGTACCGTCAATGGGACCGGGGGGTGTTAGGTAGTCACCTCAATAATTGCATGATGGGTGGTGGGTGTATATCATGATCTATGTGGTAGAGCGGACATTCCAATATATATTTTAGTTTGTCGCACGTGTCGACGCCCACTTGAAAATCAAACACCGAACAAGGATGAACGAGGATTGATCAAACGATATCAATTAACTTGAGTAGGAAAGGATGTGTGCAACATCTGCAATTCATGCTAGGTATTCATTATTTTGTGCTCGTTTCCGGGAGACGTAGAGATCACTAAACAACATAATCGAACGTTTGATATATGAGACCTCGGCATGACCTATTATGCAACAAGACTAATCAATGAATATGCAACACCGAGGCCATGCAGTTGTACACTTTGGTCGTATACTATGGTATAAAACTGTCAAAAAGAACTTAGACAAAATGCTTACAAACCGAAGACAAGCCTACCTCCTCCCTACTTCTATCACTTTATTGCACGACCACTATGAGTTACCAAATCCTAATCACTGGTGAACACGATGTAAAGGCTGCCGAAAAACGGCGAGCAGTGTACGTGCGGCCTTTCCTACTATTCTGGCTCAATTCTCTCTTCGCCGAAGTCATCTTCCTGGCTGTCGGCGTCTTTATCATGACCGGAACTCGCGACCTCATCTACAAAGTCCTGTGGACCTTGGTATTTTGCCCATTGGGGATGGGCGGAGCGATGGGAGGGCTCATAAATTGCTTCATTGTCGACCACTGTTACGGAAAGAAGGCAGCTCATTTCACGGGGATTCTTTCATTGCTCGTTCTGAGTAGCTGCAATTATCTATGCTACAACCTTGACAAACATTTCGGGTGGTTTGGGGCTTCGGAACATCCGTGGTGGTTTCATTGGCGGTATCCTATGATATGGGCTGTCGGGTACTTCAACGGACTTCTCTTGTTCACAGATAAGGGTCAGGAGAGGCTGGCTGGAATGGGTCTCTGAGCTGCGATACTCGACAGGCTGCAGACTATTTGTCGGCCTGTTTTCGGGTGGGGATCATTGATGATGCACGTTTCACTGGGTCCAGAGAAAGAAAGACTGGCGAGGACAAGAATCAACTTCATTTGCATGAACGACGGGAGAGATTGTCGCTTAGAGCAACAACGACGAAGCCTGTGGGGGCAATACTGAAAATTTTCTGTATTCCTATCCTCAGACGTTCATACGTGGCGTAAGTTCCCTTCTTCTTGTAATCAGCGTATTAGCCGCGGTGAAGTTCAGCTTGATAAGCGGCTTGCCTGACGATATTGAAACCAACAATCCAACCCGAGGCAATTACAACAGCCTTAAAGAAATCTGGTATAACCAATTTTTAAAGTAAATCAACTTTGTTAGAGCTACTGCTTATCGACTCGGATAGATTTGCTTAACCCTTTCTGAGACACCTTGTTTATTCTTAATCTACGTGATATTTTCTCGACGCCGGACCTACTTCAACTACCACAAAATGCACTGGAAAAGAACATGGTAAAAGAAATATTCCATTGCTGTGAAGCTCACTTTATTATTTATTAATACGTACGCTTATGAATCAACCTAATCGTTCCAGCAGCCAATGCTTCAATGCCCGCTCCTGCTGGGTTTCGTGATAGTCACCAAACATCGGCCAAACCAGAGGTGCAACATGGCATTCTCTTTCCCCAATTACCAGAGTCGTGTCGGGATTTGATACCTGTGACGTATCAATCACCCCGTCTGCCAATATTATATCCTGTAGCCACTTACTTTGAACCTGTTCACCCAAGCTTTAATTGGATCTAATAGAGCCTCGTCACCACCGGCAAGTACCAGAATCTGCTGGACTTGAGTGTTGTTCCACCACCCTTCTGATGCTTCTGCCGCTTCGATGTAGTTATTGGATGGCCACCCATTCGGATACGCTCGCGACCACTCCGTCATGACCTCCCTTGCATCGATATCCCTGTGTTCACTGGCTTCTACACTCGGCCAGTGTGATGAAACGAGACCCACGGAGACATGAGAATAACGCCTCTAATAGGCTCTTTGATGATTAACTCTGGCACGCCATCGGAGGGATGCGTTAGGTGGGACAGGACTGCCAGGCACAAATTCGCGCCAGCCGAATCTCCAGCTAGTAGAATCTGCGACGGTGAGCGGCCAAGATCCTCTACAATATACCGTAGAGCTTCAACGGCTTCCTCAAATTGAGTCGGATACGCCGCATGCGGTGTCAGTGTATATGTGCAATGGAACCATGCGGTTTCAATATCAGCACTCGCAAGACTCTTCTGTATCCGCGGCCAGAAATCAAGGTAAGGAGCTGTCGCATCCATGGCGAAACCACCACCTGGTACTGATTATTAGTATTGTCTCGCCACTTCTGTGGGCTAAATACCGTGGAAGTTGATGACAATATATCTCGCGGAGGGACTGCCAATCCAGAAGCCTTTCAGCCCGCGGCTAGTCGAGACGAAATGTGGCCTGAGGCCATTCTTTTGGCAGTAATGCAGGTAGAGCTGATCATAAGACTTGAACATGTATCTATTCTCTGTTAACTGTATACGTTTCTCGATCTTTGTGGTACTTACTGCAGTTGCAGCGGACGAAATCTCCTCGTGAGCTGCAGAAGTAGGTTAGTAGTTTGTGATGCCGCAGGCTACGTAGTACACCACCTTCTTGACCACAGCTTGGATCTGATGATGGTGATAAGTGTCTGCCCCTGAAGGGCCTCGGAAGAACCCAGTGGCTGCAGCGTATATTACCTCCGCGACTGTTGAATCTGAGTTAATGACGGCGCACGACGTTTGTACTTCTGTCTTACCAACTGAACCCCAGCCGATAAAAGCATCTAGCTTATCCCGGACCGTCAGAGTGTGCGTCATGTTGCTCAGATTGTGTACACAAATTGAAGAGCTATCCCGGGGAGCTGAGTACGCTATGTTGCACTTTATGGGGGTTACTACTCCCTGCCGCAATGCTGATTAGTATTCAATCCCAATGACCGAGGTGGAATCCAACCCAAGCACCTCGGCACATAACAGTATGAATGATGAAAAGTAACCAGGTGCCCGAGATTTATTGATGTGCTCTTCAAGGTGGATTAAATGCTTGCAGCTTGCCGAACTACTGATCATGCAAGCTCGGACGTGGAGTAGTGGGAACAATGCATTCCGTTCTTCGTGTGGAAACCCCTTAGGCACGAGCTTTGCTGTGTGAGATTCAACCAAAAGCAATTGAATCATATTCTAACGCTTAGACATACGAGATACCTTTTATGGGGTCGATTAAAGTTCCCAAGGCCAGATGGCATCCATAACCATATTTTCAAGTCGTACCCATCGGAACTCTTTTCCATTCTACATAGCGCTCCTTCCCCGACATCCCTCCACTAATGCACCGGTCAAACTCCTCTTGCGCACCTGGTTGGCCAGGGCGGAGCTTCAATCTATAAGGCCATTTGTCGATGATTGTGTGCGTCTCCTTCATCGCCGCCCCAAAAAAATCGGCGGCCTCGCGGAACTTCAAATTCTTCGAGTACCTACTCTCAGGTTTAACATGCGGTTCCAGTCATACCAAAGAATCTATACTGACCTGTCGAAGATGTGGTCATACGGTTTGACAAGGTCCCGACCAAGGTTAAATTTGATGAGCTCGGGATCATAGGGGGAAGTTGGCCTCCCTTTCGGAGGAAGATATTTGAAGAGGCGTTTAGTTGTAGGACTATGTGCCGTCAAGTCCTGTATCCTATCTTCGTCGGTTAAGGTTTCGTCAACCGCATTCATGAAGAGGGTAACTAGGGTGGCATGTGGGTTGTCCAGAGGCGTTTGAAGCAAGGGCACCATCAGCCTTAGGGTGTGGTGAATTCCCAACCAGCCAGCATCCGAAATGTTGGACACCTATACAAGTCGGTCAGTGTGTCTTTCTGAAGTACATTTCAGACCAAATACTGCTTCATGGGACTGATATCAATTGCTCACCTCGATCCTACTGAAAGAATTATTCTCAAGGTGGTCAGGAAGGCAAGCGGCGTCGAGCTGAAAGAGTTGGAAAGAGAGCTTCAGACTTGGGAGCCGACCAAGAAAAGATCCGAGCATTCCTCGAATGTAAAAGAAGAGCTTGCCATATATATCCGCAGTTGCGGGCCCTGTTGACGTAGTGACAACTTCGTCCAAGGGCCACCCATGAAGCGGATCGGCGTTGTCGTTCATTGGCCAGGTATTAGCTGACTGAAAGAAAGTTCTGGTCTTATTAGCGTCCCTACTACGACTTGAAGTCATTTTCCACACTCACGGGTTTGGTTCTCGAAATTCATGGCGTATAGATCCAAACGGAAGCAGGAGGCCGTCCTCTCGGAACTTATTGAAAGCGATTCGATGCGAAGGAGACTGGTAATACATGTATCGATCACGGTAGTCTTTCCGTGATTCAGCTAGAGTAATAGCTGCGCGAACTTCACGTGCACGATCAGCAGTCAAGCCAGCTGGCGGGTCAACAACAGCCAAGAGACGGTCCCAAGACGATCTTTCGAGAACAACTCTGAGAGAGTGCCGTCCAAAATTCCATGTCTTCGCTAAGAGACTCTCAGGCTTTTTGTCTTTGATCTTGTTGCAGACGTCCTCAATGAGAGGTCGAATTCGATGCCGGAGGACGTCGACGTCTGACTCGCGTACGAAAGCCGAGTACCAGAAGTGAATGATGCAATCGACTGCCTCGTCAACTTCCTCGACTATTAAGGCAATAAGAAGCAAGATAACGTTGCGGGCGACGATTTCAAAATCCCGGTCGTTTACTGTAAGTTCGAGGGGTTGGCTATAGCTATTTGGAAGCCGGGCAATTGTCTTGACAATGTTTCGAAGATCCCCTGAAGCTGTAGGGAAAGGTATGTCCCATCAGCTTTAGGCAAGTCAAGGGATCGTATGAGCAACATTAGCCAACTGAAATCAAAGCACGTACCAGCAAACAAGATGCGTATCACTCCACCATATCCTTCCCCCTCATTTAATCCAAGTCGAAGTACGTCGAAGGCAGGGATGTTGCCCCAGAGGTACTTCCTCATCCCAAACTGTACTCCCACCCCTCCTCCAATGAATGAAGGCTTTCGGTTCTCTAGAACCCAAGCGGGCTGCCATGTCTTTTTATTGAGTGGCGACTTACACTCGGATCTGTGTCGTGTCCAGTGGGACTTTTGGCATACTGGACCGCAGTACTACAAAGTTCGATAGGTCAGGACAAACATATATAGAAAAAGCTGCATGGTAATGGATAAACTCACAAGGATTAGATAACAGTTCTTGCAGGTGTACCTGCCTTCTTTCTTGCAGTCAGTGTTTGTGAGGTCCCAGTTGGCACAGATAAGCTCTGGAGTAGTCATTTTGCTTCAATGCCCGTCCAGTTGAATGAGAAATATCACTAAACAGTAACACAAAGCATCGATATGATCTATGCTGGAAGATGTGTTGACTATAAGCCTATACTACTATAAATATAAACAACCTATGAACAAATGCCACATCTCTTACGGACAACCCCACATGCACAGGGGCGCAAACATACATTAGATTGACGCGGTACAACCATGCGCAAGGCTGGTTAACTAGTAAGGAAGTGCTGTCTCTCACCAATTAAAAGGCTATATTCAAATTCCCGGAGGGATATTTGACAGCGTCGCCCTTGTCTTTCACCTCAGGGTCTCCTTAAAGGCCGCTGTCAAGACATCCCTACGCGCCGATATGTATGAACGGTGCCCAACCAATTACATTACCCGGTTTCTTCTGCCTTAGCTCCCTCGTCGCATGGTGTAGAGCATACGCAACCACGTCATGACTGACATTCGAGCCACTCTCCTCCAATTGTTCTATCAGGTTCGATAAAACGCCCTGGCGACCTCGGTTGCACACTGGTTATCGGCCTCCCACAGGGTTCCAATAACGTGCGGGAACTCAATCATTTGGAAGGCGTTGGCAATATGTATCACTTCGTTGGCCAAGTCGATGGATGAGTTCTCTGCAGTGGAGCACGCAGACAAATAGGCGCTCTGTGCAACTCTACGTTGCAATCCCGCCAGTTCTTAACGGTGAGATGCTTCGGAGCCTTGTTTGTGCTCGCCCCGAGGAACAAACCACCCTTTGACGCGTCCTCTGCATCCGCAATTCCGAGACATGCAATGTGAACTGTCCACAGCCGCCAAGCGCACCCAAGACCTCGCTTCTGGGAGGTTCTATGAGAGTGGAAGCAACAATAGAACTCATACTCTTCACGGTCACTGTGACTAGTTCCACCTCTTTCTCCATCGCCAGCGGGTTCAGACCCACCGTTCGTGGCATGGCAGTGATGAGCATCCTTGTAATTGGCTCTAGTAGATGTCGCAGGTTTCGTTCGCGGGCATATAGTAGAGCCATAAGGATTGGGATATAATTGGAGACGACATGATCTGACGTTGTCTTCTTTGAATCGCCTGCTGCGTGGATTGGCATGAGACCGAGATATCCATTCGTTACCCACCAGATGTGCGGAAGAGGGTTTGAAGGCACTGGTTCAAGAAATCTGAAGGCCTTCAAGACAGGACGCACAGCGACGTCCCACAGCCATTTGAGGATTCCCTGGAGCTCTTGGTGTCTCTTGCTCTTAGTTGATGGTAACCTCACTGATAACTTCTTCTCTCCCACAAGCTTACGGAGGTTCTTTAGTAGCTCCCGAAATTGAGCTTCCTCAGAGGCAAATGTATTATACCGTCGTACTCCGTAGTAATCAGGGCATCGTTACGAATCTCATTGGCGTTGAATACCACAATGGGGCCGCATTTAGCCTGTCCTATAATGTCCGCCGTAGTAGGAGGTAAGGGGAATCGTTCAAACCCTTCTTCCATTCTAATAGTGGGTACTAAGTCCTGCCATCTTTCTATGTCCTCGCCCCGCTGGACTACCATCATTGGCACACTGATACTTTTGGGCTTTTGCGCGCCTGCGGATGGGCCGCTGATGTCGGAGATGTGCTCGTTTTCAAATGGCAACGAAGCTCGATCGCGGAACTCAATGTATTGTGAATACAGCGTGTGCCTAGAGTCCTTTCAGCTTGGGAATGTCGGCTCGAGTCTCTGTGAGAAAACTAGCGATAATAGCCCAGCCGACTTCGAGGATCTCAAGGGCTTCCGCAGCTGTCGCGTTCGTTTGAATCACTGCCCATGCCGCATCCTTTGAGTGGTGGCTAAGATTACTGAGAGTCCTCTGCTGGAAATTCTCTGTAAACGACTTGAGAGAAAGACGTGGCAACAGTTTAACAGTGGCCTCCAACACTGATCTCGCCCCTTCCCAGTTTTTGGCCATTATATGATAACGAGGAGCATTTTGGCCTGCAAAAAGACGATCAAGAACACCTCCATTTTCGACATTTTGCTCTTCAAAACTGTGTGCAAAGACCAGGGTGTTCGGCAATGACTACAGGAGCAGATTGAAGATGGCATTGATGTTCACCTGGTGGTGGGCTTCGTTACGTTCCTGGACGCCAGGAGCGCGGGTTATTCCGGGTCGACTGACACATTCCAAGGTCGGGGAGTCATCCCAGTGACTCAGATCTTGAGCAGTGGCTTCCCCAGTGATGGTTTAGATGTCAAACTTTAGGGCGGCTACCAAGCCATCCCCTTCTCCAATTGGTGACTGTATTCTCCGTACACATGTATATAAGTGCACTAATCGCGCCAATGAACTAGCTGTACTAGCCGCCCATCAGGTCCAAGATTTTCGTTACATAACGCATCTTTAGTAAGCTGAGTTCTAGCTGTATTTATTAGGCAGCATCATGTTCTCGCACCTGAATTCAATACATGTACCACCATCATCCATCATGGCCAAGGTCGATATCCTCCTCGCACTATTTAACCTCATCCCCTCCATCCTGGCAATATGCTCGACCCAGTCCCCCTTCTACCCACCTCCATTTTACAACCGTCAGGCTTCTGAGGTATGGGAAGCCCTCGGCTTAGTAGAAGCCTCGCTGTCAACCTTACTCCGCAACTCCAACAACCTAAATACATCATCCTATTCCATTGAAATCACCTCATCGCAGTCCACATTATGGTCGACATTCCATACCGCAAAAGATAAAAATATCACACGCCCTGGAGCCGACAGAGTAGATGAGGCAAGTCGCTATCGCATCGCAAGTATCACCAAGGTCTTCACCGTCCTCGGCTTGCTCCAACAGCATGCCGCGGGGAACCTCTCTCTCGAGGACACTGTGGATAAATACATCCCTCAACTTCGCGGCTCGCATCGCGACGGGAACAGAAGCACTAGTAGTGTCCAGTGGGACAAAATATCACTCCGTTCCCTGGCAAGCCAACTATCTGGCCTCCCCCGCGACTGGGTCTTGAACGATGTCCTCACGGACCCCGAGAGCGTCGATACAAGCACAAAATGCGACCCTCACCACGACCATAGGCCCTGCACCGCACAGGACTTACTCGACAATCTAACAAGGAGGCCTGCCTTGTTTGCGCCAAACGCAAAGTCGACGTACTCAAACCTTGCATTCGACCTCCTCGGGCTCGTTTTAGCGAACGTCACTGGCACCACATACGAGGAATACATAACAAGCGCGATCCTCCATCCCTTGGGAATGTCTCAGACATCATTTGCCAAACCACTGGACAGTGTGTCCGTCCTTCCGAAGGGAAATGCATGGTACTTTGACGTTGATAAGGGCGTGGAGAATCCCACCGGCGGATTATACTCTTCTTCGCACGACATGTCCGTTTTTCTCCGCTACGTCCTCGCCAACTACAAAGACATTGCGGACGCAAAGTTGAATTGGCTTCTACCCGTGTCCTTCACCGCTGGGATGGGAAGTTTCTACGGCATGCCGTGGGAGATTTTCCGCACGGACAGAATTCTTCTCCCGGACGATAAGCGAAGGGCAAGGACAGTTACGTTCTTTACCAAAGGCGGCGGTCTCCCGGGGTACGAAACCCTCATCCTCCTCGTGCCGGAATACGATTTGGGTATCACGTTTCTCACCGCCGGAGATGAGACATTCCCAGAAGTATTAGTGGAGATGGTCATCGGTCCACTGATTCGTGCGGCTGATAAGCTTGCTGCACGTCAGGTTAAGGAAACATATGTGGGGAGATACACTTCTCCTTCTACCGAGGAGCATATGGTCAACTCCACGTTGACACTAACTTATACATCAACCCATGGCCTCGAGGTCAACGAGTGGATTTCAAATTCCACAGATGTGTTGAGTATCATATCCAAGCACTCCCCCAAGAACACAAAATTCCACGCTCAGTTGATTCCCTCCGGTCTCTACAGAGACGAGACGCAACTAGGAGAGGTATGGAGAATTGCAATTGTGATGGACAGGGAGTCACCCCCGGAATCAGTGCTAGGACGATGGAGCGAACACGAGAACAATGCTGGCTCATGGTCTGGTTTCGCACCCGTTTCGGAAGAATTCTGTATCAGCGATGTAGACAATATAATATATGCGGGAACACCCTTGAGCGAGGTTGTCTTTTGGGACAGGGATGAGAAGACCGGCATGTTTGGAATGGTGGAATTGCCAGCCTTTGGGATGAATTTGACTCGTGCGGACCGGACGGAAGAAAGAGCGCCAAAGGAGAGAGTTCTGATCAAGCAGGAACTTTGAGGCTGTGCTGAAAATGGTATGTTTTTTGACGGGTGGATTCTTGGCTCCGAAGAAATGGAGTCTTGGACTCTGATCCCTCCGGACTTTTCATCACGTAGTTGACTACACCCACGAACATCACCAAGAATGCCTTGCGCCCTTCAGGCTCTACAAGATCAAATTCTTGTGACCGGTAGATCTTCAAATGCTCCACCAAAGGCTTGCCTTGACACAATGCCTGCAAATAAGACCCGGAAGCCACCAGTTTCGTAATTTGTAAGGAGGTAAGAGAGGTATGGCGCATATTGATGACGAAGGAGGCATACTCTCCTCGATCTGAATCCTTGTTGAAAGCGGCAAAAATGAGGAACAAACCATATGGTACCTCGCCTTTGATCTTATTTTCTTCTGTTGATCCTTTCATAAACTAGACAGCAGTCAGTAGCTTGGAAGAGGTGCATATAGTGTACGCACATTGTAAATTATCAGAGGAGAAAACTCTTCGTTTTCTCCCTTGTGAAGTCTGCCAATGGCCCCGGGACACTTGAGGTTCCCCTTAATCTTGAATAATGGCAAGTGGAATTGTAACGGTCCGGATTGTTTCCAACTGCGCGAATATTAGCAACGCCTACTAACGTTGCGAGCAAGATACAAACATCTCTCCAAGGCCATAGCATGCCACGATCATCCAAAATAGGATACTTGACAATGGTATAGAATTAGGCTCGTGATTCTCAGGGATTAGGTATGTGAGGCCGCTTATCTCGTAGAAAACAGCGGAAAATGCGTTTTCGGGGTGGCTGAATTGATCATATCGGGTTCTGAAGATATCCTCTCTTGTTGGTTCCATAAACTGCCGAATTTGACCTTGAAAATCTAAGACTTCGGTTAGCTACGACATGATACTCGAGATCATTCAAGAACACGCCTTGGTCGCCTTCGTCTGGGAGGTTCTTCTGACCCACCATCTCCGCTGCAGATATCGTGCCTTTTTCTTCCACATTGAGTGTGCGTATGTGTTCTGATGTCCATTTCTTTGGTTTCTGTAGTAGGAACCCGATCATCCGGCGAGAAATATTCGAGACATCCATCGTTGCTGGAGCTGGAACTAAAGCCAGAGATATGAAAACGTCGTGGTAGTCGTAGCTCCCCAGGCATGATATCATTGTCATAACTAGGTCATTATCAACACATACTCAGAATTTGGCTCTCACTATTTCCCATGTTTAAACTTTCAGGCCATACTAATCGAGGTGGCACCACTTCATCATTACATAGATAATGACCATTACTCGAATACCTTCCTGTAACTATGGTCTGGCAGCGAGTTGCGGCAATAATTGTATTCCACAAATAGTGCCGTACCCTTCAGAGGAACCTTTTCCCTCCGCGCGTCAAGTGGCGAAGTAGGTATAGTCTCGAATATACACTGGCAAAATATAATATCTATGTAGGCTATAGATAGCTTCGTCGAGTATCTATCGCATCACTTGGAAATTCTCATCCTCAGCTGAACTGCTGCCCAAAGTCAACAAAGAGCCAGACCACAATGCATCTTGGTTGTTCTGTATGGCCGCAATGCTTTGCTTGGAATTCTGGCCGACCCGCCAGCAGAGGATACTGGTCCATGCAATGTTTCAAATCAGTCCTCCCCATTCAGCTTCTTTGTTAACCGGTCTCAGAAAATGATCTCTGTTGTCTTCAATACATTGTCTTTTGAAAAGAGGAACGACTGATTCATTCAGCACCCTTCCCGACTGAAATAACTTGTTTATTCCGCTATTAGTGGATGATCTGCCATATTCATGTTAATATTATTCGGCTTTTTCTATTTGACCCTAATCATGTACAGCCAACCCGAGCGGGGCATCCAAGCAGAAAGGACACAACAGTCAAGTTACGCTCTTCGAGATAGCTGAATGTCTGCAGGCGGGCGGCTTGAGGTATTAGTCGATGTCGGGGTAACTGGGCTATATGTGGGGATCATGCCGCACAAATGATGCGTTACAATTACTTTGAGAAAGTAGCAAGGCATAGAATGACCAGAAACAGCTGTCTCATTGGTGCACCATTGGACCCCTGTTTCTCGACAAGTCAATTTTTGACAGGAGGGCTGGAAACATTCATGGTTGCCTGAAGTTCGGGTTCCGCGGGGCCCAGCATGCAACGGTGAATCCGCGCATCCCGTATCTAAACGAGATCCCGAAATAGGGTCTAGATTAGATCTATCAAATCATAAATCATGCTGCCTACTCTCTGATCCTTGCAACCATTCGCCTTGAGCAGGGCTTTCCAAAGCTTGTTTGCCACTCCACACTGACCCCTATTTTGAGCGTCCCCGTATGATTACTCCCTGGATGTTGCAGTTACTAGGCTTTCTCTAAGTACTTCCAGACATGACTGGGCTGTGTAATCAATTAAATGGCTACCTTGAATACCCAAAACTAGCCCTTTCTGTCTAGTTGAAAATAGAGTGCAGGTCTCACATGTGAATTTCAACTAAGTTCTCGAATTTTTGCTGGATCGCGGAGTATGGAGCTAGTCAATCGTTGTAAGGCTGCAACATTTTCTAGCGAGCCTCTGACTTCATGATTGCAGGGTAATGTCTAGAGGGATGGGACGACTTCTTGAAAAGGCTAGCATCCTGCGGGCCAACCGAGCCACCCAAGGAAAAGAGAACAAGAAGCTGAAACCGGAAATGGTAGATATTAGGTTGAAAGCTTCCTGGCGCGCCTGTTGGCCGCCGTTGGGCCCTTGAAGATCGGACTATTCCGAACAGCATGATCACTTTTTACCAAATATGGAGTGACTTGAAGTTGTTCCTATTGGCCCCATCTGATTAGGGCAGCCTGCGCATTCCTGGGACCCGCGGACAATAAAATCGATGTTCTGCTCCCTTTCCTTTTGCTTCTGCTCCGTATTACTAGATTGAATCCATTGAGCCTACACAAGGTTCTCTATCCTTCACGTCCACATTGTACTAGAAGCTGGAGACGAATTATTATTCAGTATGGCGTCCGATAGTACCCCGTTCATCACGAGTGGAAGACCAGAGACTCCCAAGAAGGCTACAAAGACCAACAGAGAACGAGGTAAACGCTGTTGCGCCCAGTATAACAAGACAGAAGGGTGCAGAAGGGCCCTGCTGGCTGAAACAATTGGACGGACATTACACCACAGCCATGCTCGCCTCACGAAGGACGTCAACCATATTTCTCACCATCTGTTCGAAGACCTTGAGCCTCCCGTTACAATGGCTCCGTCAGCCTGGCTGTCAGTTCCCAGTCACACCGGTCGTACCAGTGGCAGCACACGCAGTAGTAGGAGCACATACGACGACACTCTTTCTGCTAGATCGTATGACACCTTGCCCACCGGCTCTAGCTGCATCAGCGAAGCGGACGCGCATAGCCAACGAAACAGCTCCTCGGGCCGAAGATCCCTCCCCTATAAACGCATCGTCAGCTTGGACGGACAGGCCTCCTTCGAAGACGTGGAACGACTGGCGACACAATATGCTCAGGCCTCACATATGGGACTCCTCGACCCCAGCTACAATGTCTTTGTAAATGGAGATCGATCCGGGGGTTTATGCTTCAAGGTTCTGAACAAGGTCGCTATAGTGATGGGGGATCCTATGTGCCATGCAAACCAGATATTCACCATTCTTGATGAATTCAATCGTTATCGACGTCAAAAACGCTGGGATATCTCATTCCTGGGCGCCGGGGGTATGCTTGCGAGTTATGTCAAAGCCCGCAACAAGAAATGGACGGTCTTGCAGTTTGGTAAAGAGCGGGTTCTAAATCCTCTGACAAACGAGGTTATACTTGAGACCAGTGGAAAACGCATCCTCACTCAGAATCGGCAACTCCTCAATCCCAGCAAAGGCGGCATTACCTTGCACATTTATACGCCATCTCTGGAGACGGATTACGAGTTGGAGAGCGAGTTGTGTGCAATTTACGATGAGTGGCGCATGGCCCGCAACAAGTCGGGGAAACTTCAAGCCTTCATCACAGAGTATGACCCCTTCTTGATGCCGAGCCTCATGACATACATCTATACTCGAGGGCAAGACGGGAAGGTCAACGGTTTCGCAGCCTTACGATGGATCGGTGGCAAGAATGGATATCACGTCGATCCGTGTATCGCTGCCCCTGGAGCGCCAAAGGGGATCAGCGACTTGTTAGTATTTGCGTCAATGGCTTGGCTAAGGCAGATTGGGGTTTCATACCTTAGTTTTGGTTATGAGCCTTCCGACTCGTTGGCAGAGGTGTCGGGTATGCCTAGTCCTCTCGCGCATTTCACACGGCAGATATATCGATATACGTTTCAGCGACTCCCCATCGGCGGAAAGAAGACGTATTTTGACAAGTTCAAGCCGGATGAGGAGCAGGATTCGCCTCTCTATCTCATATTTCCGTCGAAGATCCCCGAACCACGACCGGTTATTGCTATGGCTCATGTTGCTAACATCAGTATTCGGAAGCTCTTGTTCGATCACCAGACCAAACCCTCGGTGGTGAAATGACCTTTTCTCTCCCTCAAAAGTCCCTTTTAACAATTCAAAATTGTTCTGGGACCCTTACTCTCTCTCGACTCATTTTCCTTCATTTAGGTATATACACTCTTTTATCCTGTTCGCTTCCAGCCATTGTTTACGCTACGTTTACTTGGTGTCTTGTATCCTTATATCTCATTCTCTTCAGCGACTTCATATGTCTGTATATATTCCATTTATGTCTATAGATTTCTTTACGCTTCCGTACATGTCTAGGACAGACGATGATCTATCTAGCCCGTGCCGTAATCAGAAGGGGACCAAGGCTATTTAATAGGTAGGTAGAATGGCATAAGGGACGAGCTCAGTAGTGAAGCATTCACGCTGGCTAGCAAGACTATGCATCTCTACGGTCTCTATACATGATCTCTGGTAAAACACTGCAGCATAACATGACCACTCCGCGCACAAAATTTCTCCTGCGCCTCGTACCCCTCAGGCAGCAGATCCCCTTCACCGTTCGCAATCAGAGCTTCAGCAAGGGTACAGCTTCCCACTTCTTTAAAGCCCAGTTGCTCGTACAGCCGTACAGCCGCGTCCATCCCCCACTTCACCATCAACCGGACGTTGACATTCCTTGGCTCGGACCGATACTGGACAAGATACTTGATCGCCTCCGCGCACAGTCGTTTCGCGAGACCCCTCCCACGATGCGAAGAGAGCGTGTAGAGACCGAGAAGCTGCCACCGCTCTTCCTCCTCATCGAGTCCTGGTTCTGGCTGCCCGGATGTTGCTGGCAGCGTGAACTCCTCCCTGGTTCGTGGACCGAGCAGCGTCAATTGGGCCACCCATTCCAGATCGTCTCCGAGAGGTTTTGAAGCCGGGCGTGCGGCGCAGACGAATGTTTCCCTCCCTGGTTGTGACAGGCGTGATATCCAATATTCGTCTGTGAAAAGGGCCTCGGATTCGTAAGTTGCAGCGAATGATGACGGCGAGAGTTTAAGCGCCTGCAGACGCAGGCCTCTGTATCGCTGCGCTGAGCGAGTCAGATCTTCCGTCTTAGAGACTCGGAAGTAGGTATAGTGGTATTCCGATGCCATGTTATTTATGAAATTCGGAGAAGGGAGAGATTACGACAATGATTTCGTGAGGTGAGTCCGTCACGGCTTTTTGTTGTGGCAACAGTAAAATACATCCGCTAAATCCGCAACATCCGCAGCCCTAAGGAGACGCCAATTTTCCGGCCGCTTTGACTGAGCACTAGATCCGGACGTTTATGAATATTGAGTGAGCTTCTGATGCTTGATACCATGTAACAGCCGGCTTCTCCTTTGTGACTGGCGAAAGACAAGCCAGGGACAACAGGAATTTCCGCCCAAGTATATCAGCTGCCAACATCTCGATGTCCACTTCTATCTGCAACTACCACCTAGGCTGGTCACAAAAGGGCCCTGAACAAATTCAGCATCTTCTTGCTCCTTGGACTCCTTTGGAACCAGGTACAGTGACACTCACATATTCCATCGTTTCCGAACCACGGAAGTTGACTTCGCCACGAATCGACGAGCGATATCATTGACATGACACACAAGATGTACAATTTCTCACCAACTTGGGAGAAATTTTCACACTACTGCTTCAAGCAGACCACAGTGCCTATGCAAATATTTGAACTCTGCTGTATTACTACCAGTAAATGTCGACTCCTAGGTATAAGCCCTGGTCCTTTGACCATACATCCGAAAAGGGAATGGTCGCAGATGAGGAAAACTAGGATAGTAGTATTAGTAATCATGTGGAATCGTGGGTTTTCCTTGACGGCAGTCTCCTTGGATAAGGATTGCCGTGTCTGCTCCGAGTATCTCGTATTGATAGGAATGGAGTTGCGAATGCGCCAGTAGACGTGTGAAGCCAGAAGACAAGATGTCAGGCCAGGTGAAACGGCAACGTCGGTCCCAGGTTGCCTGTGAGCCATGCCGGACCAGGAAGAGGAAGTGCAACGGCCAGCAACCCTGCGAGATGTGCACAGACTCGGAGTATACATGCCGCTATGACTTAAGTTCACGCAAGAAACGAAACAAGAATATCACCCTGGAAAATCTGACAGCGGTCCGACCGGTGCAGACGCAGCAGACGGAGTCGCATCCAGAGTCCATAACGGCCCCGAATCCACGACGTCCATCACCACTAGGTGAGCGATTTACCAATGCTGTGCAGCAGTCGATCGGACCCAATTCCGGCGCAGTCTTTGTGCAGAACCTGGGCCTAAAGATCGACCCTGTCAATGCACTCGATCCTCAAGTCTTCGCGTGGAATATCGGGCTGCGGCAATTGCCGGGCACCTTCACCGCAATGCCGATAATAAATATCGTCTCCGCGGAGGGAATGAGCGCGTTGACGCACATTTACTTCGACAAGGTCGCTCCTTACTACGGCTTCGTCGACCGGGATAGCTGCTTTGAATACATCCGGTCGAGATGGCATCGACCGTCCGCTTTTGAACCGTGCGATGTCGTTCTTTGTGGCGTGGCCGCGATGGGCTATTTGTTTTCCCAAAGGAAAGCGGTGGCTGCAGAGCTGCATCTAATCGAGTCGGCCAAGTCGGCTCTCGAACAGCGTTCCGGAGGCGAGATACCACCTCTGATGCTGATCACGGGATGGGCTCTCCGGGTTTCCTACCTGCGGTTAACGGCGTCGCCTCACACGGCCTGGCTGGCGAGCTGTACACTACTCCACCTTATTGACGCGTCCGGTCTACACCTGGACCCTTCATCCAGACATGCACTCTTACGGCCGACGCAAAATATCGACGATGATATCAGACGTAGGCTCGTCTCCTTTGCCCAATACATCAACACGTGGGTATCCTTTGACCTGGCAAGATCACGAATCATCCTACACGGCGCATCATACACAACCCCGTCCAGTCGAGACGGAGACTTTACGGCCGAGATGTTGGATCTGCTGCCCCTTTCTGAGAGTCTCGACCCCTTCACGCCGGTCGACGCAGTCCAGCTTACAGCTATGCTCGTCAATATCATGCAAAGTAGCCGCGTTCAACCCCCGTCCGTTCTTTCTCAATGTAACCTCGTCTTGTGCATCTTTCGCCGTCTCCGTGCGGTTCACTCAACCCTATCTGCGGCCCTTATGGGCCAAATGCTGGCATTAGCTGGGAAAGCTCTCGCTTGCGCCCGGGAATTAGTAGACGCGAACTGTCCCTGGAGTCATGTGGCCAGTGTCCCCTTCCAGATAATCTGCACGCTACTAGCAGTGGATAGTCCGGAGTCGTTGTCTCTGTTAGACGACGCGGTGCGGACTCTCAAATACGTAATGGATGCCTATGATACTGAGGTGCTGAGGGAGGCATACCGGACCGCTGGCTCCTTGATTCTATTGCAGCACAGACGAAAGGATCACGATGCGGTGCGTCTGAACGGTATCTTGGGCCTACACTTCTCTCATGACCTTGAAACCGTGTCCCAGCGACGGCAGAGTATACAGGATTCCGAGTCCTTTAGAGACTTAATTGCGGATTTGTCCAGCTCGGAGGATTTTGATTTTGCGCAGTTCTTTATCGCGGATAATCCTTGGAACGCGCTGGCAATGGACGGCTAGAATCGTTTGATCCCAAGTAGTTTTGCAAGAAGACGAGCTGGTCTCGCTGCGTGATGTTCCCTCGCAGAATGTCATCCCAATAGCATACACGAATTAACAGGAATTAATATACAACTCAAACAGCCGACCGAATATGTAATGTGATCGCATACTGTCTTAAACAGGAATACAGACACCAACCTCATTAATCCTCCCGACACGAACAAGCTAACTATCCCAGATAGCCCCATAAGCAGGAACGCCCCTCGTCTCCATCCCATAAACCACCTTCTTAGTCAGTTTCTCATTCGAAATCACAATCACGGCCTCAGCCTGGAACTCCTGCACCGCATCCCACGTCAGCCGGACCAAATCCGGCCGGCCCTGCTTCTTCGTATCGTGCACAATCGCCCCCGAATCCGCGGCGTACACCGCGTCCACAACGTCCTTCCCGAACGTATCGATGGGGTTTGGCGTCGACCAGACCAGCCGGAACGGACATGTTGGGACTTGGATATGCCCGAGGAGAGGACCGATACCTGAGCCGGTGCCTACTAGTACGACTCGGTTGAAGAGCGTTGCGATGCGCATCACGCCGCAGGCTGTTGCGGACAATTAGCAGAGGAATATAATGAGCGAAGAGGAGACTTACTGGGAATACCACGAACCCACAGGTGGGTGGGCGGTTTGCTGATCTGCCGTCCTGTCCAGTCCCCTGCACGAGAGACTACTAGCGAGTACCCCTTCGGTCTACCGTTCACTTCTGTTGGAGCGGGGACTGTTGCGAATGAGTGCCATTCGAATAGAGGCCGTTCGGAGAGCCGGGTAAACGACCCGTTGACTGGCATCGTGTAGTCAAAGTGTAGCCGCACGGCGTGATTAGAGAGGACCTCGGCGTCGACGGGAACCTTTCGGAGGAATATCCACGAGCTTGCAATGCTAGCAGTAATGACGAGGAGCATCCAGAAATTGGGAGAAGAGACGACGGCATGACCCAATGATTGTGTGCCGCGCTGGTCCCGAATGGAGAGGATTGTTTGGATCCAGATGATGCCGAGGATTGTCCAGCCGAAGAAGCGATGGATGCGCTCGAACATGTTGTGACGCTGCTTTCTAAAGGTCGGATATGCGAAGCCGATCATTGCAAATAGGAGAAGTAACACGATTAGAGAAAGAGTGAGGGTTGCGGGTGAGACTTTCGCAATTGCTTTGGCATCGTCGACTTCGTTGTAGATATTATAAGCGATCGAGCCAGCGAACCAGGCCGTAGCGGCCATTGCAGCACCCGAGTGCACTCCACCAAGGTGATAGATTTTTGCGCACCGGCGTCGGATCGCCAACGGCCATGACTTTGGTACAGAGCAGCAGATTGTGTAGAGAATATTGATGACAGCGTCCTGGCGGACGAGGACGGCAATGGTGAGGTTGACGAAGGCGATTGTTGAGATCGACCGGGGACCAATCTTTGGAATGAGGAGAACGCACAAGAGGGCAGCAATATTGGCCAGCCAGATAAGCGTGAAAAGCCTCCGGTAGACAATGAAGATTCGGTATCTGAGTCCCCGAATGACCTTCCGGTTTTTCTTCTCGGCCAACGGCACGGGCTTGTGGAGTGATTCTGAAGAATCCGATCCGCTTGATACGGTTTCGCGAGAAGAACTCAAAACGATTTGCTTCTTCTCGTCTAGTATCTCCGTAACACATTGTGATGTCTTCTCTTTGGGGCGGCACAACTGGGCGAGGGCCCGTTTGTCGACCTTGCCATTTGGCGTCAGTGGAAACGAATCCACCCTATGCACCTGCGTTGGGATAGCATAGTATGGCAGTCTCGCCTTCAAGTGGATCTGTATTTCCTGCGAATCGAGGGCCTGAGGAGTGACGAATGCGACGAGGTCTCCTTCCACCATGATGGCGGTAGCCTCCATAACACCCGGGAAAGAGGCCAATGACGCACTGACACCATCTAGTTCGACACGGAAGCCCTACTTGCATTCAGTAATGTAAAATGAGATAGAAAGAAGCGAAAGAACTACCTTGATTTTGACCTGATCATCATTGCGTCCCAGCGTTTCCAAGTTCCCATCTGGAAGCCACCGGGCCAAATCACCAGTATTGAACATCATTGAGTGACTGCAGCAATCCGACTGTTAGCAAGAAGCAATTTAGGCAAACGGAGTGCCTGGAGACCCACCCATCATCTACAAAATGATCATATCGATAGCGCTCAGCTGTCTTCTCGGGCTGTCCGAGATACCCCCTTGTGATTCCTGCTCCACCAGCCCACATAGTCCCGACCTCTCCAATCGCAACTGGAAGTTGCTTATCGTTCAGTATATACACGCTGGTATTTGGGAGAGGTCTTCCTATGGTCAATTGCTGGCCTAGTTTGTGTCTATGCATGGTATTAATGATGGTGATTTCTGTTGGGCCGCAGCAGTTGTAGAAGGTTGCTCCGTTTGCCACCCATTTGTCGGCGAGACTAAAACAGAACGTTAGACCAAATACGAAGACACACCCTCTTGGACAGTGGCTACCTCTGAGAACATGGCTCGCCAGCGGTGGCGATGCATCGGATATTGGGGAAGTCTTCGGGACGGTATCGCCGGAGTATGCTCGGGGTGCAGATCAGCGTATCGACCTGGTAACAACGTTCAATATGGCTCATCGAATATTTTAGAGCATCTTGGACTCACCTGTTGCAGTGCCGCGTGCCAATCGGACCCTCTCAAAACCAAGGTAGCGCCGTTGCAGAAGCTGCCCAGAATTTCCCAAGCACCTACCAATGTCAATAAGGGAGGGCACTTGTCATCGCAGCTCTCTTATGCTCACCCATGTCGAAACTGATGGACAATACTTGTCCCACTCTCGAACCACGAGACATGCCCAGATTGCCGGGCGCATGGCAGACGACGTTTGTAACATTGCCGTGCGTGACATCGACGCCTTTCGGGGTTCCTGTGGTACCTTCATGGCCAGTTAGATTTAATTCAGTGCACACAAGTGATAACAGACTGACCAGAGGTGTAGATCACATAGCACCCTGAACTTTCATCGCCCTCACAAATCAAACGAGAGGGGTCCACCCGGAAGCCCGTATGCTCCGCCTCAGCGAGTAGTTCCTCCAGAACCAGAACCGAGGATAGCTGTGAAAACGAATGCAGTCTCGACCTGAAGGCACCCGTAGACAATGCTACTGAGCTCTGGGATTGAATCACAGCATGTTCCAGTGTCTGGTCCGGCACAACAGCGCCGTCAAGGGGGATATACTGCGCACCACATATGAGGATGCCTAGAATACCTGCGACCATCTCCACGCTCCGTTTTGTGACAAGGACAATCCTGCTGCCAGGGACCACACCATGATTTTGAAGTCGAAGGGCAATGAACTGGGCATATCGAAGCAGCGTACCGTATGTGACCTCGACCGATTTGTTGTGGGAGAGATCACAGACGGCGATGGAGTCGGGATACTGCCTCGCATGATCTATGAAGGCCTGGTGAACAGTGGGATAGGGAACAGCGCACTGGGGGCCGAAGCCGAATGATCGGAAAAGATTTCCGTCTCGCGGTGAGACTACGGGGGACTCCATTTCTGGTGGACTTTGCAAGAGTACCCAAACCTGTTGCAAGAACGAACCATGCTGCAAGGATCAACAGGGTGCGAGAGGAGTCCCTCGCAGGATATATGTGCGCCCATTGTGCTACGGTCTCCGTGCTGGTGACGAATAGACACCTGTTTTCTTCAAGTTCGGCTGAGGGAAATAGTGTTGGCCCCGCCGCCCAGCCATAGATTTTGATTGCTCGACCCACCAGTACTATGTCAGAAACAACAGGGGTCTGGCCCCGGCAGCCACGACCAGAGCGTAGGATTGCGAAATGGCAGTAAGACAAGCTGATGCATCGCGACGGTCAATTGACTCGATTCGGACTCTTCAGGTGTCTGCGACGTCACACTCTGAGTAGCAATGGGCTGGGCATGCGGGGTCAAAAGCGTCGATCATGGGCCCTCTTGGTGATGGTTCCTGGCTCCCTTTCGGATATTGGTGGCTTTATTCGCTCTAGGGCACTTTAAAAGTGGAGAACAAGACCCTGGTCGCACGCCTCGTCTGCATCGGTCGTCTGAAGAGATAAGGTCTCGACCAATCGGTTCATTATAGTCGCGGTCATGATTCGTGCTCGTATTCTTACGCCTGAATGTTCTCGAATCCATGGACACGGAGTTCAGCCGGATCTGCGCGCGGGGTCCGTATGAAAACGGTCTGAGGGGCTTATGTTACTCTTACAATTCCCGAAAAGGCATCTTGGCCTCTTTGGCTTGTTGCATGTGTGACGCCATCACGCGCAAGTGGTGTTCTCGACATGCTACAATCGGTCTAGCTGCTCAGCCGTTGTCGCCTGTGACAGCTTGACACGGCCCGCAACTCCGTATGTTTCAACCCCTGTTTCCGTACACAGGAAGGGTAAAAACCCGCCGGGAAATGTCTCAGTCAGATGTTGAGCCCCCTTTTTAGCCTGGGCTGCTTCCTCCGAAGCTAGAACATTCCTGTTGCTGTCCCATCCCAGCCTACATGCGCATCGTCATGGATTATTCAACGGGGACCGAAAGGCTTATTTTGGCTCAGACGCATCAGGCATCTGCTCGGATTCTCACTCTGAATCGTCCGAATAAGCGAAATGCTTTATGTCAGGCCCTGATCGATGAGCTATTGCGACAGCTGGAGATAGCCTCGGCTGATCCGCACATCAGAGCTATCGTTATAGCTGGCGAGGGCGCCATCTTCTCGGGTAGGTGTCTCACGTTAAATGTTGGAAGCATGTAGCTAACTCGTCGCAACTTGCGACTTTCATTCAGCTGGTGCAGACATTAAAGAGATCGCTCAATTGGATGGCGAAACTGCTCGGCAGAAACGGTACCTAGAAGATCTCTGTGGTGGAATGAGACAGGTCCGCAAGCCTATTATTGCGGCTGTCGAGGGCAAAGCGGTTTGTCTCCTTCCCTGACTATTGCTATTCCGATGCTGACAAAACATTGCCTCGCAGCTTGGGGGTGGTTTTGAACTTGCATTAATGGTATTCAATATCCCCCCTTCAGATGGCTTTGGACCTAACTGAATCACCTTCAAGGCAGACTTTATCATCGCCACCCCGGAGGTGGAGTTTCGACTTCCGGAAATATCAATCGGTCTGATCCCGGGTGCTGGAGGTACACAGAGAGTGACGGCCGCTGTGGGCAAATACAGGGTAGCTGCTCTCTGGCGGAGCCTGGCCCAATTGAAAAGGGATCATACTAACAAGGTCGCATGTAGGCAATGAACATGATGCTGCTCAATGAGCCGCTTTCTGGGCACGAGGCCCATCAGCTCGGACTAGTAAGCAAACTGGTCGAGCCAGGAAAGGCATTGACGGGGGCGTTGGAGATTGCAGAGAAACTGGCATCTCACAGTGCCTCCACGTTGATGGTAGCAAAAGAAGCAATATGCAGAGGTAAGTTCCATTGCTCTATTGTTTATTTGACCTTACTGACAGCTTTTCAGCGGACGAATTACAACATGACCATGAATTTGAGCGGTCACTTTATTATTCCACTTTTGGAACTCGCGATATGGTGGAAGGGGTCAATGCTTTTCTTGAAAAGCGTGCACCTGTGTGGAGAGCGCCATCTTGAGGGATACCATTGGATGGGAAATTGGCGCATGTACATTATGGCAGGCACATACATAGACACGAACGTAAATATGGCGTTTTGAATTCGGATATGCAAGTAACTGCGGTGATTAGGCATATTCATAACTACAACTGTGTGCGGGTTCATTACGAAGACCCTAAATGCTGGGCTTTCCTTCCGACCTCCACTCGGGCAAGATTGACGAAGACGAATATGGCGGTGGTTGTTCGTCTGAACTGTAGGCCAGATATGCTCGAGGATGCCTGTAGCCCGCATCTGCTGAGGCCCAGCCTAAAGCCTCCTTCTTCACCGTCATTCCAGCATTTGAGAGAACTACTACCTCCAGATCCGTAGCATCGAAATTGAACAATTTCCCTGCGCATTCGAACACCAACGAGATTCGCAGCCGGTATGAACGGCTCAGGTTAAAGGTGTTGACAGTGACAACAGGGATAGGCAATGATATCTGGCCGAATCTCTCTGCGAGATCCATCTGTCCACCAACAGCCATCCGTAGCGATGTTTTGGAGAGTAGCGTGGTCTCTTCATCCACCTCGCCCGACATAGATCCCATCAGTGACGGAGATGCCCGAGCGGCCGTCCTGCCAACAAGTGTAATAGAAACAGTTTGTAAGACAATTTCCGGGATTTGAGGAGCATTAGAGTTGTCTAGCAATGGATTCACTTCCAACAACAGCCGAATCGGCATGCCGTTAATAAGGAAAGACGGGTACTGGAACTCAACACCGAAGGAAAAATAAGGCAACTGCCCAGGAGAGAGCCAGGCCTTGAACCTCTCCTGCACGCTCAGGGACCGGTCGGTATTTTCCGGCATTAAGGATAGACTGCGCACGGTAAATATTTGGTCGATCTTCTGCTTCTTCTCTAGTTCGATAGCATGGGTGTGCGCTCGTGCCACCATCGGGACGAAAGGAAGATGCAGCACTTTCTCAAATACGGGCGACTTTGTCTCAAACAAGCCCTTTGTGTGCTTGAAGACCTGTGCTTTGAGCTGGTACTCAATGCTTGCGGATACCTTTCGCAGTATATTGTTGCACTCGGCATCGAATGTTGGGGGTAACGGTTGGTTCTCGTCGACACGGAATGGCCTTGTCCCAGGCCAGGCATTTGGCGATTCCACATGAGGGGGAAAACGAAACTCAAATTGCCATTCATAGCTTGTGGGCGGTACTTTGCATTGTTCTGCAGGGACAAGTATCCTCTCCTTTTCGAATAAGATGCATTTGCTCCGGTAGGTGACTGTCGGTGCCGCTGGGCCTTTGACTTTCTGAATATTGGCTTTTGAGTAACCGGAGAAGGTCAGCTTGACATCCTTGATCTGGTGGAAATCACGAGGGCAGTCGAAAATCACTCGTCCTTTGATAATGTCGTTTTCCGCGTAACATGGACGGCTGTCGTCAACGTAGATGTTGAGGGACATTGCGTGCTGGCCGTGACAAGGGTGATAAAATATCGATCTCTCCCTTTGAAAAAGATGGATGCCTAATAGAATCGACCTTCTGGAGGATTTTTCCATTTAGATATCATCTGCGTCAGGGAGCCATGGAAGGAAGTGTACATCGTGCTAAATATTCCCAAAAAGGCAAAATCTGTACGAATACGGCGAGTGGAGCCCGGGTGGACCTTTAGCACCATAACCTCACTGGCCTCGACGATCCTTTGCCCCTAGAATGGGATCCATGTTTCGTTAAATGTATTGATGAAGAGAATTTGAAGTATGACTTTCTTCGGGCTTGAGATGAATCCAAGCCCAGAGGAGTGGAACGCCACAATACCCCTGCACCTGCGATACCTGCCCCCCTCCGAGTCCGGCTACCGCTCCGCTGCGCTTCCATGGCCGATCGTCTTCTGGGCGGGCACGGCGGAAGATGGTACCAAGATGGGTGTCAATCCGTTTGATCGGGTGAATCTCGGCTGGGAGGGCTTGTTCGGCCCCCGGACGATGTTCTATCAATTACACCCGGCGCCGGCGGAGGGCATAGATTGCAGGAGAAACCCTTTCCTGTAGGCTAAGCTCGTTGTTTTTTGGCCAATATGACGCTTGATTCTTCCGATGCTTATTAGGTAGTAGGAAATGTCCCTGCGTACATTGAGAAATTGTTTCCTTATTTGGAACCATGATAGTTACAACTTACAAGTTAGTTGTTGGTGCTGCTTCTGCCTGAATATACGAGTACGATCAAACCCCTCCAAAAAAGGTGAGATCTGCACAAAAGGAACCACAATCATGAATCTATAACCAATGGTGATCAGAGCTATGTATAGATGCTAATCATTTCTTCGCAACATTGGTCCGATATTCATGCTAGTAATCAAGTTTGACGGGTTTTGAACGTATCTGTCTGGCAGAATGGCTAATATCCGTCGATATATCAAAGGGGCTGTAGGGTACAAATACAGATATATAAACAACCACCCCCTCGACGTGGGTGAGGAAATACTACCAATACTCATCGTATCTTTTGGGCCTCCATCACAAAATGATATTGTCCTCTTTTAAAATATTTACCTCTTTCCTGGCTCTCGCCAGCGCAGTACGTGCCAAGTCACACTGCAAACTCTCTCCCCTTGACGCTGAGTGGCCTTCTACCGAGGAATGGGCCGCGCTGAACGCATCAATCCAAGGAACCCTGATCAAGACAGCCCCGGTGGCGTCGTCCTGCTACCCGGGAAATCCCTTTGGCTCGACTGAAAATTGCACGACGGTGAAGAACTATTGGTCGTATGCTGCGTATCACTCCGCCTGGCCTGAGAGCGTTGATTATTCGATCTATACCAACAACTCATGCGTGCCTCCTGGTGTTGCAGGATACACGGAGGGCCGGGGCTGTAGCATCGGAGCTCTCCCACAGTATATTGTCAATGCTACTACTGAGGAGCAGGTAGCGAAGGCAATGCAGTGGGCGTCCAAACGAGATATTCGTATCGTCGTTAAGGGAACAGGCCATGATCTCAGTGGGCGGTATGCAAGCTTGGTAATTTCTGGCGTCCTTGTCAACTAATTTGAAGCCCATACAGATCTACCGGCGCATACTCGCTTTCTATTTGGACACACAACTTCAAGCATATCGTGCATCGGCCTTCATGGCCTGTGCCGGCCTCTAACCGCACTGCAGACGTCGTGATCATAGGGAGTGGCAACACCTGGGGATCTATATACGCTGCCGTTCATGCAATGAACCGCACCGTTGTCGGCGGAGAAGACGCCACCGTAGGACCGGGCGGGTTGATTCAGAACGGGGGTCACGGTCTACTTTCTAGCCACTACGGCCTGGCCTCAGATCAGGTGTACCAGGTCACAGTGATCACGACGGAAGGTCGTCGTCTAGTGGCCAACCATGCCGAGAATGAAGATCTCTTTTGGGCTGTCCGAGGTGGTGGTGGAGGCCAGTTCGGCGTTGTCACCGAGTTTGTTCTCAAGACATACCCTGTGCCTGCGAACGTTGTCACTGGCGGTCTTTCATTCTATCCCAGTCGCCGTGGGAAGGCGAGTGAGCTCGCCTCATGGAATGCCTTTGCGGAAACTGCGCGCATGATTCCCGATTTGATGGACTCGGGTCTGACGGGGACTGTCACGGCATTGACGAAGGAGGACGCCATGATTCTTACCGGCGTCAACGAGACGATCCAGGGTGTGGCAGTCACCATCAGCCTCATTGGATTCAATATGACGACGAAGCAAATGAACATCTCCCTTCACCTCCTCGCAGCGCGCATCACGAATTACCACAATTCAAGCGCCCTTTCACTGAAATATCAGCCCCCCTCGGCTCACAGCTATTGGACTTTGGTGAACCCCGACCCGATGGCCAGCAAGGCCTCTGGCGCTAGTAGTTCCATGAGCAGTCGCCTTCTGGGCCGTCGAGAGCTCACCGAACTCCCCAAAGCCAATCTAATCACACATCTCCAACAAATCCTTGTATCCCAGGAACCAGAAAAGGGTGCAATGCTCCTCCTGGGCCTGCAGGGCGGTCGCGGACCAGCCACCACGCCACCAGAAATGCGCGGTAGCGTGCTACCGGCCTGGCGCTCCGCATACGTCCACACCATGCTCTATGGTGCAATCAACGATACTGCAGATCCAGCTGAGGCTTTGGTGACGGCCGCAGAATGGTATGAGTCGACCGTAGAACCGGCTTGGAGGCGCTGGGCCCCGGAGACGGGTTCTTACATGAATGAGGGAAACGCTTTCAGTAGGACTTGGAAGAAGGACTTTTATGGTGAGAACTATGACCGGCTGCTTGCGGTTAAGCGGAGGTATGACCCGGACGAGAGTCTTTTTGTCTGGAGTGGTGTCGGGAGTGATAAGTGGGATTATGATTTACGGAGTGGGCTGCTTTGTCAGAGGTAGATTTTGAAACAACCTGTATAAATTGGTGGCTTGGACATTCTATGGATCAAAGATAGCAATTCCCTCTTGAGCAGTTGCGGGACAATGGGATGTCAAATCTACCGACACCTAGATGCACAAACAAAAATGCAGATATATAACAACCATAATGCACCGCGAGACTCATTCTAATTACATTGGATATCGCAGGGCGTCAACTAGACCTTCTCAGCCATCTCAACAGAGCATCCGTCGCCCTTCTTGTTCATCTCCATCAGGTCTACCTCGGTTACCTCTCCCTGAGGCAGATGCTTCGCCATCGAGACAATCTCCCATGGGGACGACGCATCCCGGAAAACATGGTTCAGCAACTCTAGGTTGCGATTCATGGTCTCGGGGTAGAAGAAATACACCAGCAAGGGGATGCATGCCGAGAGCACGGCATACATGACATAGTACTGGTAGCCGATGGTATCCAGCGCGATGGGCGTGACCATCACGACGACAAAGTTCCACAGCCAGTGGTTCGCCGTCGAGAAGGACGACATGGCAACGCGCAGTCGGACGGGAGCCACCTCGGTACAGTAGAGGAAGTTACCGCCCAGGAAGCCGATCGGGTAGAAGAGGTTGAAGAGGAAGATGAAGACGACGGAGGCAATTGATGCTCCCTTGTTATCTGTGCCGCGACTGTTGGTGATGGCCAGAGACATCATGCAGATGGCCATGCCTGTGCCGCTGATCATGAAGACGGCTCGACGGCCGAGGCGGTCGATGGTGAAGAAGGCGATGAAGCAGCAAAGGAATTTCCAGGTCAGGGCGCAGGCAGCGAGGATCTTGGACAGGCTCGCACTGAGGCCGAGGTTCTGCTGGAATATTGTCGAGGCGTACACGGAGATCAGATTACCACCGCACATCTGCTGGAAGAATTGCAGGACGATACACAGGCAGAATCGGTAGAACAGTCGCTCCTGATCATTAGGGTCGAACATCTCCATCAAAGAGCCTTTGGATTGGGCAGTCAACTCGAGAGAGGATTCAATGCCGGAAATTTCGGCCCGGATCGCCTCGTCCGTGACAGGCAATCCCTTTAGAGACGCAAGGGAGTGGTTCGCTTCCTCGATGCGGTTGACCTGGACCAGCCATCGCGGTGATTCTGGGAGGAAAAAGACAGAAAGAAGGATGACAAGGGCAGGGAGCAGCGACAGGGCGAGCGGGACCCGCCATTGTGTGGTGCTCTCGGGGATGCGAGTCAGGCCGAAATCAATCCAGTTGCACAGCGAGTATCCGAGACACATGAAGATACCATCGATAATGACATGCTGTCCTCTGTTCTTTGCTGAAGAACATTCCGACTGCCATACCGGGACAGCCACGCTGTACTGGCCAACACCCATACCCAGTATAATACGGCCGATAACGAATTGGACCAATCCGTAGGATGCTACTTGGAGGATCTCTCCTATGATGGCCAGGATAGAACCTAGGAATATCGTTTTCCGACGACCCAGTCTGTCCGAGATCAGTGTGCAAGAGAGAGCTCCGATGAGGGCTCCGATCTGGAAGGAGGCAATGACAGCACCCTTGCTGGTGGAGTTGTGTGCTTCGAGCGGTCCGGTCGTGTTAATCGTGTCGATCTGAGGAAAGGTCTTGACCCAACTCTGGAGAGTCGCCAGGGGACCAACACCGGCCTGGTTGTATCCAAAGACGATGAAGGCAGGGGCACCTATCAGAGCCACCTGGGCCCAGTGCAGGGCTTTTCCAGAGAGCCCGAGATATTTGGGGGATTCGGACGCCATGGTGAGATTCGATGCAGCACAAGTCATTGCAGTACACTGGGAGACTGACTGGCCTTTATATCAACCTCTGCGGAGACGAGATGAGACAAGACGAGTCACTCTGAGCAACAAATTCTGCTCCCCCGACTTTCCCCGTTCGCGGGGTCTCCAGGCACTGGCCCCATATCTCTTGGGGAATCACTCCTTGATGAATTGTAATTCGTAAGAGCATTATTGTGCGTTGAGGCGGATGAATCCAATGAAGCGCATGTTACAGGTCGGGCATTTTCTTTCTCCACTGTATCCCCACCGGCCGGCCATTCAACCCCCGGAAACTTCCCGAATTATTAGTGATGCCGTGAGGCATTGTGGAAGGATTGAGTGTGGTTGATCGGGCCAAGAACGCCATCGACCAAGCTTTCTTTGCGTTTTTCTTGGGTCTCTTGGATGATCTTGATTATACAGCCGAAACCTTGCATCGCCGGGAATGAGTACTCCCGTAGAATCAACAGTGAAAACGGACAGTATTATTCTTAAGCTCTCCAGATAGCAAAATTATCGTCCATGACCCCAATTCCCAATATGTGTTTTACTTGACATTGACAAGCATTAATTACAACTCCCATTAGTGCTAAAATATTGCGATCCAGGGCTTGACTTGCTAGAGAGCAATGGATACCAACCATCCCAACCAGGATTATCGGTAATTGCTGGCCCAAGTTCAAGATAATCATAACCACCATATTGGCAAGACAAGAGCTGATTCTTGTCGACAGAGCAAGAGAGCAGTTGATCGGGGTAGCCACTCTTCCCCTGCCACCACCCAGATGCTTGGACCCAAGGTACTCCCAGACCGTAAGGGTCCACACACCAGTAGGGATCTGTTTCAACGCATAGTTGCAGCATTGGGGCACCAAGTGTAGGTGCAAGACAGAGGTACCCCATGGTTGGCTCTATGAAGTACTGATCGTAAGCATCTGGAATTTGGGGCATTGCAATGCCTATGTCGGTTGGTAAACCGTATGTGTCTGTAGCCAGCTGCTGCCCATCTGCGGCAGTGCCAGTACCGCACACTGTGATGGTAAAAATCTGGGGGTTATCGACATTCAAGCAAGGTGCATTGGCCTGGTCTGGTGTACTATGTTTAAGCGTTAGTAAGTAGTATGGCTTCATCAATGTATCCTACATTATAGGCCCATAGCTTCCTAATCTGCCTTGTTCAGAGCTGAATTGCGGGCTCTGTCTACTGAGTGCAAACGGTAGCAGCCCTAATATATCAGAGAGGAACTTCATCCTCGCTAGTCAGTCAATGTGCAATATAATGATGTGCTGAGTAGTGATACAGATCAGCCTCTATGACTTTGGGCTCTACATCATTATTATAAGAAGGAACTACTGGGTGGTTGGGATACCTTCGTCATTGTGAAGTAAGCTATGGCAATGTTAGATGTTCTAAGAATGATTGTATGATGCTGCAAATTTCCGAAAGCGGACAATCATCTTGTGGTGGCTGGCTATGTTGTGCAAAGTGTAGCAGCAACAAACCTCGCCACATATCAGTTTTATGGTACAGCATACTTTTGCAGGTTTTAAACATAGCATACCTCATCTTCAAAATAATAAATTGCATCTGTTGTGTTCTAGTAGTATCGGACCGGAGTCTCAACACTTATCTACTGCTTACTTTGCACCGGCCAACTTCCGGATCTGCCCCACCACGGCCTCGGTGACCTCCCTTGTGGTGGCAATTCCTCCCAGGTCGCGAGTCAGAATCCCCATTTCACACACATTTTCGACACAGTCCAGAAGCTTCTTAGCCGCATCTTCTTCACCCAGCCAGGCCAACATTTCTGCGGCAGTCCAAAATGTCGCAACCGGGTTAGCGACTCCCATGCCTGTGATATCAAATGCAGACCCGTGGATAGGCTCGAACATGCTGGGATTCTCCCGCGTGGGGTCCAGGTTCGAGGTGGGGGCAATCCCGATGGACCCTGCCAGTGCTGCAGCGAGGTCGGAGAGGATGTCGGCATGCTGTAGAGATCCCACAGTCAGTAATCAGTATTTCTGTCGCCAGGGAAAGATAGCCGAATCGAATCTGGTTGGGCCACTTACAAGGTTCGTCGCCACGATCGTGTCCAGCGTCTCGGGCTTGAGCACCATTCGCGTGGTCATCGCATCCACTAGCATCTTGTCCACAGCAACGTCGGGAAAGTCCTTGGCGACCTCCGCAGCTACTTCGTCCCAGAGGACCATCCCGTTGCGCTGCGCGTTACTTTTCGTCACGACCGTCAGCAGCTTTCGAGGTCTCTTCTGCGCGGTCTCAAAGGCAAAGCGCATGATTCTCTCCACGCCGTGTCGCGAGAAGATCGCTGTCTCGGTGGCTACTTCCCACGCCTTGCCCCGGTGCGACCGTCCGCCTTGACCTGCGTACTCGCCCTCGCTGTTCTCGCGGATGATCACCCAGTCCAGATCGCCGGTCTTGCACTTGCGGAGAGGTGACTCCGTGCCGCGGAAGATCTTGGTTGGTCGCACATTGGCGTATTGCTGCAGGGGCTGGCAGATGGCGAGGCGGAGACCCCAGAGAGAAATGTGATCGGGGACATCTGTCATCATCAGTAAGGGCCATTCCGGAGGATTGATGATTGACTTACCAGGCGCACCGACTGCACCAAATAGGATTGCGTCATGCTTCTTCAACTCTTCCAGACCGCCGTCGGGGATGTATTTGCCTGTCTTCTTGTAGGTCTCTGAGCTCCAGTCGTAGGTGGTAAAGTTGAGCTTGAAGGTGTTGAGGGTTTCGCTGAGGGCATTGAGAGCCGTGATTCCCGCCTCGATGACCTCGGGACCGATGCCATCGGCCGGAATAGCAGCGATTTTATAAGTCTTGTTAGGGAGAACGGAGGGGGACATTTTGATGGTGTCTACGGAGTATAGATATTTCTGAATGATTCAACAGAATAAATGATATTTCCCAGTGTGAGGTAGGTAATTCTTCTATATACTCCCTCAAATCTATTACTCCCCTCATTATCACACCTTTGGACCCCCCCCACTTTTGGTGGTGGTGATTGTGCCGGACATTGACAAGTCCGGGCAAACAGAGAACAAGCGGGGTTGTTCTCCTCCAGCGGCAAAATACAGGACTTGGAAATGTCCGCAGTCCACTCTCGATACTTTGAGCATGAAAATGTCTACAGTCGGCTATAAGTTGCCGACCAAGTTGGGATTGCCGATAGATAGTGAAGTTCCAATTCAACTAGATTTTAGTTGGCTTTATCTAGGGACTGACTAGACTAGAATTCAACATTTTCTCGAGCAAATTTCGATCTCGTTTATCTATATATTTTTCCTTGTATGAACCGATTTGCTTAAAGAAGATCCCCATATCCCAAACAAGGACACTCATTGATCCCGGCCCTGAACAGTGGGAAATTGACATGAGACAATACCTATCAAGACTCTGCATGAAAGGCACAACCATATCTATTTTATACATATATAAAGAAAGGTTTATGTGCTGAATTGCGATATCCACTGAATAAATTACTAGTCATGATCGCAAAACATCGCAGTCAAGACGCTTAGATGTGCTGCTGAAACTCGGAAGGATATTTCAATCGAGGAATAATAGTTTCTATAATATGATGGTATACCACTATCGATGGTGAGCTCGTATCATTGACGATAGTAAATCATGAAAAGTTTTCGTGAATCATCCAAGGGCCATCCGCAACACTCCATAGATTGTTTATGGCAGATGGGTTAGCAGTGGCAAAAGCAGCGAACTCCTGACCAGCAGGGATCGCATAGGGCAAGTGTGAGCCCATAGTGTCTCCGAATATCAAACCAGCTGAGCTCAGGTCATTTAAACTGTCGATTTCTATGCCGAGGCTGGATTGGCCATTATGCAAACCGTAGCTCAATTGGTGATCGGCTTGGTTTAGCATGAGCCGTTGCTCATGTGCTGGGGTGGATAGCCTGGGTGTTCTCTCGGTAGTGATTGAAGTATTCATTCTCGACGTCAAGGGAGAAGATAGGGGATCTGCTCGCGACATGCTATCATCCTGCACTGATAATGAGTGCGTCCTACCGTTCGGCCCCCTGTCCATGCGAACCTCGCTTTGAACTGACAGTGTTGTCCGTGGCGTGCTTCTGGAGAATGTCCTGGGTCCCGGAGACTGTCGCACAGAATCAGAACCTTGGTTAGTTCTCAAGGCCGACTCCATGCCTTTGATTGCTTCGATACAGGTTTCCGGCCAGCTACTCTTCCGCAGGGAGAGATTATCCAATATCAAGATGCCGAGTTTAGCGTACTTCAGGGCGCTCGTAGTTGAAAACTCGCCCTCTGATGCTGCATACATCAAGATAAGACAGGCCATCCAGGTGGCCCAGGTAAACGATGGCCAAGTCAGCGGCGCTTGGTGTTTGTCACTATCCGCTGCATCTTCGGTACTTTGGCTACTATTATGAGTCACCAGGTACTTCCACAAAGCTGAAACCAGTGACCGTGACGATTCAATGCAAGTCTGCAGGGCTGGTTTGTATTCTGGCGACAGTCGTTCAGCGGCGAGTAGAGGCCGATTCATCGATATGATGGACTCGTGTCTGAGGACCACAAGCAATAAGCGGTGATAAGACTGCAAAGAGGCTACGTGCTGGGACGGACATTCTAGCTCCTCTTCCATGGGATAAACATCGTCATAGACCTCGTTCCACCAGTGCGCAAGTTCTCCGCTGACATACGTGGCCTGGAGGGTATTATCATGACTGTGCAGGACGGATTTGTTGCGCAGCTCCAGTATAAGGCCTCTGAGCCTTGCAAACTTGGCGAGATGGGTAAGCAGTCGCAAGGGGCTGTGAGAGCCCTTCGCCTGGGGCATCATTGCTATTTCTCCGTGCTTTTCACTCCCTGGATAGCAGACGTCGATGTCGTCATCCTGTATACTAGGTGGCGTGCCGAGAGCTTGGGACAAATATCTTTCTAGACAATAAACCGACCAGAAGAGACGACGGCGGATATCTGCATCCTCGTGGCTGAAACAGGAGAAGCGTGCAGGACAGCGATGGAGACCCAGATGAAACGCAGTTCGAGTGATCAATCCGCCGATTCTGGAAGCTGTATTGAGACGTAATACGGACGTCAGTACTAGCTGGACGCTGAATACTGCCTGTAGCAGCGGGAGTGTTGAGGGTTCTAGCAGCAACGCGTGGATGCTCTCCATCGCCTCTTGCACGGTTCGATACACCAGAACAGAAGGAATCGGGTCCGCCGCGATACCAGAGTTCTGTCCCTGGCGGTTATCAATCACCGATATAGAGAATATAGAGCGTAATATAGCTAGATTGGCACGGTCCAGTGACTCAATTCCTCTCTCGCTGACCTTTTCCATGGCCTTCAACACGGTCGGCGCATGCAGGAAGGGGAAGATAGGGTGCCAATGCTCAAAGTAGCTCCGCGACCAACCCACGAGGCTCTCAAATGAAACAAACTCAGGAGTCTGAAAAGACAACTCGTCTTTCAAGCAAAGTTCATTCAGCTCGTCCGACTTCCCGGGACTTCTTTGTAACTGATCGTCTTCACCAGGCACTAAGCTCTGGCTTCTGACTCGCGCTTGCTGTAAGGCAGCTGAACGCCTTGCGAATGCATTGTAAACGGTCCGGATAAAATGTATCCCACTAGAACTCCCCAGAAAGGTTGCGGAATCATCCCGTTTTGTCTCTCTCATAATCCCAATCTCTCGAGGCGAGGGCCGGGACGTGCCTGTGAGTGAGGTCCCTTTGCGCCTTTTGGCTGGCCGGCCATCGTGGTGCCATTGCACGTCGTCACACTCGGCCCAACCAGTCGCAGATGAAGACGGTGTGGTCATATCCATCCGGATCCATGACCATCCTAGAATTTATGTGCTCAACATTTGCGCAGACTCGTCCACACGTGCGGAGAAAGAGTGGGGTGACTAATCCTATATGTCACGTGGTTCACCGGAGTTTTCCAAGTCCGCCAGCCAGCTCCAAACTCTTGGGTGGTTTAATGTGTATAACCGGATCTGTTGACCTGACAATTGGGTCGCCTTGGTTCAGCTCCCAGTATGCCTCCAGGTACGATAATCGTCGCGATTTTGCGCCTTCTTTCGTTTTCTGTGGAGATATCCTCAGAGTTGTTTTATTCCGCTTTCTGGTTCTTCTGCGACCATTACAACCGTCAAAAAGATCTGCTAATGGCAAGAGATATACAGAGACTGAGTCAGTCAGCCCGATCTCCTGCGAGTTATGCAGACAAAGAAAATGCAAGGCGAGTTGAGCGGTAGTCCTCGGACTTGACTTGGAACTAACGTACCGCCAGTGCGATCGCAATCTGTATGAATAACCATTCACATATATGCATATGCAATAGTAAACGCTACAGAAGCTAAGTGACTATTGTCAGTCCATTCTGCTCTCAGTGTTCAGCGGACCCGTCGAAATGCAGTTACCCAGAGAGTGGGAAGAGGTAAGTAATCTGCCATCCTCCCCCATGATGCTGTTCCTGATAGCTAGTGCAGGGGCCTACCATTAGGCTATATCAATCAACTAGAAATCCGACTTGCAGACACGGAGCTCGCTTTATATGAAGCGCTTACAACTCTACGCGCAATGAACGGTTCATCACTCATTCGAGCTTCACGGAAGGGAGACATATCACCGAAACAGAAGACTGCACGGGTAGAAGAATGGGGACAACTTCCTTTGCGCGAACCATCGGATTTGGAGCGCTGGCTGGAGGCGAAGAGTGACCAGTTCACGATAATGAGCGACCTTCGCGATGCGCAGCGGATAATGCCACTTGGGCTGATCGAGTCCACGGACAGCGCAACACAGCGTCGGGATCCTCGGCCTTCCAATATGTCTGGAGTGTTGACCGCAACAGAATCACCGGACAGCGCTCGATTGGACAGACAAGTAACAGCGTCGAACATGCAAGCCAATCGTCAGCTGAGCGTAAACCAAGCCACTACATCCTTAACTGCTGGTAGAGCCTCCTGGGCTGAGACATCGAGGCATGGTCTCCCGGGACAGATTCAGGCGTTTTCGGGCGAAGTCATGATCCCTGGGGAGGAGAACCAAATAGGCAAGGCGGGACAGTTATCGAAAGTGCACCCAGACATATACTTCTAGCATCAAGGCAGCTCAAGCTGCACTGGGTCGTTTCAATTCCGAAACAGCCACTTGAATAGTGATTAGTCATGACTTTGCATAGCCAATCTCCACGCTAATAGGATCTAGACCTCTTAGGTTAAGGGCCAAGCCACCGATACAGCTGCTGAAATAATGGCCGAGCGGGGTCAACCTCTAATCTTAAACATGGACCCCTTTTGACAGGAGACGTATTTAGGCACTTTCACTCTCGCACTAAGCTTCTGCTCCCATGCGGAGTTCCGCTTGGTCGATGCTAAACCGATGGCCCTCGGACCGTACTCACAAAATGCCTGTGCGCTCTGCCGCAGTCAGAAGAGAAGATGCGATAAGACACTACCGTCTTGCAGTCGGTGCATTAAGTCTGACTTCTCCTCATCTTCTTTCTGATTTTGAGACACTGACACAGGCAAAGATCAAAGCTATCATGCGACTATTCGTGGAATGTGACACAGACCGAGGACGTTCCTCGAGTGTCGCTATCTGATTTCGTCCTCTTCCATGTGCCGGTCACTCATGATCAGCTGTGGCTCCCCGGCAGCTTTCAGGCCTTACACCCCCATTGGGACAATATCAGTCGCCGACGCGTAGATATTGACAACTACTTTGTAGGTCTGGTCATGGCCACACTGACGGAACAATGTGTATCCGTGGACAGAATGCTTGATGAATACTTTTGCCATATCCATCCCTGGTTCTCAGTGATTATAGAGCCAGGTTTCCGAAAACGTCTGTCTCAGCTGCATTGCGAGCCTTGCGCGGAGGCTGCAATGCTCCTATTAGCTGTGTTTCTGGTTACGGGCTTAAATGATCAAAATAGCGACGATTCTCACCGGACGAGGCTCTATCAGATTGGCAAATACCTCTTCTCTTTTCTACAGCTCCAACGGGAACCTTCATTAGAGATGGTGCAGAGTGGGTTGTTGCTGGCATTGTACGAGCTGAGAGCTTCGCGGCTCAGCGAGGCCTCTGTGAGCGTTGGGAATTGCGCAAGGCTGGGATACACTCTCCGCTTGAATATCGATCATATCCAACAGGATGAAGGAAGCTTTCCCTGGGTTGAGTCCGAGGAACGAAGAAGAGTTTGGTGCGGACTATATATGTTAGACCGGTAGGCCGCCTATTCTTCGACTCTATGATGGCCGCTTAAATCAGATGCGACAGGGTCATTTACCAAGTAGCCACCGAGTTTCGGGCGCCCCACGCAGTAGAAGACCCCGATGCCAATTTTCGGCTGCCGATAGACGATATCTTTTGTTATAAACGAAAAGCACCGGTCGAAGGAAATTCCCACCCGACTTTCTCGACGCCGCTTCAGGTTCCCTTGTGTTATTTTGCGCGTGAGATCCAGTCATCCCGCATCCTCGGGCAAGTCCAGATGCTTAGACGGTCAAGTGACGCCGATTGGTCTTATGAACGATTTACAGCTCTCGATCGCACACTGATGCAATTCATGGAGATACTATTTGAGCAAACGCCCGGGAGTTGGGCAGTTCTGTGTGGGGCAAACGCCATTGGTTTAGCGTGCGTGCTCTCGTTATGCTCAGAGGTTGTCTGGTGACTGAAATATACTAGGTCTGCAATAAGTCTCCATCAAGACCGTCTATCACGCGCAGCTCGTGGAGCTATTTCCTCCACCGACCTGGATACCTCATTCCATGCGATCACAGCGTATATTAAGATGGTCGGAGATATCTGCTCCAAATTTGACGCGCTCGAGCCTAGTAGGAAGATACCTTGCGTACCCCTACCAGCCGTGATGTGCACTGGAGAAGCTGTCCTGGCCATCAGATTTCTTAGACGTTCGTATGGGCTAGCATTTCAGTTTGATGAAGAGCCTTTCCGACGCATCCTTGTCTACGCTACAAGAACATGGACTCTTGCCGGTATGTTTGGTGCCTATGTTTTGGTCTCCTCTGCCGAAAATGTTTCAGAAGGGCGGCTGATCCTTGAATATGAAGATGCGTATCTCCGACGGACGGCAGAGATGACTCGGATTCAATAATTCCTTCAGAATATATTGTGGGGTAGTAAATTTTTTGGCTAAGGATAGCCGGGTGCCAAAAGCGCTGTAAGGTAGAGAAACAGACACATAGACCACCAAGGCTTTGGTGACGATGGCAGTAGGGGCAACAAAGCAGGGATACAACAAAAACACTACAAACATAATTTGGATTGATAGCTAGTGCGTGTCACCCAAGGCGACAACAGCAAATAGCAGCAGCACTACGTTAGGATAACCCCTAGCCCAACCGACAATGCAAATTAAACACACTCTCTCAACCTCTTCACCATAAAAGTATCCGGTAGGAAGATGGGCAGTTGGTCAGAGAAACGTCTCGAGGCAGAGACGTGGGCTCCCTCCACCAGCCATGGCAGGACGCATGTCTAGCAATGGCAGGGGAGCGCAGTTCAAGCCATTTCCGATTAACCTATATATGTGCGATCTGGTGGATGAGACGTAGAGGGTCTGGTCATAATGGCCTTTCGGTCTAGCTCGAGGTACTGAAAGTTAGATTTCAATAGTAATATCGCTTATATAGCATTAAACTACCTCTCTATGTCAGATGAAGGAAATACGAGGAATGCAGCCAGTAGTAGTGAGCGCGTCTCATAATAGGTCAGCTAATTAGGCTGAACAGGCTGGCAAGAGAAGGTATTCTATCCAATGATGTGCAGGAAACGTGAAAATGATCTCCCCAAACAGATAAATATTGAACTTGGCGGGCCGCTGGCCGTGGCCATTTCGGTTAAAATCAACAGTGGGGGAATTGGCCCACTTTTTAGCTATGAACTGGACCGGTAAGATTAAGATGATCAGATCGATAACAACTCTGTCTATTCTCTTCACTCCAAGATGCCCCGCGGGGCTGACTACTGCTGAGATATATTAGGCAGGAATTCCTTCCTGGCGGAACACCAGGCTCAGAGAGCATGACTTTTAGTATCTCCTCGCTTGATTCCCCGTAAATAATACAATGGCTCGGAAACCGCCGACTGCCAATTGTAAGCAAACCTTGGTCATGCTTCTCCGTGTATTGGCAAGTTTCCTATGATTCTGCACTATTTCTAACCATTGGTGACAGCGATTGTCGTCAACGGCAAAACCTTCACCCTGAACGGCTGCAAAGTTTCCTACCGGTTCCACGTTGACGAGAGCACTGGTGACCTGCACTCCGATCACTTCGGCGGCAGCGTCAGTGGACCTATTCCCGATGATCCAGCTCCAATAATCAATGGGTGGACCGGTATGCCTGACCGCGTTCGCCGCGAGTTTCCTGACCAAGGCCGCGGAGACTTTCGAGTCCCTGCCATTCGCATCCGCCAGTCACAAGGACATACTGTTTCAGCTTTTCGGTATGAATCCCATACCGTGGTGAAGGGCAAGCCTGCGCTGCCTGGCTTGCCGGCAACATTCGGTACAGAGGAGGATGTCACGACGCTAGTGGTACATTTGTATGACCAGTATAGCGAGGTCGCTGCGGATCTGATGTACTCCATATTCCCCAAGTACGACGCCATTGTGCGGAGTGTGAGCATCACAAACAAGGGCAAGGGCACGATCACGATCGAGGCACTATCTGGTATGAGTGTGGATTTACCTTGTGAGGACTTTGATATGATTTCACTCAGGGGCGACTGGGCCAGAGAAGCGCATCGGCAGAGGCGCAAGGTGGACTATGGAACACAGGGGTAAGACATCGATGTATCAATAAAACTAGACTATATTGACTTAGCTCGACAGCTTCGGGAGTACAACAGGGTTCTCGTCGCACTTACACAACCCCTTCGTAGCCCTGGCGCATCGCTCTACTACCGAGTCCCAGGGCGAGGCATGGGGGTTTTCACTCGTCTACACGGGCTCCTTTGCTGCCAATGTCGAAAAAGGCTCGCAGGGGTTGACGCGTGTGTCGATGGGTTTCCATCCAGACCAGCTATCCTGGCCCTTGGCGCCCGGGGAAACCCTCTCGTCTCCCGAGTGTGTATCCGTATACTCAAAAGACGGTCTAGGAGGGATGTCGCGCTCTCTGCACCGCCTGTATCGCAAACATCTTATGAAGAGCAAGTTCGCTACAGACAACCGACCCGTCCTGCTGAACAGCTGGGAGGGTTTGTATTTCGACATCAACCAGGAGAACATGTACCGCATGGCACAAGAATCCGCTGCTTTGGGTGTAAAGCTCTTCGTCATGGACGACGGTTGGTTCGGCGACAAATACCCTCGAGTCTCAGACGCAGCCGGTCTGGGCGACTGGATCCCCAATCCAACCCGATTTCCTAATGGACTCGCCCCGCTCGTGGATGCCATTACCTCCTTGAAGGTTGCCAACTCGTCAGAGAACCTTCGCTTCGGTATCTGGGTTGAGCCTGAAATGGTGAACCCAGAGTCAAGCCTATACCACGAGCACCCCGACTGGGTCCTCCACGCAGGCTCATACCCACGCACCGAACAACGCAACCAGCTCGTGCTGAATCTGGCTCTACCAGAAGTCCAAGAGTTCGTCATCGACGCCATCACCAAGATCCTCAATAGCGCAAACATCAGCTACGTGAAATGGGACCACAACCGTGCTATCAACGAGACACCTTCCCCCACCGCAAACCACGCCTACATGCTTGGAATGTACCGCGTCTTCGACACCCTCACCTCACGCTTCCCCGATATCCTCTGGGAAGGATGCGCTTCTGGTGGCGGGCGCTTTGACCCGGGAATCCTACAGTACTTCCCCCAGGTCTGGACATCAGATGACACTGACGCCGTGGAACGCATCTTCATCCAGATGGGCACCTCGCTGGTCTACCCCGCCAGCGCGATGGGCGCGCATGTCTCCGCCGTGCCTAATCATCAGACAGGGCGAACGGTCCCGCTTACATTCCGCGCGCACGTTGCAATGATGGGCGGATCATTCGGCTTTGAGCTCGACCCGCTGAAGATGCGCCCTGACGAGAAAGACGCGGTTCCGGAGCTGATTGCGTTGGCGGAGAAAGTCAACCCGATCGTGCTGAAAGGCGATATGTGGAGGCTTAGTCTCCCCGAGGAGTCGAATTGGCCTGCTGTGCTGTTTATCTCGGAAGATGGGGCCAGGGCTGTCTTGTTCTTCTTCCAGCTTAGCCCGAACGTCAATCATACCATGCCGAGGGTGAGATTGCAGGGGCTGGATCCGGGAGCTATGTACCGCCTGGACGAGCAGGGGCCGTATTCTGGTGATACACTGATGAACCTTGGGTTGCAGTATTCTTTTAGCTCGGATTATGGCAGCAAAGTTGTGTTTTTGGAAAGGGTCAATGTGATGTGATTCGGTCGCCGACACTAGTCAGCTAACGTTTTGATGCCTCAGATTGGTACTATATCCGGCCACTATAATTTGAGTCTTATGCGCTCTCCATTCAATAAAAGACAGCTACAAAAGGCGGCTGCAGCTACGAGGAATACGACTGCCCTTTGACATCAAGCAAGCTACATGTATTAGTGAGAAGGTGACTTTAATGGCTCGTTTACTTGTGTAGGCGACAAACAGTCGGACAGAATCATAAGTATGCCCGGAAATCCTGTTTGAAGCACAACTAAATACCAGCACCCTAAATAAGATACTTCTAATTGGTAAGATAGAAAAACAAGAGACAAATTATGATGATGATCTGCAGTTTTGTTTACACGGGCGCTGTGGCTGGAATGTGACAAGGCCGAAGGAATGCGAGCGCATAACTTGATAAACAACAGGCGCTATGCGTCTTGACGCGAGAATACAGTGCATGAAAGACATATATAAGATCATTGGTCGGGTGGTATGCATTGCCGAGACAATGGTCTCGGTTCTGTAGACTTTAAGCCTACGTTTGTTCACGTCTGCTTCCACGATGAAGGCCTATTGTGTCCTCGGCCTGCTGTCTCTATCAGGCCTCGCACTAGCACGGACCCTCAACTTTGTCGCCCATCAGGACGATGATCTCCTCTTCCAGAACCCAGACATCCTCCACGAGATCACCGCTGGCCGGCATGTGCGCACTGTGTACCTAACAGCTGGCGACGCAGGCCTGGACGCCCAGTACTGGACCAGCCGACAAGCAGGCGCCATGGACGCCTATGCCGCAATGGCCGGTATGCCCAATGTCTGGGATGAATCGGACATCGGTGTGGAGGGCAAAGATATCCCTCTCTACACGCTCCGAGACCGCGATATCTCCGTCGCGTTCATGCACATGCCCGACGGCAATACTGGCGGGGACGGCTTCGCCAGTACAGGCCACGAATCACTCGAGAAGCTCTGGAACGGCGAAATCGACTCGATCGGAACGGTGGACGAGTCCGGCACGAGGTACACGCGCAGCGACCTGATCGAAACGCTGACGCAGATCATCAACGACTTCGACCCCGATTGGATCAATTCCCAGGATTACATCAACCCCTATGGCTCGGGAGATCATAGCGACCACACCTCTGCTGGACTCTTCACCAACGAAGCGGCCAAGCCATCTGAGTTTTCGGGAAATGTCATGGCCTACCGAGGATATCCCATCAGTAATGAGCCCGCCAATGTCGCTGGCGCTGATCTAGACCAAAAGAAGGCGGCTTTCTACACGTATGGCAGCTATGATTCCATGGCGTGTGCGGCGGACCAGTCGTGTGCTGGTAAAGATTACGAAAAGTGGCTGCTTAGGCAGTATACTGCGAACTATGAGTAGGTGGTCTCATCCTTTTCTTTCTGGACATTGCTGACGGAGAGTACACAATAGGGTGCAAAAGCCCAAGGCTAAGAATTCGACGCACGCCTCTCTTCCTACGATTCACAAGCCCCCACACCGCTTGAGGTTATAATGACTTTGAGTGTACGAAGCGCATTGCGCAGTAGCAGGTTAAATAATGCCATCAGACTTCCACTCATTCACATGTAGTGCTATTGTGAGGCTTCAATTATTCACTGCTGAGGATTGCAGTTAGTATATAATAATAGTGATTATTCTAAGGAAGCACTGATATATTTGCAAATCCACTCCGGGACTGTTGCTTTTATATGTGTATTATATATATGTACTAACTTGTAGGCCTGATGATTGCCAGACTTCTAGTAAATATATATCTAGCTGTGGGACCACAGATGGCAGTCTGTGTTGTCTTGCCAATCCATGTACATCCTCAAAGCACTGTTTTTGTCTTTTGCGTATCATCTAATATTATATATGATATCTCTATTTCCTTAAATCTCGCCATTCTGCCTCAGGCAGCAACGCACTCACCAACCAATAGTCGGTGCTGTGACCTGGTCAGCCATCGGTAAATAAATTTTGCTGAACTGAGTGTAATCAAGATAAACGCGTCTTCCTGACGCGGATAATTGTTTTGATCAGAAGGCAGTTTCAGCCAAAAATGTAACACATGCGACGTCATGGCTCCACACCGGAACCCACGGTCAGGGACGCGTCGAGTTTACTGATATTCATCCAACTGGCATTCCGTTCCATGACCATCCCAACCTCATCGGGATAGGACATACGACCGTCGGAATGACACCTCGACATCACGATACGCAGTCGATCCCCCACGAGACAGACTGGTTACTGCAAGCTGGGGATGACAACATTTCCGCGACAAAGTCGCGTGTCCACCGGATCGCCGCCCACCTCACCTCGGAAATCAACCCTCACTATGGAGATCTACTCCTCTTATTCTGCTATATAATTACCGGGCTATTGGATAGCTCCGCAGTGTTTATTTGGGGCTCCTTCGTGAGCATGCAAACAGGCAACACCGTGTACCTTGGCCTGGGCCTGATCGGAGTAGACGAGACGACCCGCTGGATCAAAGCCGGTGTCTCCATATTCAGCTTCTGCTTTGGCTCCTTCTGCTTCGCTGCTTTCCACCGGCGGTTTCCGTCGCGACAGCGCTGGGTTCTTTGTGCGTCGTTCGCTGTCCAGATGCTCTGTATAGCAGTCGCAGCGATGATTGTGACCCTTCACTTTCCGTCCAGACACTCGGAACTCAGTTGGAAAGCCCTCGTGCCGCAGGTTTTGGTCGCGTTTCAGAGTAGTGGACAGGCTGTGACAAGCCGCATCCTGCAGTTTAATGGGTTGACCAGTGTGGTGCTGACCAGCGTCTACTGTGACTTCTTCTCCAGTCCCACGTTTCCGTCGCTTTCTGCGGTCGAGGAGAGGAGGCGCCTGGGCGCGATTGTTTGTTTAGTCCTTGGGACGGTTCTAGGAGGGCTCTGGGCGAAAAGTTCGGTGGGATTGATGGGGGCTTTGTGGACGGCAGTTCTGTGTAAGGGGTTGATTGCCGGTGCCTGGCTGGGATGGAAAGGGCAGCAGAGTGATGATTGAAGATCACCCAATAAACCATCTTTGCGGCGTTATACTATAGACACATTCATGCCATAAACAGCGAGACTAGGCTATATGACTTCCGGAATCCTAAGTGGTCAGACTCCTATACTAATTACTACATGGGACGAGAATATGATGCTATTGTATCTTGTGGAGGTCCAGCCTGGCACTTGTACCATTGAGACAGACAGTCACATTCCGCTTTCCCTTGGCATAAAGGCAAGGGGCTGTGTCTGTATGACTTGCCCATTTCTATAGTTGGTCTGATGAATCAGAGGCCAAAGATGAATACTGAGTTGACTGCGCCTCGTGTACAAAGGAGATTCCAAATATCATGATAGAGATTGGAACGTCATCCGGGGATTGAAACATTGGCATTCTCCCTTTATTCGTGGGATTTTCTGCCGCTATAGCTACCCACGAACCTTTCTTGGGATCGAACCATGGATGAGAGCCTTGGCCCCGCAGCCGTTGATATCATCATTCTAGCCTCTTTAAACATCTCGGGATATAGCTTTATCATACTATTCCTGTTCACTTTGCTGCATGCCAAATTCAAGTGAAGAATTGCTTCAATAACGGATATGGATGGACCAGCCAAACCTCACGCACTTCGAGGGCGCAGCGCAAACAGGGAATCTGGCGCAGTCCAGAGTACCCAGTGTTATCGCCTGTAATGTGATCTTGTTGGCCATTGTCAGTCTTGCTGTCGCTGTGAGACTGTATGTGCGTTGTCGCTATTACAGGATCCGTTCTGATGACAGTAAGTCATAATACTCTGCTCGACCATTGGGTCAGGGCTAATTCCTACAGTCCTCTGCATCATAAGCTGGGTATGGGTCGCGTATGCCATGATAACTGCTCTGTAGATATGCTGATTGAGAATCGGCAGATGTTCACATTCGCTCTTTGTTTTATCTCGATGTGGAGTATGGCAGCTTCTTCCCTATCTCGCCTGACTCTAACATGGACCCAGTGACTAGATATGGCTATGGAAGGCATTTTGATCTCATCGCGGACCAACCCTCCACTATATCTATGTTTCTCAAAGTACGTCTCGACTCATCCCCAGTGACCTCCGTTGACATCACTAGCTTGTATTTGTGACTCAACTAGTATACATAATTGCTCTGAACACGATCAAGGCGTCGTTCCCCGTCTTGTACATGCACATATTTGTGCCTTCGCGGGTCCTCACATCATTGTGCATGGCCCTGATCGTACTGCTGATCATGGAGTGCGTCGAAGAGATCATAGTGGTCATTCTACAGTGCCGACCTATCCAGAGTGCATGGGATCCAACCATCCCAGGCCACTGCTTGAATATGATCCTGTTCTACTACGTCAGCTTCGGCATCAAGTTGGCGACAGACATAGCAATATTCGTTCTGCCAATTCCTCCCTTGCTCCGGCTCCGGGTTCGTGGGCTCCAAAAGTTTGTGGTAGTCCTAATGTTCGCACTGGGGTTGCTGTATGGACATCTTTTGGATTGCGTGAATTCCTTTACTGACCAAATAATCCAGAGTCTGCGTGACGAGCATCATTCGCGTGACTTACATTAAAAACCTCGGTCCCGACCGTACATGTAAATCCTCCCCTCCCTCTTCTTGGGAAAGTCTCAACTAACGAACCATTTCAGGGACTCTAGTTGCTCCCCTCAACTGGTCCGCGGTGGAAGTCTGCGTGGCTATTTTCATATCCTGCCTACCCTCACTGAAGACATTGATTACGATCCATTGGCACACAGCCAACCCTGTCACCTCGAGCTCGAGTAACAGGGACAGCACCTCCGATTCTCTGTCTACGCGTATTTGCAGTTTTTTCAAGGGCAGAGGGAAAGAGGCGGACCATGAGCAGCAGCAGATGTCTCCTGACGGAACTGCTCCTGACGATATTCCTCTTTCATCGGGCCATGTTCGTACGATAGAGGGCGTCTCCAGTAATTTTGTCGGAGAGGTATGAGATATAGCCCTCACTGGGCTAGGATATTTAGGTATATGTGGAATCCAAATACCATGACTGTACAAAGTAGACTTGTACAAAGCCTTCAGATAAATTCTTTCAAACTAACCCCCTGACCGTGCATCGAGTATTCAGAGATTGATCGCAAAAGGCTATTGCGTCCACTCCACAGGACCACATCTTTTGCGGAATGTTGACGACCCTAGCCATCGGATCGACGTATACTTGATTATACTGTGATGCCCACTTGCGACCAGGTTATACTACAGTCCCATTGACAGAGTTAGGCATATAAAATCAACCTATCGAAGGATGCTAAAATGAGCCGACCCATGATGCTCATTGGCGCATTATTAGCCGGGATTTACACAGCGGATATTTACCCCTCTTTAAATACGATTCTCGGGTCAAGGAAATCCCCGGAGACCCTAGTAACTAGACTCATCGATTCCGACATGCCCTCGCAAACAATTACACTGGAAAACCAGGCTCTCCGAGTCAAAGTCCATATTGCTAAAGATGGGGCAGCTTTCCTACAAGAGGTGCTGCCTCTCCCCGGCACTTCGCCGACCCCCGCGTTCAAAAATTTCAGTGACTCGTATGCGCCCTTGGTAGAGGTGCGGCTGGCTGGAGAAGGAACAGAAAGAAACAAATCGTCGAAAAGCCTGGTGGGAAGCTACGTCGGAGCTCGTTTGCGATATCAGTCTCATGAGATTGATACTGCAGCAGACACCCAGACACTCCATGTTCGACTGAAGGATGGTATATCCGGGGCGCTGGTGACCTCGCACCTCACGATTCACGAGGGATTCCCCGTGTTACGTGCGACGGCTAGCGTCCAGAACGGTGGAGACAAAGACCTCGTCGTCACGCAACTCACATCGCTAGTCCTTGGTGGACTATCGACTGGTTCGGACAAGTGGTGGCACGAGTACAGACTCTCTGTACCAAGCAACACGTGGTTTCGAGAAGCTCAGTGGGTTGAACATGAGCTTCCCAGTCTTGGAGTTGATGATTGTGGCGTGTATGGGCGGCCTGATTATCATTGGGGAAGCCTGGGCCACTATTCGGTGTCGAACCGCGGCACGTTTTCTACGGAAGGACACCTTCCCATGGGGCTCCTCAAGCATGTCGACGACAGAGATACCTGGCTCTGGCAGGTTGAGAACAATGGCTCCTGGAGATGGGAGATAGGAGACTGGAAGGACAGCATTTATCTAGCTGCTGGTGGGCCAGTAGAGACCGAGCATGGCTGGAGTGAGAGGCTCGCTCCAGGACAGGAGTTTACTACCGTGCCTGTAGCGCTGTGCCATGTTCAGAATGACTATGAAATGGCCTTTGCAGCCATGACCCAGTACCGACGCCAGATCAGACGCAAGCACCGAGACCATGACCGACTGCCGATCATCTTCAATGATTACATGAACTGCTTGATGGGGGACCCGACCGAGGAGAAAATATTAGCGCTTGTAGATCCCGTTGTCAAAGCAGGTGCAGAGTACTTTGTGATTGACGCTGGCTGGTATGCCGACGATTCCGGCTGGTGGGACGATGTTGGGCTCTGGGAGCCGTCTCAGAAGAGGTTTCCGTCAGGATTCAAAAATCTTTTGAGTCAGATCCGAAACAAAGGACTGATTCCGGGATTATGGATCGAGCCAGAAGTCATTGGTGTCCGCAGTGTCGTGTCCAAGCAGCTGCCAAACGAAGCGTTCTTCCAGCGGGATGGTCATCGCATCGTAGAGAAGAATCGATATCAACTCGATTACCGCCATCCCGCAGTACGAGAGCACATGAGCGCCGTCATCCATCGTCTTATCGCTGAATATGGCGTTGGATACTTCAAGTTCGACTATAACATCGATGTCACACAAGGAACAGACATCAACTGCTCAAGTCCAGGCTCCGGCCAACTGGAGCATAACCGTGCGTATCTGAGCTGGGTAAACGAATTGCACGATCGCTACCCGACCCTCCTGATCGAAAACTGCTCCAGCGGCGCCCAGCGAATGGATTACGCCATGTTGGCGGTCCACGCCCTCCAGTCATCGAGCGACCAGCAAGATCCAGAGCGCTACCCGGCCATTGCATCGGCACTCCCTACCGCTGTTACTCCAGAACAAGGGGCGATATGGACCTACCCGCAGCCGGCATGGGACGATGAGCTTAATGCCATGACAGTGGTTAATAGTCTCCTGGGCCGCGTCCACCTAAGTGGACGTCTAGATCTTCTTCGGCCGGAGCAATTTAATTTGGTCAAAGAAGGGATGGATGTTTATAAAGCTATACGGGCCGATTTGCCCACAGCAACCGCATTTTGGCCGTTGGGTCTTCCAAAGTGGCATGATGATTGGTTCTCACTCGGTATGGCTGTGACGAAGCGCGATGGCAATGGTCGCGAGTGCTACTATCTTTCCATTTGGAGACGAGGTGGTCCCGAATCCCTTGACCTGCCCATCAAAACACTCCGTGGTAAGGCTGTTAGCACTGAGATTCTTTATCCTACCAAGCTTCCCGCGACGACCGAATGGAAGTCCGGCGAGGGCTTAATGAAAGTCACTATCCCGTCTGAAATGGGAGCTCGGCTTATCAAGCTGACAGCAGGGTGATTCGACAATTCCGGTCATGGACGGGAAGACATGCGGCATTGGCTATTTCAGCATTGTATATATTGATCTCAGAACTGCTAAAGAAACAACGGCCCTCGTACTTTGTATATTATATCCGTGCGCCCTTAGTATAGTGGATTATCCATATGCGTAATTAGAATATGCTGGTAAACCTAGATAGGTTAGCAAGATATAGGCATATTACTTTAGAAATACCTCCCAGAACACCTTGGATTAGGGGATTTAGGGCTGTGCAAGCCCCCCTACAGCGCTAATACACTAAGCAATATATTAAGCTATTTAGTCAGGATGGTATACTAAAGAAATAAGATATAACTTAATCAATTTTAGTAAGGAAGGCTAAAGATGCTACTACGCAAGAGAGATATGTATAAAATTAACTGTGTAGTAGGAGAAAGTACATGGTAAACCCCCACCACTAGCACCTACATAAGAGAATATGGTATTAAATGGATCAGCAGAGGCAGCAGATGAGAATGGTGATTTTTTATATATAGATAATCCCTAGTACGACCTCAAAATGATGATTTTGATGAGAAATCTACAGTTACACTACAATCTACGGTAACAGTGTGGCATGCCGGAGTGGGTGCGCCTAAGACACGGATACCGCATAAAGTAGTGTGGGGCCCTTCATGTTCCAGTTGCATTCTTCCCTACGGAGTAGTACTTGAAGAGAATTTTCACACTACACAATACGACAATCCTATGACTGGGGATCGCTGATAGTACAAGCTCAAGGCCAGCCTAGCACCTGGTTTGGGCGATCTGCAAGATGACGTGGATTTCTTTCTCAGCTAGAGTGGCGTGCGCTCAGACATTATTCCTGAGAGTGATCTATCCCTTTAGCTAAGGGAATATCATACGGCTGAAGTGGGGCACTGCAGAGTAATTCGCTAATCTAGCCATGTTCTACCTCTTGAGAGGTATCTCTACAGCTGAAAGGTGGGGAGGAGGAGGGGTAATGCTGCGTGAAATCATATAAGAAGGTAGTTAGGTCCAGTTATTTTGTCTTCTTGTTCCTAGACTCCTTATCTTGCTACGCCCTTGTTCTTTACAAACTATACCAAACATCTATTTGTGAATTCTGCAGAAGAGAACCTCTGAAACAAAATGCCTGTTGCACCCATTGGCTCGTAAGTGATGTTGATATTAGTCTTTCCTCTCAGACTCTATTGCTTAGTGCTAATGTTTCTAATGCGGCAGATTTTCGGAATTTCAAGCAATCATCAACAGCGGTAAACCTGTTGTAATCGACTTCTGGGCAACATGGTGTGGACCTTGCCGAATTATTTCACCTGTCTTCGAGCAGTTCTCGGGACTTCCGGAGTTTGACGTCGTCGAATTCTACAAAGTTGATGCCGATGATCAACCAGATATTGCTCAGGAAGTCGGCATACGTGCAATGCCAACCTTTAGTGTTTTCAAAGACGGGCAAAAAGTTGGGGAACTTACTGGCGCCAATCCAGAAGCTTTGAGAAACCTTGTTCGCAAGGCAGCTGAGGCTGCTTAGGGGAGAATCGTTGAAAGTGGCCTGTTTTAGGAACAACTACTTGTTTCCCGCCCATGATATTTTCGCATCCATGGTAGTTAATCTAATGAGATAGCATTCTAAAAAAACACAAAAGCAGAAACGCAAGGAAATCACAACATGAATCACTAATCAACCAAGTTCTCAGCTTCAACCACATTCCCGATCCCGCCATTACATCCACTCTTCTTTGGCGCAAGCGAGAAATTCTCGGACGACTGCCAGGTCGCTGCGGATATGCAGCGTCTGCTTGCCATCCACAAAGGTAACAGGAGCGAACTGACCGTCAGGCATGTACTTGTAGAAGCGCACATAAGTCCCAATCGCAATCAGTCCATAGATGGCGTTCTTCCGCTCTTCCGGTCGTCAGGGGCACTCTGCAGCGAACAACGGAGCTCCCGCTTCAAAAAGTGCTCGTTGCCCTCCCAGGAGAAAGCGGAGCCGTCGGCCGGGGCTGCGGTGAAATTGACCTGGAGGAAATGGACGCCCATATTGAAACCCTGGGTGCGTACGACGGAGCCTAGGCCCAAGTAGCCATGGGTGTTCAGGTATGGGGGGATTAGACTTACCATAGTTTCCGCACAAAAGATGCCCGGTCGATATGATAGATGTTCGAAAGAATTGGATGAGAAACGATCAAGAGTAGAGAAACCGAGGAAATAGCTCTGAAAACAGAGATGGTTGGTGAAGAAAAGAATCTGGCCCTCATTGGTAGATGACTGAGATTTTATATGTTTTCCAGGGAGATGTTCCGGCTTTCAACTTGCTGTCTCAAGTTGCAAACAACGACAATGCCAATGCTTCCAAGACCTTGCGTTGGATCTGTGACTGGGCGGATGAGACAATAGAACAAGGAGATTTAGTTATTGTTTCTTGTTCCTTGGTTCTTGTCTGAGACCATCTGAAGCTTCTCAGGAGAATTGTATTCTGTCTATACCAGCTGTCTTCGTCGTGTCAGGTACTGAGGAAGACAACCAGATGGCTTCGGCTCCTTTGACGTCGCAGAGGAACTCATTTTCGCTAGACCTGCTGCTGGGCTAGAGTATAATATCTTAGGCTTATGGGATAAACTGGTCCTGAGGATGGCTGTGTCATATCATTATGCAATAGGGTATATCATAAGAACGACTTAAGAAGCAAGGAATAATGTCTTGTCTGAAGGATTTTTGTCTCTCCCTAGACTGGTGCATTTAGGTAGGCTTACCAACCCTTTTGGCATGTCTCCTTATGTAAAATGGCCGCCAGATTGTATGTGGTGTTAGAATCTTGGCTACCCTGAGTTCTCAGAACTCTTGACCAGATCTGACTGACTCGCGCTGAATGCCCTCTTGAACACCACGTCATCGTGGAATGACTATATAGCATTTATGACCGATGACTGTACAGCGGGCAGTTAAAAATGATGGGGTATTAGTAAGGAAGGCAGGAGCATCATCACCCTTCTATGACTTACCCTTGAGATTCCAATATGCTTTGAGAAGTATAAATAAATGAAGCTTGGTCCTCTACAATGCTAGATCAACTTTAGCAGTAGTGATGGAGAATATAACTTCTTTTAATTCAGGTAAGACACATAATAGTTAATTACTTAGTGTACTTTATCAGAAATGTTCTTTTTGGTTAAAGTAGATTAGAAGCAGAAGCACTATACTAGAAGATTTTATAATTTAGTTCTGAGAGTGGATACCATGGTGAATTAACAAGATTAAATTCCTCTGGAAATAACATGATGGCTATTCAAAGCTTGCGAGAAGTATTAACAAGCAAACTATTTTACTTAAGAGTCTGCATGCTTTACTCCAGGGTCTGCAATGTAGTCTTGCCCGCAGAGAATCAGACAGATCAAACAGTGCCTATAAGGCAATTAATGGTATCCTTAACCTAGGAGAGCAGATAGTAAAACACCTACAATTAAACAAGCATAGGGTGGAGGATGCTAATTCAGAATCTGATGCTGAGATTAAAGGATAAGGAGCAAAGACGAACAGAGCAGACTAGGACCTGCATAGAAGGTGATAGTAAGCTTTAGGGCCACAGTATCTTCCATACCATTATGGTTGTGATTCAAGGACTAAGCAATACGCATATTTATTTCCCTGATCCTTTACATCACTGTACTGTTAGGGCCAAATGATCATACATGTCTTGTTACAATCGAATATGTTTTACTCTGTACAAACAAATAATCGATTCTGCTTCATAATAACTGCCCTTAATCTGACGCTATCTCTCGCATTATGTAAAGAAAATAAATTTTGGATTAGAAATAATAAATGAATTGCCGTCCTTCCGCTGCCATGACGGCTGATAAGTGCAGTCTATGGGTCTATGGCTCCCAGCGTTGATCTATACGCCCTCCCATGCATGTAATAGTTACACCATCTTCCTATCACCAGGCTGTACTGCGCAGTTGTGCGGTGTCAATTATCTTTATTGGTAACATTCGGGTTGAGAGCCTGCACGACCAGGGGCAAATACACAACGAACCTCTTCCCGCGATCAAGACATATTGAAGAGGTGATTGCCTGGACAGTTTTAGTGATCTCTAGACTGCTCTCCGCTAGAAGTTGTTTAATGTTGAAGTAATTGTTGTTCAATGTTTGCTTAAGGAAGTGGAGTCTTTGACTATCTTCTTTTGCATTTTTATCAATATCTGGCTTCGCACGTAGTATGTTCACTATTGAGAGATATCCATCGTACGCGGCTTGATGAAGAGCAGTAAATCCAAACATATCCAATCGTCTCTATGGTCGTCAATATTCTCGTGGTTGACAAGCAGCTTAACCATTGACGAGCTCCCGTTCTGTACTGTTAAATGGAGTGGCAGGTACCCACGATTGAAGATATTGGCGTCTGAGCTATGGAAGCCGAAGAAGCCTACCGCCGCAGTGCTAACGCGGTCCTCTTGTAGACGGAATTCAGGAGTCGAAGCAGTGGGAGTACACCCAGTATAGAGTCTGGAGCGGACGCTACAGTAAAGTGTGATAGCACTAAGCTGCACGCGACTCATTGTTGTAATTCATGTGAGACAACTCTTCTAGGACGTGTCTCTCTTGATAAGTAAATTCACGTGCTGAGATACCTCTTGTCTGGCCTTCCCTGTTAATAGGAACCTCACGTGCCTAACTTCCTCTCACGAGGAAGTTAACAAGAAGGCTTTCCTCTTGAAAATTGCTTTTTGAGCTGCCATTTACAAGCCCGTTGCTTCCTATGATTGCCTAATCATGAACATATTATCAAGAATACCTACTTATGGCATATCTCATGGGAGAGTCTACATATCCCGTAGATCAGTATAAGAAATGACTCTTAGGTAGTCGGCTGCTCTGAAAGGTTTTCCTCATTGTGCCATAACTCATGTCTACAAATGTCTCATAAAATGAGTTATACGTTCATAGATCATGCTTAGAAGGGGATTTATGTTCTGTTGAATGTCATAGAACGGTGCCACTTGGTAGGCAAGCCTGGCTGGGATTCTGCCGGGCCCAGAACTTCAGAGACCGATATCAGAAGCTGCCTATCCTTATTGAGGCGCCCTTCAGCTGCGAGCATTTTTCTTCATCTTCAGAAATCAAGAATATCGCATTATTGCCGTCGACAGTCGCTGCGCGATAACATTGGGCGGGGCTGACGCTTTGCAGATTCCGATCATAGAGCGAATACTTCTTCCTCGCATACTTCTTTGCAGCTCGTTCCACCAGCGCGGGATCTTGGAAACTGTCTGACTGCCTCCACTCCCCTCGTTCATGAGTCCAGAAGGAGATTTCAACAAGTTCAGGTTGTGGCAACGCCCCTACCGGGCGCCATCACCTGCTTGAGAACTACGTCTGCGGGGATTGCTGGGGTCTCCCCTGGGAGTGGGCGTTACAAGACTCTCCACAGGGGTTCGCGGTTCTCCCTCACGGGGAAGTCCTTGTGGTCCAGCTTGGGCAGGCTCTGAACCAACAGCCTTTGTCAGATCCGGGTCGGAGCTATGTATGACGTCCTCTGATCTGCCGTCAGAAGGCCTCAGTGACGAATCCCGCCTTTCCTGATACCCAGGTGACACTTCCGGAACTGGTCCCTCCTGCTTAGAAAAACCAAATTCCTCCTCAAGCCTTTGAGATTCTAACTCTCTTCCAATTTCCCCTGCTCTTCATTCGGCTCTCATCAATTGGTCAAGGTATGTATCCAAGACCTGTTGTTGACTACCGGAGCCATTCGTGAAGAACTACCCGCTTCAGATTCCCAGGACTGAGGCCCTGGATCATCGATCTGCGTTCGGCCTTGACGGCCACCCCCTTGATGTGGGCTGTCTATTGGGGACTCAGCCTCCGAGCCCCGCTCAAGCAAGGCTGAACCGATGGTAATCCTCGTGCATTGGCTGTTGGTATCTGTGTCGTCTTGGATCACAGATTCATCTGTGGAGCGCAGCACGCCTGGCTCAAGGTTGGAGTGTTATATGCTCCCATGTTGGAGGTTTTATGTTGAGTATAGTGTGCTAATAGTTCTACATGAGCCGTCGGCGCTGTTGCCGGATCGGTGGTAATTGATTCGCTCCGCGGTGTAATAGCCGGACTTGATTCGGGAGGTTTCAGAGTTGAGTGTTCTTGGTCAGGCATATCCTGATCTGAGTGCTCTGTGCGCAACCATTCTATCTCCATAGGCTCTTAAACTTGTTCCCCCCTTTGGCGCAGCAAACGCCTGCGCGTCTGAAGCTTTTGTGTTCGTCGCCGTTTTAGAACACTCTGTTCCCTTTGGTCCCTTGGTGCATGCTGGCTGGGCAGGGCCCGCTGTTCCGCATCCCGGAGGGTCCCCAGGGGCTGTGGCTCATCTGGTTCCTGCTGAGGCAGCTCCTGTGGTAGAGAAGCGTGCATCATGGTTTCATCATCACCAGGGAGATCATCCTCTCCGACGAACAATGGCGGCGATGGAGGAATAAGACTGGGATTCTCTCCGGTGTGATCATGGCCAGCGGGTGGAGCTCGTGCGGGTTTCTCAAAAATACGTTAACGTTAGTTATAGTGAATGCTTTGTCAGACAGGCTTTCTTGACCTGGACGGATGATCTTCCATCGTATGACCTTCGTCCGCTAAACGAAACGAACGGCACGGGCTAGGTGGGCACACTTGATACCCCGAGAAAGCTGATCTGGGCCATTAATATGGGCCGTCTTTAAAGGCGTATTTAATGTTGACAAGTATGTCTGGGTCGGCGCCCTAGTCGTATTAGTCTAGCCCACAATATCCTTGTTTAGAAAACGATTAAGGCGCCCTTTATCCTCTTTGCGTCCAGAAAGCTTATGCGAAATTCCTCCGTCGGCCTAAATTTGTGCCGTGTCGCCCAGCAATTTTTGTCCTCCTTTTGTCTCTTCTCCCATGTTATTCGCTGTAGGCAGGTGTAGGTAATTATATTTGTTAATTTACATTGATTTTTGCCAACGTTATGAGAGAGCGAGTTTATTATGAGAGATTATTTCGGGGGATCCAGAAAATTTCGACTGTTAGTTCGTTCTCTAATATAGCGAGGCATCCTGCTGTTGGATTCATGCGCGAGACCCTAGGTAACTATATCTTACTGTAAGTAAGCTCATAGTTGTGTGCATAGGTAGTATTCAGATGTCGATCTGGCTCCACCGTAATACAGCTCGCGTCGTTTGTGGTTCGATCCTGCCTGTCGAATCTCCATCCAACAGAGTATATGTCCCGTACTGGAACGATGTAGCCAAAAAGTCTACCGCCTTCTAAGCAAATGATACTGAATCGGAATGTGGCATGTCCTTTGAAAGGGGTTCTTTTGAGCACCAAAACACCAAACAGTCTATCATCTAAGGACCAATAATGTATGAGTTTTACCTAGGAATATCCACAGAATCTTGGCTAAGGTTCAAGTCTTGCTTCGCCCACTTAGTCTAATGTGCCCGCAGGATACAATCTAGATAGAAAAAGGCGTAACACCCTGAGAATGGTTAACGCACTAAAAAACATTTCGCCGTTCCGAGGGTGACTCTGGGCCAGTCGCCTAAACTCCGGTAAGCTGTGACCAGTGAGAGAGTACTTGGACAGTCGCGAGCCAAGTTTCGGAGTATGGAACGACGCTCGAGAACAGCGCAGAATACTACGCAGCTATGACTAGAAACAGGTTTCCACTCATTAAGTTGTAATAATTGACGAGCTTATTGTTTTCATGCTAACGTGCTTAAGTCTTTGAAATACGACCGTAGGAAAGTAGAGTAGCTAGCTTGAGTCAACGGAAACGTACATGAATCCCGTCCATGGATGGAACACTGCTAATACTACTTTCAGTATGTAATTTCGCAAGCACAGCACCGTCTATCCCGCCACCGCTGAGCGAGCTTTGGAGATGAAGAAGTCTCGCCCCTTGGATAATCTTACGAGAAAGCTCCATATTGTCATTCCAAAGAGCTGCCCCGTTCCTCCGGACTCTCCTACTGGCACAAACATCACAACACTTTCTCCCTCGTCGTAGGTCTTGCGGCAGCCCTTGCCTAGGATGTCAGATTTCAAATTGGCCCCGACCACTGCCGCTTGCTCTCTGGCCTTGAATGAGAGGCGCATGGTGTTGGTAGTGATGTCACCAGCTGCGTAAATTGGCAAAGGAGATGAGCTACCAGACGACTGGACACGTAGCTCCTTGTCAACCTTCACCCATCCACTTGAGTCCAGGAACTGTGGCGGGATGAAGTTATTGTTAGGGACCACGCCGGTCGTAGGGATGTATAGATCCGCCGAAAGTTTGTCCCCGTTGTCTAGCGAGACCACCCAAATCTTTCTGCCGTAGTTGTCTGTCGAGGCTTGCACTCCAACTACCCGAGTCGAGCTGATGATTTTGACTTTCTTCAGTTCTAGCAGCCGCTGACCAGCATTACTAGCAGATAATTTGAGTGTCGGAAGTACGCGATCCGACGCTGATACCAGTGTGATAGACGTTTCGTCCGCATTGCCTCTCTGATCCGCAGCCTCCGCGAGCTCTCCCGCCAGCTCGACCCCAATGGGCCCCGCACCTCCAATGACGATTTTAGATGCGCCAGCAATCTGCTTTTGAGCTGCTTCGATCAATTGCATCATATCATCGCGTCCAGATTGCTTGAAGGGGATTGGAAATCCGGTAATGGAGCCGGTTGTGGCGTCGGTGGTGCTCCCTGACGCGATAACGAGGTAGTCGTAAGCCACTAACGTGGAATCCTGACCACCGTTGATGGTCACACACACCATCTTAGCCGTCACGTCGATATTGGTCGCAGTACCGATTATGAATTCGAAGGAATCGGACGGATATCTGGCGAACAGATCCTTGATTGGGAACAAATACTGTTCGGAGCGGAAAGCGTCTGGTTTGGCGAAGATTCGTGGCGCGATAATCGGGAAGTAGAAGTTCGTGGATGGATTAATCAACACGACCTTTATATTAACTATTGGCCCACCCTTTAGCAATGAATGGCCGACGTTGATGCCTGCAAATGAGGCACCGATGATAACAACATTGATAGAAGACATAGTTGCCGGTGGAGACGACGGAAATATTATCGCTCTTCCGTCTTGAGGGGTTTGTTTAATGAAAGAGGGAAAGTTCACACGGACCCTTCAGTCGAACGTTCCAAGATTGGAATCATTGTACTCTGGTGAGTATGCCACAGGCAAGGATAATATATAGTCTGCGGGAGGCCGTGGGCCATTTTGGTTTATGGTAATCATATGTCGAGGCAGGAGCGGTAACTTATTGCCTAGACAAGGGCTATACTGAGTGGTCCTATATGTATAGAAATCTAAGGTCTTTGGAATTACGATTTTCGTAACAGCGTGTATCAGAGACGTAGATGTGCTATTTTCAATCTGCCCTATTAACATCTGTTCCGTCTTCAATCAATCGACTTATTAAGTTAGTCCAGAGTCGGTTCCGCTTAGCTCATCCGCGATCTCATTCGTTTGAATAGATTACTAGCTCATACTGTCCCAGCTTCCCCAGAGATCACGAATAATCAAATCAGGCGTTGTACACTATCTTTCTGCGAGTGGGTGGAAGCACCGTGGTCCAGATGTTAAAGAACGGCCACTATAGGTTACGCATAGATAGCTTACCGTAGAGCGTAAGTTATCAGACATGGATTTGGTATTTTATCGAACCACACCTCCACTGTATATTCTGAGCACCCTAGTTTACACTACCCATAGCAGAACCTACCCACAACGCTTGTAAGTGGTGTAGGTATCTTTTGCTATGGGTATACGTTTTGTTCTGGTGATCGGTATACCTTTGGTCTCGTCAACTGTTAGACTACAGATAACACTAGCCATTCGACGTCTCAACCATGTTCTCTAGAGATACGAGCATCAGAAGCGTTCACTTATATGTCCCATAGATGCTTGTTTATTGTAAGAACTGCAAACCTGTGCCATCTCTTAAATTGCCACACCCTTCGGCAGTCCTCGAAGGTTACGGTGGGTGCGCATGGGCAATGTCAACGGCCGTCCGAGCCGCACGACTCAAACTCTTCACGTAGTTGACAAGTTGTTGGAGACTAGATATTCTACGGCTTTGGTGAGACTTATTGACCGACTCTAAGACCAGCCACAGGTTTTGGATGAGCTCTAAATCTCTTACTACCTCTGGCTTTCGAGGATCCTGCAAGATATTGCAGTAGACCGTGTAGAAATTTGGAAGGCAAAAGGGAACAGCGAACCTATGTGGGACGGAACGAGGTTAGCATATAAGCGACCGCTAATATGAGTCGTTACATACCCAAGTGCGCCAGTTGAAAATTCTCTACTGGCAACATGTAGATGAAAAAGTGCTGACCGACTTGCCTCCAGAGAAAGCGCGAAGCTTGAATCGATGCATTCTTGTAGCTTATAGCATACAGAGGACAATGACGCTAACTGGTAGCATGCATGATGAATGTTCGTTATGCACCAGTAGTAATCAAGCCGGAGAGTAAATAGATAGAAAAAAGCGCTTTCGATTCTCGGTTTAGTGTCCGGAACAAAAAGGGTAAGGTTCCAATGGGGAGGAAATGAGCGTCTCCAGTCTTCAAGTTCCTTGTCGAGAATGCGAATATCCCGCAGGAGCTCATGCGTTGGTTTCTGGCGGGCCATAGGTGATAAGAATGCCGCGAATATCTTGGACTTAATAATGCTCAAACGAATATCAACTGGAAAGATAGCACCTTCAAATGGCCCCGTAGAGGTCACCGAACGCCCCAGGTTCTGTAGAAGCCTGTCCACATACCCCGCAGGCAGAGAGAGATCACATAGTGTGTCGTCAATCAGCGAAAGCGGTCTGTAATGGCCTACGAAGGATCGTTTATCGATTGTGTAACAAAGCCAGAACAGATTCCGTATATGCGTGCTCGCCATGGAAGCAGCGACACTCAGGTTAGTATGACCTTCCATCTCAAAAACCATGCTCAATGCGGCAGAATGGTAGGACATGATGAGTTCTTCATCACCAGAAAGAGGCGCGAGGAAGATCATCATGATTAAGGCTTGGATGCCGTCGATAGATGCTGGTTCAGCGAGAATTGAATGAAAGAAAATCCGGGACTTTTCTAGCAGATCTCGTCCGTACTCGTCGGCTTTGGTAGGTCCAAGCCTCAGTACATTGAAAAAATGAAAAAAGCAGAATAGTGATACCCTTGCACTACAGGACGTTGGGTTTGGCGAAGATTCAGAGTAAATTTGATCGACAGTGTGGCGGAATAAGTCGGGGTCAATAACCGGAAATAGAAGCTGGAAGACAGACTCTTCATACCGATCGACACATTGCAATAACGAGCGGCGGTCTGGCAATTCGGGATGACAACATTCCATGACTTCTCGGGCAACGGGAACTGGCATTGTAGAGATGACTGTCTCGGTTTTGGCTGAGTTTGGATTCCCATTACGGCTACCGTGTCTTGGTTAGAATAACATAAGGCAGAACTATGAGAGCTTTGAATACATACTCGGTTCTGCGGTCGTTTTGTGGTTTCCATGCCCGACGCCCAGGTCTAGTAAAGGTACAGTCAACACCGTGATGTGCGCACCAGTCACATCGTGGACCGATCAAGTCGCATTTAATCTGTAATGATCAACCATGCTTCATTACAAAAGATGGCAAATTCAGGAACAATACCTTTCTCCGGTAGCAGGCATCGCATGCCCGGAATAATCGTTCCCGGGTCTTCTTGGATTCTGATGCTTCCGGACACAACGAGAGCTCCATGTTGGCCTTTAGCACTGAGTGATACAAACTAAAGTAGAAAGAACAAGCAGCATTTGAGTGAAACCAGTGTTGAGGACTTGGCATAGCCTTGTATTACTCAGCGGAGGTAACTAACTAACCTAACTAACTAACGAACGTAATTCCAAGCCATTCGGAACGCCCAGCCATTCCGAATACTCCTAAACAACATATTAAATGCCATATTTACTTCCTTGAAAGTTCAACCACCAGGTGTTTATTTGCGTTCAACTTTGAGAATGCTCATCTCCTGGACACAAGGAACGAGATATCTAGATAATCATCGATTAAGTTTATTATTTCGATACGTCACCATTAAATACCAAATAATTTTGACATTTGCGATATAAATATATATATCTCAAGGGCCACTTAAAAAGTTAAAATAGCTTTCAGTACTCCTCCAGTATGTTAGAAGTAGTTTTTCTAAATTGTGGAAACTCAATATTATCCAAACTAAACATGATTGTTGAGATATGAAGTTGTAATTTATCGCCTTTAATATGTGTTTTGGGTGTTCTGAATGGCCAGGAATTCTGATACGATAACAAGATCCGGGTGAGTGGGGCCCACGAATACCGTCTATTTCAGCCTATTCTAGCATGTACACCGTTTGGGGTACTGAGAATAATACGTCTGGTTTGAACCTGTTCAGAGGATGGTTTCGCCATATACCATAAAATACAAACTAATTTAGACATTGGAATGTCGAACGTACAGTCAGAGTTCAAAAGGATTTAAAACATGCTACAAAACCCACCTGCTTTTCTGCTAGTCAAACTCCTAACCATTGATTCCTGTACCAATTCCCCTAATAGTCTTTATGTCGGCCGTTGTTTTTAACAACTCCCTCCACACGATGACGCATAGCCACTGCTAGAGTGAAAAAGTGATAGACCGACAAGTTAAAAGGCAGAGGAATTACCCATACTCGAGGAAGGTGGCAGTAGCTGTTATAGGTAAGCGGAAGACATGGGGCAGTGGTTGGAAGGAGTGTATTCCAAAATAGTTTTGAATGGCCACTATACATCTAAAGGTCGGTCACTCATTCTCCTACGACCAAACTGTCGACCATGACGGCTGAAGCGCCTATAATCTGTGATATGCATCCGGAACTTGGAGTGGTCCGAACATGACCACTCGTCGGGCGTGTGTTTAAGGTTTGGAGAGAAGCCAAGGAATCCTGCTCGGACCTGGTGGATCCTCCGCCCCGCCCAATCGGATTAACATCTAACATTGATCGGACTTACTGTTGACTCCGTTGGTTTTGTTAGTATTTTTTTATCCACAAGCTATACAGGGATCATGTAATTGGTGTATTGGTTTCTGGCCAATATCTTGTTCCTGATCCTCTGAATAGTTGACTTCTACCTATCAGAGTAGGCTGTCATTTATTTAGAAAACTTCGTTAACTATTAGGGGATAGCTGCGAGTCCCACTGTACTAACAATACCGCCGGGGTCAACCGGAGTAGCTCTCCCTGGAGAAAATTCCTATGCTTATAATGCTTAGGGCAAAAGAAATTAAATCCGTGGCTTCCCTCTTTCAGCTATCCTGTTAACTTTCTTAAACCACCTCTTTATTCTACTAAGTCGTCTTTCTGAGTCTTCAAAGAAAGGAACAAAGGGCCTTTAGCTAAAATGGTGGCGGACATTTTTGATGAGCCTGGAACGCGGGTGTCTCCTCCCACAAAATTGGCACATGTTGTGCTACGAACAGGCACCAACTTTTCTCGGATGGTTGATTTTTACAAGACGTTTCTAGGTGCCAAGGCGTCCTTTGAAAATGACTTCATTTCATTTATCTCCTACGACGAAGAACACCACCGTATAGCAATCGTTGCTGCGCGAGGTTGTGGTCCAAAAGTGCCTAATTCCTCGGGGTTACATCACATTGCTTTCTCCTATGATTCACTGACAACTTTGGCCGTGGCGTATCGGCAGCGAAAGAAATTAGGGATAATGCCGGTGTGGTCGGTGAACCATGGGCCAACTTCGAGCATTTACTATCGCGATCCGGACGGAAACATGATCGAAACTCAGGTTGACAACTTCTCCACGTCCGAAGAAGCAACGACGTTCATGATGTCAAAGGAATTTATGGATAACCCTTTCGGCACTGATTTCGACCCGGAGGAACTTATAGAACGGCTGCGCGCTGGTGAAAGTGATGCGAGCATTAAGAGAAGGAATGAGATCGGGCCGCGTACGGAGCCCCGTGCGGTTTTGCATCGACAGCACAAAATCTAATCTTTCTGAGGGTACGTGAAACCAGGTGTCACATCTGTTTGTGCAATATTCCCGTTACAAACAGAAACTGAGATCCCTTAAGGCTCCAATGCCCATTCTGAAGCGGCGCTATACGGCTTAGCTCGCTGGATGTCGAGGAATCGAGCGCTTGGGAAACCTGACACTTTGATTCCTGCTCAATAGCCATGAATTGACTCAATTAAAAGAGGATCTACTTGTTAAATGGCTCTTATATTTGCGTTCGAATGGGGCAGCAGCTAGACCGTGTGCTGTACGAGACGTGGCTAGTATTCTCCTCAAATGAGTAGGAGTGCAGATTCACGGCAGCGAGGAAACAAGATACTTTAGTTGCTACGCTACTTAAATACATTCAGGTCGATAATCACGGACGAATATTCATGTATAATGAAATGCTAAAGTAGGTCCAAAGGTCTCAAGTTGTTATTCTCATCATGAGGGGTAGATGGACTGCATATATACACATATAAGCACAGACCCGCATTTCAATCAGAACATCCCTGTCATCGTGATATTTAACACAAAGATTCCTGCGAATATGAAAATTCGTAACGAATGCGACCATCAAATATAGAAGGCATCATTCATTCTTATTATGAGCAGGAGGTGAGATAAATAATATACATAACCTTACTGTTGTCACCATGTGCTAGGCTGGTCTAGCTATCCATATGCACTTGTTATGATGGTAAGAGGGGATAGTGGGATAAGTTACTAATATTAAGTGATAGCTAACTATACTTCATCTCGCCCTTCTGCTAGGCTGGCTTAATCCCTAATACAATGCATTCATAAATAAGACTCCTATTAACCACTATTTAAGGCTAATCACTATCTTCTATCTATAGATGGCATAATTGCCCCTTTTAGTTGTAAACTGCACCTAATAATAAGTAGATGACTGGCTATTAAGCTAGTAATATATTCTTAAGACATGTCTGGATATTGCCTCTCTGGTAGACTAATGGGATAGTACATTCTGCCTCAGTGTGGATTCAGCAATTACTTTAACTATTTTCACACTGCTAATCTTCCTCAATCTTCATAGACACTTAAGGACAGTGCTAGATAATAGTCTCTGCTTTAGTACTAACCATGACATCACTGTCCTTTATTTACAGCTCAAGCAATTTGGGAGCATCTGGACGCAGGCGAGGTTGCTTACTTGTACAAAGTTCTGAGAACAATCATAGAAGGCTATAACCCCTGATCCATCTTTAATCTAGTCCGCATTCCACAGTGGAGTCATCGAGAAGCCTTTGACACCTGTCGAAAATGTCAAGCAGGTGCCCTGGTTTTCCTGTGTAAAGGTCGCAACCGGGGCACTTTTGCAATCTTTATCGGAGTACCCTACAATCTCCCAGCCGTGGTTGTTCACCGAGTTGCCGCATGCCCAGGAGTACTCTACTCCGATGTTGAGATAGTAGCAGCTTGTTGGGCGGTTCAATGTGATGGTTCCTCCATATTTGGCGCATGAATTATTCAATGTTGACAGCTCAAGCTCCATCTCAAAGTCCGAGGGCACTGGGTGCGAGGAATCCGCTGGGACAGTAGTGACGGCCCCGGTGAGGTTGGAAAGGAGGTGCCCTTCATAGTTGGCGATATGTTCCTCTGCAAGGCTATTAGTGGATATATCAACGTATGTTTGAGGACCTTGCCTAGATTTAATGTTGTGTTTTTGTACGGAGATGGTGAACCTTTGCACAAGCATTGCAGTGTTGACCCGCTGTTGGTGAGCGAGCAGTCCTTGCAGGAGCTCCAGTAAGCTCCGCTGCGAAATCTGTCAGTAGATGCTGGTCAACAGATGAGGACGGACGTACTCGACGGTCCACTGCACTTTGTGTTAGTCTAGGTTAGAGAAAATAAGCAGTGTTGACAGTCGAGCACTCACCTCGAGCACAGCATTAATGTTGGCAATCTTGTTCGGCAGATAGACGCTGCTAGTGATGCTGCCATTGTCGCCATCCGTGGGGCAGGTTGCAACTAGCCAACCTTCATTGAGATAGATATTAGAACACTCTTTACTATATCCCTGAGCATGGACAAGCGATGCACTGAGGGCAGTCAGCAAAGCAAAGGCCGTGGCGCGCATGATGACTGATTGCTTCTTGAGGAGGGACTATAGGATGACTGGAGGTGGCCTTTCACCTTTATATAGATAATCCTGTGCTACAATCAAGCGCTCGCCATAAGCAAATGATGGCGGCCAGCAATTGATAAGCACTAAGGCATACGTCCACCCAACTCCGAACATCCGAAATCGATCCTAAATGGCTGCACAGATTCTCGCTAGATTTCTTGGATACTTATCCCCATGTTAAGCAGTCATGACCCCACTTGTTATTATAGCTCGGCTGAAAGCTCCAGAGGCTGGAGTCTAGACACGACAGAAAGAAACTCCGAGCGAATGCTATTCTACAGCTATGCTCGGTCATACGATGATTCCTTGCCCTAGTGCAGTCGAATGATTCTCTTTTCCCAAAGCCACGTCATCAAGCTTGGCCGTCAGCATAAGCTTAATTAATTTCCTTCGGGGCAAGCTTTCCTTATGTGGCTCGCTTACCTCAAAACCATTGGGACATTACTATATACTTTGCTCGCTAGTGTTTGTGGTAATGAACCAATGGCCCTCGCTTAATCCACCCCACCGAGACGCTATTGACTCCTAAGTAGTATCTCAATGCCGGCTGAACGGCTTAGCTGCAGCAGTCTCCCGTCTGATTTTCAGCCAGGGCAATGGTACCCGTTAGGAGCCCAGCCTTCATCATCCTGAGCAATCTGCCACCTTCCGCGAGCATTGAGACAAACAAGGATGAAACTTGTATCAATATATTCTAACATTAGGTATTGCTCTAAATTTTAGCTGTACAGGAAATGACTCTTTGTCTAATGGTCATATGCATATATACCAAAAATATCTGGTCTCTCAGGACATCAAAGACCCTTCACTCCCCCTTTGGTTTCTTAATTGGGTTGCCCTGCTCATCGATGAGGCCTTTGGCCCGCATCACCTTGAGGGCATCATGGAGCGGATCCAGTGCTGGCTCCGGGGCCCGGTGCGATCCGAAATAGGTGTCGGCCCAGGTGAAATATTGTCCATAGTTGACAGTAAAGTACATATGGTGCAATGTGTGATGCGCGGGGCTGTTGATAAATTTCTCCGTCCAATGGCCCGAAATCATGTCACCGTCGTGAATGAAGATGGTCCAGATCTGGACTGCAACGAAGAGAACCATGTACAGGTGTCGCTGCATGGGGCAAATGAAGACGAAGACGCTTTGGAAGGTTGGAAGGTTAGAAGGATGGCCTTGAAGAATCACCTGGACGGGGGACAGGGATACTTACTGGTATGGCAGAGACTGCACATATCCATCCAGCGGGTGGAACGCCAGCGCAGCCCATGGCGTGGGGACTATGACGTCGTCAGCATTTGCACCTACTGGTACATGAACGTTCTGCAAAAGACCGACCGATCCATTTGTGATGTGGCTTGTGAATGTACTTGTACACGCTGGGGTGATGCTCTAGGCGATGGATCCAGTAGATGGCAATATCGTTGAAGGCTATGTACAGGATGGACGAGACCACCAGCCATGGCCAGCCATAGTCGCTCACCGAGCGGTACAGCAAGCTTTTGCCACGGACTTCAGCCAGGAACCAGGGCAGGGTGAGAATATTGATAAAGGGGACGGCGGACAGCGATGATTTAATCTCTTGGCGGATTTGATTCGGCAAGAAACGTGGATGGTACTCGAGCCGTCGGTCGAAGATAAAGTAGTAGGAGAGCGCGCTGAAAAAGAGGTAAAGGGAGGTCGCGCCGAGTTGTGTGATGACGAGAATCGAGATGACTTGGCGATAGATGTTATCGCGAGACCACCGCGATGTCGGATCGGCGAGGTGAGGATCGGAGGGCAGCAACCAGGCATAGGCCTTGTCCAGAATGAGGGGATCGAGAAGCTCGAGAGCCACATCCATTGTCTATAGCGGGCTGATCTTTTAATGAGCGATCGATAACGGGGGAGAAGGGTGGTGCGCCACTTACAGGAACGACTGCTGTAAGTCGGTTCGACGTCGGATTGAATGGTTCCCGAAGCTGCTCAGGGGAAGTTCTTGATGACCCACTATTGCCGTTGATCGTCGAATCGGAGTATCTGATAATCCTAGGTGCCTAGCGGAGATTTTCAATATCCGCACTATTCTGTTTGTAGAAAAAAGCCAAGCCTGGTGTTTTATCTAAGTATCTGGCCAAATTATTAACTAAGTCCAGAGAATCACTTTGTTTTCCAGCCAGTAGACCTGCAAAGATAGCTTCTTACCTGCATATTTTGGATATTGTCGTTGATGGTGGGACATTTTGGATAATGCGTGTCAGCTGATCAGCGGCTGTAGCCTCTGCTTGGACTGCTTCTTGATCTGCATGCTGGTGGGTGGCAGTCGAAGGATTGAACTCCTGCAATCGTACCTATTAACATCCGTTGCTCCTTCTGAAGCAGTCAACCCCAAGATGTCTCTGAAGGACCTGCGTTTAGAAAGATCTCTATCGCTATAAAATAGCTGTATAGTTGGAGAATATCACATTCATTATTTTTGTAATGAATGCAACAAATACCTTGTTTAAAAAGAACTGCATTAATATGATATTGTTCCTAATTTCGTATGTATTTGCCTCCACCTTATGAGACATGATGCAATCACTAGATCTTACATGCTTCGACTCACTATAGCGCGCCTATTAGTGCTTAGTGAAGCCGACATCTCAAATGATTACCTTAAGGGCCAAGGCTTTCCAGCGGCTGGAATCGGCCCCATAAGCCTGAGGCACTCGTGAACGTTCGAATTAGCTTTGAAGATAGCATATTCCTGGGGATCGAGCTATCTACCTTGGAAGGATTCAAATCCTTGAATGCAGTACAACTAGCAGACCTTAATGGTGGTGGACTGACAGGATCAAGCCTCGTATAAATATCAGAAAGACACTGGAGTCAACCAGAGCGCATTCACGTAGTCTGCAGTTTTAGGTTTGGAACTCTCAAAACGTGCTCTTCATAGTCTTATTTTGGGATATTTTTTTGAACCCACACCATGTATGTCATGCTAGCTTGACTCAGAATTGCGCGTATATTGCGACTTCAATCTTTCAATCGCAGCCCAATTTATTCAATAGTTTTCCTTCCTTCAGAACCCTAGGGAGCTAGACTGAGTTTACTCAGTAGTAGCATTGGTCTTTGCAGGGGCCTAAGTGACTTCCATCCACCTAACTCAACAGCTCTAATATAATGAAGAGAACGTAGCTGTTACTCGGACTATCACTTGTTTTGCAGTCATTCGAACACCTCTCCTGCCTTCGGTTCCAAATCCTCCATGGACTTATCCTCATCGGCTTCCTTTTAGGTATCATCCTGCTTCTTTTAGTGTCAGCTCCGTCTTTCTTGGCCTTTTCGTGCCCCGCCGCCTTGTCCAGCCCATTCTCCAATTGTTTCTTCCGTTCTTCATCCTGCTCTGCATTTGATTTTTTCAGCCTGTCTCAAGCCATTGATTCCAAAGGACGCACCTAATGTCGACCCCCAAGTCATCACCCCCAAGTTATCATTGCTGCCGGTGCTACTGGCCTACGGGATGTGGTCAGGAGTCAAGGTTTGCCTGGACTGCTCAAAGCGTAGGGCATGGAATCTCGACCATGTGTTTTACATGCTGCTGCGCAGGGAGCAGTTTGCCTGAATATTTTCATTTGGAATGGACTGGAAGGATATTCGATAGAAGAAATCCGCCCCAGAATAAACATAGCATCCATCTCCCCGATAGATTGATTCCCGTAAGTGCCTTGGAGAAGTATTGTTTTCGTTTATATTGACGCCATATGGGCCTTAGTCTGCATATTTTCAAGCAACAGCAGCAACACTCTCGGGGCCTGTCTCAAGCTTCTTTTGAGGCGGATTGTTTGTCAGCTTGGGCTCCTCTAGGAGCTGAAACTTGTCGGTCACGGCCGCATAAATAGGCTGATGGCAAACCATCTCATACCAACGAGTCACGTTGGGGTTCTGTTGCCTCCATGCTTTGCCGTAGAAGAATTGGAACCCAAGAGAAATGCTTGCGGCACAGAACACATCGGCAAGTGATAGCTGCTCGCCAACGAGGAACGTGCGGTCTTGCAAATACTCCTCGACCACGTCAACGCATCTTTGGGTCATGTTGGTGAACAACTCCACCTGGTCTTTGTCGTAGGGGATGACACCAAGCTGGGGCAGTAATTGTTGAGTCATAAGAATGAGGATCTCATTGTTGAAAAAAGACATCCACTTGATGATGTCCGCGTATTCCTTCTTGTTCCCTCCGAGGAGAGTGGTCTGTTCGTCTTGAGAAGTGACTGAGCGGGTGTCGTCAGTTCTGGCTTGCACCAACAACATGAGTTGACTAACTGTAGAGAGCAATGGCCATGCACTCAAAGAGCTTGAAGCCATCCGCACCTTCAAAGGCAGGGACCTTGCCGAGCTTGCTGACACTCAAATGCTCGGGAGTTCTGGGGGTCTCGCGAAAGTCGAGGTCGAGACCATTGGCCTTGGCGACGGCCTTGATGGCTATGCTTCGGCAGTGATCGCCCTAGGGGAGTCGGATTGTCAGTACTATGTACGTGTATAGATATATTGGGAAACGTGTGCGACTATTGGCAATTGTACTTACGGGAAACGTGTACAAGGTTCCAAAAACCATATCTAAGACTATTTTCTCTGAAAGATCACATTCTCTTCCCTAGAAGTACCAGAAGTCGAGTAAGCCTCTATATAACGGCCCTCCTATTAGTGGCTGTCTTGCATTCGGATGATGACTATCGATTTTCGGATGTTGACGGTCGATATTCGGAGGGATGACTGATTTCGGTTTAGCGTGTTCAATCTACCTATCAAGGCGTGTACGGGTATCACGAGTGCTAGGCTCCTAACTGCATGGAGGTACCGAATCAGCAATGAGACGAATAGAGTAGCTCTACCCACCTACTCATCAGAGATATTCTTAGACTGGCCAGGCGCCTCGACAGATTCCTTTCAGATCTGTGATGCAAGCTTGATGACGGTAACAAATTCCCCGCTACCAAACCCGAAACTCATGCTGAATGAATTTACGGGAAATCAAGGTATACAGCAGGAGATGAGGTTGAAGTGGTAGGAGAGGCAGTTGCAGACGACGGGGGCCATCGAAATCCACGATGGCTAATGAATAAACATTCCAGTTAATTGGCCCAGGATATTCATGATGTGGTTTTGCGTATAGTACAATTGTTATGTCACCCGTGATATGATGGAGAGGTAGTCACTCACCATCTCCTGTAGGGCTGAAGAAGCTGAATACAGCAGTGGGTTCTCAAGTTTTTGCTACTAGCAAGCGCGAGTAGCTTTTGGTGCAGGGAATATCGGATGATGGTATTTCAGTGTATATAATATTGGTCCTATGGGGACCACTTCTTCCTCGCCGTCTAGAGGCCATTACTTGAAAATCCTTTCTAGCCTCTTTGCTCCAGAGCAGTCCGCGGATGCACCACTGATACCGCCACCGTTCCAGGGTGATCCTTGCTTTTGCGAACAGATGAATCAACCAAAGCGTCATCGTCGCACGTGGTAATAGCCAGATATTCTAACATCCACGGCAGCTGTTTCAAAATCTCTCGCTCGTTTCTGGCCTTGGAAAACGTAAGACATTAGCATTTAGAGAAACATATCTGGATGGGTGAGTATCCTACATTCTTCCGAGTATTATCTGCTTATCGGCATTAAGCTTTTCTTGCTGGGCCTCTGTACCCTGCAATTCCAGAACAGCGTTTTCGGGTTCTTTGCTCTCCCAGTAGGACCAAATCAGGGTCGTACAGCCAAAAAGGCCCTAGACACGTCTTCACAAAGAATTTAAAAGTTTTACCTTCTTCATGAAAGCGCGTGATAGAGACATCTCCATACCAGAAGTATTCCTGAATCTGCAGAGACTCGATTCCCAGCAGAGACATCAGGCACTGGTTCGGTTGGAGCTCATTGTTGCAACACCGGTACAAGACGTACGTTCCGTTCAGCTCCGTCGGTTCTTGTTTGTTCAACTTGAATACGCGATTGACACACTCCAAGTTGCAATTGCTCCAATATGCACTGAAGTCCGGAATACACCAAGTGGGAGGCTCGCGGCCGATGTAGTTTTGTGGACACCTGTAGAAATCAATCCTGACAAAGTGGGGTTTCCCTCCGTTGGCCGGGATCCTGAAGCACTCTTTGGAGCAAACGAAGTCGCCTAAGATTCCCATTTCGTCTTTGCTATTTTTTGACTCCATTGTGGATTCCATAATTCTCTGCTTTTTAAGCGCACGTCGTTTGACCGCCCCTCCGGCGACTGTAACATTAGCTGAAGACTCTGCCTGGGCCGGTCGTCGGATACGAGGGACAATTGGGAGCTCATTCATCAACACTTGGATATCCTGAAGTGTAGTCGAGAGATAAAATTGGATGCGTGGGTCAGCCGGCGGTCCAATGTGCCAAAGCGGGTAAACTCGTCCATGGGAGCCCCTTGTCTGGTAGAAATCCCCTTTTGCTGTCTTCTTGCTCTTATACCGAGACAGAAACTGATGACATAGCCAACATGTCTTGCTGACCCTAGATACGGGAATAGATACTCCTCAGGAGAGGTATAACTTTCAAGATGCAGAAGCAGTTAAATCTCTGCATGGCATTGAGTTCTTATCTCAGGATCCTTACCCAATGCGTAGCTGAGACATTCCTTTTTTCCCAGCCAGAATTTGGATCCGTTCCTCAACCTCCCTCCTTGTAAATCGCATACTATCCGGTACTGGGAGACAACCGATACTCAGCTTCACGAATGACTTTTGAAACTGGATGGCGGTCTCCTTGAATGTTTTGTATGCTGATTTTAGACGTTCCAAAAAGCAAATTGCATTCCTCCCCTCTCTACTTGCTGGGGACAGGATGGCAGGATTCGGTTCGTAGAGTAGATCGTATGCGATAGATACCATGCGCTGGAGTACATCAGTGGACTTGTCAATTCTGTATTCAGCAGACAGGCTATGCAGCTCCCGGGCGCGCCCAACTGCATTCGACCCTTCCGCAAAGGCGCCAGTGATTTCCGCCACCGCAACGGACGATATTTGTGCGGCATACACATCTAGGCGCTGCTTGTAGTAGCTCAACAGCCCCGTCCAGACCTTATCTTTCTCGATGGCCGGCCGCTTCCCCGTAGTCGCGATAGCCCGGATCCAGACTGTTAGAGTATTGGCCAACTTCTTGTCTTCATCGTTCGTACCCTTGTTTTTCGCGATGTAAACCTTAGGTTGTTGATTCGCCAGAACCAAACCGGAAGCAGAAACTTGACGCGCTCCTTTCCCTGTTGTATTACCCCTGCGTCGTATATGTTGCTGCCCTCCCGCTGGAGAAATAGATTTTTCCCGTGAAAACGTTTCCGCTACCGAGTTTAAAAACTTGGAAAGTTGTCGCTCTTTTGGATAGGCAGTCGATAGCTCACGCAGTGTTGTTGAATCATTCTCATCAGTGGGTTCCTCGTCTTCGTCGCTAACGCTTGCAGGATCTTGCTGTGGTTCGTAGATGCGAAGGAAGGATAGAGAAAGAAAGTCAAGGTGGTCAAAACCTACAATGGCATTCATATTGTTTTTTTTTCATATATTCCTGGCACTGGGAATATCTGGTCAGATTTTCTATTATCAAGACGCGTAACTCCATCTGAATTTGCACTGGGCCTATGACGTCCATATTAAACTGCACCATCTCGCAGAAAGACCTCGGCGTGCTGGCAGTGATACTTCATCCATCAACAGCAAAACAACTCCTCTTGAATTAGACGACCGGTCAGGTACCGACACTCCCGCTTCCTCTGTAGATCTTGAGATGGCAAATATCGACCCATGCCTATTGGAATCCCACAAACCTACCGCTACGGAGCCTCCACTGCCTCGCTCAAAGAGATTGCGGCCTGAATAATAGCATGGGATGATGTCTAGTATGCAGTCGTTACGACCAGGCAAAAATGTCCGTTATATCTTGGCTCTGGGATTCTTTGTTTTTTAGAGTATATTTGTTGGCGTCTACCCTTGTATATAGCTAGTCTCAGGTACCTGCCAAATGCACATTGTGTTTTTAGAGTTACTCGCTCCTAAGTCGAGCCTATCGCAATGTATGTACCTGCTACCATCTTTATGTTCCATTGTCAGATAGATGATTTAGACCCTACTTCCTATGATCTTCCAGGCGAGTACCTGGTTTCTCTGTTGAAGGTTACAAGACATTCTAAAGTCCACTTAGTCTCCAGTTGGCCGCCAAGATGAAACATGAACGGTCTAGGTCTTATGCATACCAAGCAGAAAACTACGGAAGCCAGGTCCATTGCCGTTCTTGTTTTAGTAGATGAGCAGTGCCGCCCTTAGGTCGCGCGACTTGGGTGAGCAGGTCCGTGGCGGGGCTGAGCGCGGTGACCATGCAGGGGTGACCCTCGCACGATGCTCACCTGCTCGCGCACGATGTTTCGGATTTCCTACCAGGCTGCCAAATGTGAGGAGTAGTCACTTTATTGGACTGAGAATCATCGGTTTACCGGCCAGTAAATGGGTTGAGCTTTTCTTCCTTGCTGTTTTAATAGCCAGGTATCACATGAAGTGGAGATCACTGATTATTGCTAAGGCCATCACAACTGATTTAATATGAAGTATCTTTTCCTTTCTTGCCTTGATGACTGCAGGCAAGGTAAATCACGTTCGATTTACCCCAGAGGGATACTCCATCAACCCTGAACAGAAATCGTCCGCGCAAAGTCGAGCGGGGATGGCTTGACATGGTTTCACGATGCTTGGAGTCAGCATACTAAGCTTCAAGGTTACTTTATCTTTTTAGGTCAGCACCGTGAGGCAACGATACACCGAAGCAAGTCATCTCTTGCCAGCTGTCGGTCACGTGTAGCTTCTCCATCTCGTAGCGACTCCCTAGATGGACGGCTCAGAATCATTTCACTTTTCAACCTGCTGACTGAAACCCAAGGTCGTCGGATTCTGCGATTTTTGGACGCCTGGCCGCACTAACCCGCCAGCGGGCTCAATCATGTCGGCAACAAATTCTACGATAAGCTGGCTTCAAGCCTTCCAGCCCTTGCCGCTCCTCGCCCTGAACACGATGTTTCAACCGGTCGGCCGCGTCCTCGGTTCTCCTGCAAACAATGTAGGATGGCTCCGAGCTTCACCCTTCATTTGCGCCCTTGGGGCTCTGGCGCTTGTCTTGCGGTTGCTAGCCTATTGCGCCTTACTCTATGCGACTGTTACCCCGCGCAAAGCCATGCTTATCATCGGAATGGATTACTTTGACAAATACGAGACTGATCACATTAGTCAAAAACGCACGACAATCACGATGATATCACGGCATGTTACATTTCTTATCAGCCTATTGCCACTGATATATGTATTTGGTTCGTGGCGAGAAATCAGATGGACAATGGCTTGGGCATGCATGTTCATTGCTTCGTACTTGGTGTTGGAGATTGTAATGCAGATTGCCAGGCATTTGCTTGAAGAAACACTAGAGGATGCTACCGGTTTCGAATTGGAGGCATTTATTGGAGATGACGATGACGACAAAACACCACATACAGGTACGGAAGACACCATGCATGAAGCGAGCGATGAGGACCAAGCTATGAATGGGAACGTCCAAGGTGAGTCGCTAGAATCAGCGAGCATGAAATACGCTATAGACCGGACCGCTAATGAGGTGAAAGGCATAAATGATATTGACGGCTCTACGGTCCCCCAACCGGAGCCCACAGGATCTGCGAACAGAACCAACCCTTCTGACCTGGAAGTCGCAAAGGATAACAACACCAAATATGATGATCCCTTCACATCAGCTCGGCTTTCATCCTTGAAGCACGCTCTCAATTACTGCGATAGAGTCCTTTTGAAATTGGGGTGTACACTCCATGCAATATTCGTATATTGGGCCTATCTCGACCTTGTGCAACCCCTTTTGGAAGCCAATATACTCTCGTCCACCGGCAGCTGGATATTCCTAAGATTTATCATTTCTTTACCCATTCTAACCTTCGCCATCGTGGTCATATTGATCCTAACGGCGACCCTCCTCTTTATTCTCTCTGGTGCTATAGCCAGTGCTTTACTCACGTTCCTGTCGAAACTACTGGGGCGAACCTTTGTTGCGTATCCCATCGTGCTGACCTCCACAGTAGTGGTCTCTTTTGGTGCTTGTTGGGGAGGAGCGATTTTTTTATTTTTTTATACGTCAACCTATACGTCAACCCCGCAGGGACAGGATTATGTGGTCTGGGTATCCCAGTTAACAATTGTAGAAGTTGGGCTCCTACTTTTGTTCTGGCTAATATGTCGCACTCTGCATTCCTTGCTTAAGCTAGCGGTTAGGGGGTGGCTTACCTTGAGTAAGAAACTTAAGGTTTCTTGGTATCTGGATGAAATGGGGGTCTCAGCACTAACGGGTGTGTTAATCACTTTCACCGTGTCGATTCTGTGGTATCGGTTCCGGTTCCCCTCCTTTGAGGCTGGGCAATGGCTGGATAATTGGCGGGAGTATCTGGATTTCAACACTACTAGCAGCTATTGACTTCGACTAATCTCTGTACCATTTTATGTGAACTGTTGATACCCTGGATTGAGGACCTCATGTTTACAATTTACTAAAGGACCATTAGGATTAGCCACTGTCCTTGTGCGTATGAGGAAACTTGCGGAATCTATTCGTCTCATGCTGTATCTTTAGTAATGTTGTGGGGAGAAGCGCCTCTAATGTCTCTGCTCACATTGTGCTAGGGCTCTGAGATGATGAGGACTAGTGGGCATTGGGTCATGTATTATAACATGAGGGGGTCTATTAGGATCAGCTAGCCTTAAGACTGATAGAATGGAAATGAAAGTACCCAGACTCTTAAATGCCTGATTAGTTTGTCTTCTTTGGTGAGAGTATGGCCAATAAGATATTCAGGTCTCTAGCGATTTCAACAAGTTTCTATTAATTCCATGAAGCTCAAAAACATATCCCAGACTACCACTCAACTCATTCCGGCTTGGACTTCCACCAAGCTCATCAGGCAAGCTGCACCCTGGCAGCTCTGTCATTTGCAAGTATCCCTTCTCTGTCGTGCTATTTGTACTCCTCTTCTTCCATCTTACGAGTATCACTACTATCGCAATAATGATGACATATAGACATTGCTGCTGACGTGTCTCACCACATGAGGTCAGGTTGGTCTGGCAAGGTGCATAGCGATCGAGATTCACACCTTTCTCGTGGACTAACGAAGAACCTAACAGCACGACGACAATCCTCAGGGGTATAAACCTAGTACTGAGTCTAAATGGAACTGCGCCTGGCATTAGCACCCAGTTCATGGCTAGGGCTTGACTTGCTATCAAGTAAAGACTGAGCAAAAGCACTGAACCATCGTTTGAGCTTTGCGACTTCTTTCTTCGCAAACATCTCAACCTCAATTCCCTGATCCTCAATATCCTTCATGTACTGTTGCGCTTGTTCTTCAATTTCATGCATGTACATTTGCGCCTGCTCTTTCATTTCATTCATACATTCACTCGCGGTATTGCGTACCTCGGAGTTACCATCATCGACCTGTTCACGAAATTCGGCTTCGTTCGTTTTGCATTCGTCGTAGATCTGATCACGACACTCGCTCACAGCACTATCGAAAATCTCGTCAAGAACGTGTGATTTGAGGCGGCGCTCAATCATCTCATCGACATATCGTTTGAGGCGGTGCTCAATCATCTCAGCTCCGGGAAAGCTGACTTTCTCAAACTCGCATGGCCGGTCACGGTCTACATCTTTTGGTATGGCTAGCAGATGTTTGCGTCCTGATCGGATCAATAGTTCGCAAATCAGGTCATCGGAAACACCACGGAGCTCATGTTCAAGGAGTGTAAGTCTCTTAATCTCCGTGTGGCCAGGAGACGAAGCATGCGTAAAGCAAGTTGGGCGAATCGAGGACGGTGACGGGGAGAGAGTACTTGGTGTATTTACTTCGGTGGGAGAGCCTATCGGTTGAGGGGATGGAAGGAGCAGTCTTTTTCGGCTTTCATCGTTAGGTGACATTGACTGTGGGTCTAGATACTATGATTAAGCTATTGAACGACATAGTACCCAAGACGGTAAGATGAGAAGATACCTCTGCGCCGTTTTCCAACCACCTGCCCGGACACGGACTCCTCACAATATAGGGGTGGATCCACCTGCTTCACCTGCTCGGACACGGGCTCCTGACAATATGGGGGAGGATCGGGCGACAGACTAAAGACACGCCAATCTTTCTGGACCACGCCATGGCGAGTGTGGTTAAAAGCCACTGTCTGAAGACTTCTTTTTCGCAGGGCACAGGAGAAAGTTTCCAGCTTATCAAGTTCTCTATTCACAAATTGTCGCCTGGAAAAGTGTAGACGGAGAAATTTGGATTGACAGATCTTTGCAAATGAGTGGAAATTCAAGTCTCCTGGTGTGGCTGCGCTTAGAGACTCCATTTCAGATGGACAAAGAACAATGCCACTCGTACCGAGGCTCAGACTCAGTGTTGAGACGGCCGAAACAGTGGTGACAGGCGCTGGGAGCATGGAAACCAAATGAGATGAACAGAGGTTGTCATTACTTTTCTGAGCTAAAGCACATTTTTCGACTCTTTCTGGGGGGATATTCAAAGTCAGTACCTGTGATCTGCCGCTCAGGTTAGCAAGATAGGCCGTAATCGAAAGGGAGATGGATCCTTGGTTGGCAGTTTGATCATGAACAATACGAAGGCGAGCAAGACAGGAAACATTGAGAACAGGTGCATAAACAAGGACTGCCTTCTTCAAAACCCAGGGCGGGTTTTGCGAAGCGGTGGTCATTGTGTTGTTGCAACATTTGCTGGATTAAAAGGAGAACCCTCGATGAATCGAGTAGCCCTCCCACCCGGGCTTTAGACCGGCGTTGAGCAGCCCTGACTCGCGTAAAATGTAGGTGAATAATGATAATAAGAACGTGAGTAAATTGGTAAGAGCTCTTGCGGCCTGGTCATGAGTACGTGCCCAAACCGAAGTCAACAAGTGACATCGGAGAGTCCTATGAAGACACAGGAATGGCAGGACTGACGGCGAGAACGGCAAAGAGCAAATACTTTCTTTACAGGATGATGATGATGGTCAAAGGATAAGGTGAAGAAGAAATGGCCAGGGAGAATGGGAAAAGAGGGGGCTGGGGCCTGGGGGCTTGGCGAAATTGAAGGCCTAATCACGTGATAAGACACTGATGCCTGATTCCGGACTCATTACGGAGCTCGGATTTCCGAATGGTTGACAGGTTTTCGACACCAGAGCATATCACGTGAATAGTGTATCTCACACAATCAACTAATGGGACAGAAAGTCCTTACCAGGGTCTCTCATTAACCAAAAGTGGGCCAGTCTAGCCCTTAGAAGGTGGTATTTAAGATAAACATTAAGCCCAGGCTATCCCCAGTCACATGTTGTACCTCTAAGTGTGGCTTAATCAATCCAACGTTTCCTAGGGTCTAACCTTGCTGTCTGAGGACTTGATATCCGTAATTGTAAATCTATTGATAGCCTTTCTCAGTTGACGTACAAGACTGCGTATACCCACGGGCAATTCGGTTTCCAAGCAACGACCAAGCCATCATATAGACGACTTTTTCAACGCTTTACTGCTACTGAGAGTCCACCGAAAAAAACAAGGGGGAAAAAAAAGGAAAATCTCAGATCCATGGGCGAATTCCTCATTGCTGGTCTTACCCCGTTATCGTCTTTCGGACTGCAGAGTATTTTATAGACGATAAGATCCACGTACAGTATAAGAACTCAAGGCCAATTTCCTGGGCAAAAGTTCGCTTATCGTATTTTGAGTTTTAAGTCTAGTGCTTTTTGTCTTGGCTCCTATTGTTCGCCAACTATCAGCTGTTCATACATGCCTCAGTCGAATGTTGGGGAAGGCTGACGGAATGATCATCCTCTCTTCTCACCTTCAGGTGAGGAGGTTCGGTGGTGGGGGTGAGCTAAGGAGTTTCTGACGCCTCTTTTCACTCTTTACATTGCTCTATGATCCATCAGACATACATACACTCTCTAATTCTTCTAAGAATTATTGCTGTCAGCAGCAGGATTACGTGCTCCCTGTCCCTACGGTAGACCACTTGCCAACAATAAAGATAGAGCAAAATATCTTCTTTGCTATTCTACTCATATTCGCCTCCTTGACCTCCGCTACTACGACACTCAACAGATGGGATGTTAGGGATGACATCGCATTAATGTCAGCTCGTGTGTCCAACATACCTCATCTGATAACGCGGCCGAATTCCGGTGGCATTGATGGGGGCTTTGAAAACACCTGCATTGAGTTCAAGGCGACGTGCCAGGGTTGCTTTGGTCCTGGCTATGTACAATGTCCTGATGGGGTGCATTGCAACAATCCCAATGACCAACAAACCTACTGTCCTATAAATAGTGGCTATACTTCTTCTGGCTCTTCTGGCCCCTCCAGCAATGGTGCAAGCCATGCTTCCAGCCATATGCCGCACATTGGTCTTGCGATGGGATCTGGCGTTATTGGCGCCATGGTTATGAATATGCTTTGAGCTATACACTACAACAGGGTTATACTTCAAACTGGCTATGAGGTGGATGGTACGGCATTGATGAGATGGATTCGTGATTCAGTTACGTCAGTGGTATAGGATTTGGTGAAAGACCAGATCGAAAGAGTCCTCTATCCTTACACAGTGGGTATCGGACGTCTGAAATTCTATCCCACCTGTTGTACGTAATTCTATGCTGCATTATCTTTCATTGTTGATATCTAAGATATTTAGAAAGGTGCTTTGTGTATCATGGAACTGGTTGTGAGAAAATGGCCCTGACAAGAACTACATCAAGAACCACTTGACGGTACGCGGACACTCAACTTACAGGAATGGACGCGGTCCTGGTTGTACATAGCTAGTTCCTCTGACAACTGAACTATTTCACTGGAAGAAATAAGGCTCTGGATTGCGGTCTCGCCTGGCATCCTAGCCCTTGAAGTTAGCACCCAGGTCTCCGAGGATCCCATCTACGACGCCGTCAACATTGAGCCGCTCATTGTGGTCAAGGTCAATCTGGCCGTCTGGTGCGCGTCCGCCACTCAGTCGGCTCATGCATATGCTGAGCCTGCTATGGGCGTCCCCAGACGAGGACCTACACGATACACTCTTTTCGGGTCGAGGATGTCCGAAACTGGCGGATTTACCCTTACTTAGTCTCTTTCATGAGAGAGGTCCAACTTCGCCCGTTCCCTCCTTGATTATGGGTTGCTTGGCAGCAAGACGGGCTATATGTCGCAGGCAGCACAGATGTGAGATTATTTGCGTATAGGTATTATAGCCCTCTTGCTGTATGGGTCAACTTCCGGATTTGGGTGAATGCCAGTGGAGGCCTAGCGTTGCGCTGTATCTTTTCCCAGGCCTCTTTGGTGTCGAATGGAATGCATTTCTTCTATCGCTATATAATAAACAATAATGCAACTAGATTCATTACTCATGCGACCAAAAGTAACGTAGAACCTATAAATACAAACAGAGAGCCGATGGCGACGTTGGCTAGGACGCCACCGCTGGCGGTCGAACCCGATGAGGCGGCGCTGCCGCTTGATTGAGAAGGCCCGCTAGTAGGAGGGATACTGGACCCCGAGAGATGGAAGCCACTGGCTGTTTGCGTGAAAGAAATCGGAACTGTGGCTGTGCCCGCGGCAAATAACCCTGGTTTTTCTGGCGGGCCTGTCGCCATCTGCTGGACGCTGATCGCATTCGCAACATGCCAAGTGGGGGTTGCAGAGGATCCAGGTGGGCCAAGTTCCACAATATTAGTGATGTCGCTATTGAAGACGGTAGGAGCAATGGCTATCTGCTGACGGTCCAGATCATACACGACATATGCGGAGCGAAGGAAGGTGTCGCCAAATAGCAGCGGGGCGTTTTCCTCAGCCGGTGCAAGTCCAAATTGACAGACAGTGTTGCCGTTGTCAAATTTCTCGGCGTTCCCATTTTGGTCTGTGTAGGGGAAAGATAGCTCTGAGAAGGGAACGGAGATCACTGGCCCTGCAGCGCCATCGAATCCAAAATCCAGGGTCCCTTTGTAAGACTGCATAACCTCGCACTCGACAAGACCGCCGTCATTGTTCTGGGCAGACATGACATTAGCAAAAGAGGCGACCTGGTAATATAGGTCGGGAGGGATATATGTCAAGGTAGTCCCTGAATCCAGGATCACTGGCTGGGCAAAGTTACTCCCCGTTAGGGTCTGAGTGCCCTGCGTGGGATCTGTAATTGATAGAGATGTCCACGCGACCGACATAGAGGTGATCTGCCCAGTTTGGTCGGGTTGGATGGGCAACGCGACCAGCTTGCCCCTGAATTTACCCGTATCATAGCCGCCGAACAGAATAGTTCCTGTCTGAGCACCTGAAAGTCGAAAAATCAGCTATAATTCGGGCTCAACGCATCCAGCCGACACAGCATTCGCAGCTTACCAACATCATTGAGCCATAGACTGTAGGCACGCGAGTTGATGAGACCTTGGTCGACCATCACATCAATAATGTTTTTATAGGGCTTGCCACCACTGGCCACTATGGATTCGTCCGAGTCAAACCCGATGCCCATGACGCCTGTGCCCGTGCCAGCGCCCGTCGCCTCTGTAGCGACCGCGATAGTCAAGTCCTTGATGCCTACTGCCCCGATCGCGAAGTTATCTGAGACATAGTCCCCTCTGGCTCCCGAGTTGTCTTGGTACGTAATATTGAACCCGCCTCGATCGATCAACTTATATGTGCTTGATTGGGAGCCATCATCTGAAATGGCGGCGAATCAGCGACGACTGTGTGGACCGGAGCTTGGGTGGGTTTGTTTGTTTGTTAAGGGGTGGTGGGGAGAGGGCAAGCAAATGTATACTTACAATAGCCACCAAGGCAAGGGGACGTGGACTGGACACAAGAGTGCGGACCAAACACCCATACATCACTGCTACCAGTGTCGATCTGAAGCTGCACTAACTGCCCAGGGGTCCCCACTGTCGCATTTACCCAGTACAGTCCGTAGGGATAGTCATTTTCCAGTAGAACCCCGGCATGGTCGCGCTTCACAACCGAGCGACGTTCACTTCTGTGGAGGGGAAGAGAGAAAACATTGGGCTCCCCTGTTACTGTCGCGACCAGGCCACAACTGACGAGGAAAAGGAGTTTTATCAATCTGTTCCCTGTAGGGGACTTTGAAACGCTCGTGTTCCACAATGCCATGTCCAGAAGGCTTTCAGAAAGAGTCTTGCCTGCAGTGGACGAGACATTTCACCAGAAGACCACATTAAATGACAGTGTGCGCGACTTAAATATACACGTCCTCCTCATGCGGCTGGCAACGTTATCAAGGCAGAAGAATAATAATGAATATGATTGCTCGACTGGAATACGAGGTCAATACCAGTGGGTTGTTACGAGATCAGAGAAGCTTACAGGTCAGGAATCCAATGGGAGGTCATTACCAAGCACTAGTTTGAAGCTTGTCTGGGGCTTGCAATCTAGTGGCAGGCCTCAAGCAGTTTTACAAGTGGTATCGCTACTGTAAGTGTCAAGTGGATCGCTTACCATCTTTGAAATACGAGTTAACGGAAGCATAACTATCTCAATATGCTTCCTCAGGAAATAGGCTGAGTTGGTAACTCGCATGACGCTATTTTCAGCCGAGCCTCCTACTTCTGTTGTACAGTAGGTGAGACTACCAAGGATTCTGCCGTCAGTCTTTGCTCTTCATGCTCGGAGGCTAAGAATATGCACGCTTCCTGTCATACTCCAATTGGAAGGTCGTCCTGTCCTCGGGCCGTGTATGAAAGCTACTCGGGCATAGCTGTCTCTCGTTGACAAGACACCTTTGCCTATGGCTCTCAGTGACCTACCTATCCACACACTGATGTACTGATACAAGACTGCTGTGTTAGGCGGAAATTTAGCCACAAAATCGCCGACTCATCCCTGCAACCAAATGAGGAGGATGATTTAATCTGCACCAATCAATGCAGATACCTATTCCATCAATTCCCCTACATAGTAATTTGTGTACTCATATCCCAATCTTTCCATTTTTTTGAAATGTAAGTGACCCGGCATCCAAAAGAGGGTTGGCTGATAGAACCGCTGCTGACCGTAAATGGCCGGGAAGCCGCCTTCACGTAGTTGCAAGGGCTGTCACCTAACAGCCAATCATTGTTCCGAGAATACATAGTAGAAACCTGCACGTGACTCTGTAGGCTGACACCGACTGCCTAGTGCTGAGGGACGAACAAACAACGGCATCATACGACCTACATGCGAGTACCTCATTTCTGTCCGTCTAATGCTAAGCATCCTCCGTCATCATCTGTCTGGGATTGAAGTCAATCTTTAGTTCGCCTGCAGCTACCATTGGCCTATGGCGCCGGCTATGTCACGCAAAAATCGAGTGTGGTCTCGGAGAGAAATCGAGGGATTGATAGCAGATGGGCAAAAAATAATCATACTGGGTGATCAGATACTGAAGGTCGACGCGTGGCTACCCTATCACCCAGGCGGCGATAAATCAATATTACACATGGTTGGCCGGGATGCAACGGACGAAGTAACAGCGTTGCACTCAAAGGAAGCACAGACACATATGCAGAAGTATATCATAGGAAGAGTACATGGAAGATGGGAAAATTTCTTACCTCCGATACAGGGAGGGGTATTCAGAACGCTGACCTCGAGGGACATCGACGACGAAGTGCTATCTGCCGAAGATCTCACCTCATCTGGAGGGTCGACACCACCATCAGTCTTCGATAATGATGAGACACGAGACGAAGTTCGTCTGAGGCGTGCAGGGAACGATACCCCTATTTCTCGAGTATCATCCTTATCCCCATCAGAGCCGGAGCTGGGACAATTTAGATCTGCGGAAGCATCAACTGCACACGCGATATCATCCGATCTTTCGAAATATCCTCTGGATAAAAGGTCCCAAGCTAAGATCGCCAAAAAGTACCGCCAGCTCGACGAAAAACTGCAATGTGAGGGACTTTACGACTGTCCATATGGCTCTTACGCCGTCGAATTTGTCCGATACTCGGTTCTTTTCACCCTCTTCTTGACATGTCTTCACCATTCCTACTTTGCTCTTTCGGGCTTTTTCCTCGGGTTACTCTGGCACCTGCTTGCATTCACCGTCCACGACGCCGGTCATCTAAGTATAACCCATGAATTCCACACGGACAGTTGCATCGGGATTTTTGTCGCAGATTTCCTTGGTGGTCTATCAGTCGGCTGGTGGAAACGGAATCACAACGTGCATCACATAGTAACTAACTCACCCGAGCACGATCCGGACATCCAGCACATGCCATTTTTCGCCATCTCTTCTCGATTCTTTACTTCCCTGCGCTCGAGCTACTACGACCGCGATATGAATCTCGATGCTGCAGCACGGTTCTTCATCAAGTACCAGCATTACCTTTACTATCCCATACTGTTATTCGGTCGCTTCAACCTGTACCGCCTAGCATGGTCATACCTCCTAGACCCGGCGCAAGCACCTCGGAAAGGCGCAGCATGGTGGCATCGCTACCTTGAAATGGCCGGCCAGGTGTTTTTCTGGTACTGGTACGGCTACCGCACGCTATACCTCTCGATCCCGACGTGGTCGTCCCGTATCGTGTTTCTGCTCATCTCACATATGGTCACCGCCTCGTTACACGTACAACTTACGCTGAGTCACTTCGCCATGTCGAGCGCCGACCTGGGCACCCACGAGTCATTTGCTCAGAAGATGGTGCGGACGACGATGGACGTCGATTGCCCGCCGTGGTTGGACTTCGTGCATGGCGGTCTCAATTTCCAAGTCGTGCACCATTTGTTCCCTCGTCTCCCAAGGCATAACTTGCGCTGGGCACAGCCGTACGTGAAGGAGTTCTGCCACGACGTCGGGATTCCATACGTAGTATTTGGTTTCACCCGGGGGAATAAGGAAGTCATTAGCAGACTGGGTGAGGTTGCCGAACAATTGAGGGTGTTGGAGGAATGCAGAAAGGTTGCTGCGAAGGATTTGGTTGAGGGTCGCCATAGTCATTGATCAGCTTTTCCCTCTCCTAATTCCTCATAGATGTAACTGGCAACGTTTCATGTTTGCTACCACACTGTTGTGCCAGGCTGCTTATAGCAGTGTAGACCGTAGCCACACATGACAATGTTGCTGTTGTTCCAACAATAATTGTCTGTGTCCAGTTACTGTGATGCAAGTGCAAATGCGGCAGTAGTTTCGTGGCCCCTAGAAAGAATACATAGGGATGCATTTTTATCATTTGCAAGTTCCATCGTTTGGCCACACTTTGCTCCCTCTCATGAGACAGCAGATCTCCAGCTAGTTGAGCAACCTTAGCCCACTTCTGCTGCAATGTCCCCTTCTTGAATTCCTCTCCAGTCAGTAACCTTGCGTGCCTATAGTTGATTCTCTTTATGTCGTTGTCGGGTTCTATGAAGTAATTTTCTATAGCTACTCTCCGGAGAGATGGACCGGAATCACTCATGTTGTCGAAAACCCTGGTCATCAAGCCATACCTCTTGATGCGATCGTACGTCTGCCAACTTACACGACCATGTTGACTCTGATAGGTGTTATAGATGGCCCCCAAGCTCACAAAATGGATAATGAGGGCTGCGAGTCCGGCTGCCAAGCGGTGGCTACGGACGAGCCCGTTTTCGGACTGTTGTAGTTCTCCACGAAAGCCTTCCCATCGCTCCTGACTGTGACATCCTGTCCTGTAGTCCTTATACTCTTCGGACTGGCCGATTCCATGATGCTCTCGACGCTAGACTTTCTGCCCTTCTCCGCTTTGTGGTCATTCTTTTTGATGGACCAAGACATTGATATGATATCAAACTTCGGTCTTGCCATCGTCACATGCTCAATGGCCTGTGGTGTGGTTAGTGACTATGCATGGAATGGAAGAGGTAGACTGATATCTGCCACAACCCTGGCATCGAAATTTGACCCTTTTCCCGGCCCTCTGTCCAGAATGTCCATTTTAAAGCCGTAGAGACACTTCGCTTGGATCCTGGCTTGTTCTCAAGTACTCCCTGAGATCAAATGAACCATCACCCGCGGGACTGAAATATAGCACATATTATTGGCAAAATCATTAAGGCCCATTTATTAGCCGATTGTGTCGTATAGTTGGGTGGATCAAAGGGCGTTTTGGCTTTTCGTCTGTGACCAAAGGCTGCCCACGTCATCCAGAGGCTGCCTGGCGAGGACGGGGTATTAAGTAGCCGCATGTTTGTTATAGCCCATATACGGGTTTCTACAAGCTGTAACATAACCTCGCAATGCTCGCAAGAGACTGGTTCAGCTCAACTTCCCGGTTCATTCGAATAGGACCTGGTCCTTATCCTTATCAACTCAGATCATCCCCTCTTACAACGATCGTCAGGGTACTCTATACCTTATTAAATTACCTGATATTCACGATCCGTGCCGGCAAACCAGGACGTGAGAGAGACAACCACAAAGCACCTTGTACTTAGCAATTCCATTGATATCGTGTGACTTGTTACCGCTTTTGAAAGTACTAAACACGTCGCTACGTATATAGAAGAGGCTGACAAGCTTGGAGACAAGAATACAGCTAGCCGAATCCTTGCCATGTGATCTTCCCCTCATGTGCCTGGCATTTTATTGGTGTTGTACTCGATGGCGTGATCTGCGAGCATATGCAAACGTCAATCTGAATTGGAGCCTGCACCTGTATATATTGCATGCCCTAGCGAAGCAAACATGAAGTGTTTTAAATGATATGTGAGTGGGCGACCTGCCAGACGCAATTCTTTCTGCTGTGTTTAGCCAGACGCCATAAGGCCAATCGTAGCACATCGGCACAGCCCAGAGATTGGTTGATAGTTTCAAGGCTTCCTACACTGAGATATTCTATTCTTCTAGGTGCCACCTTACCAGTCGCTACAGTCCAAAATGATCCACGCGGAGCCCCAATTGATTCATTTTGTGACCGGGAATCCACGGAAATTTGCTGAAGCCGAAGCAATACTTGGAAACGCAGCACGGCTCCGACAATATGTCATCGAGCTTCCCGAGATCCAGGGCTCGCTAGAAGAAATTGCACGGGAGAAGTGCCGTAGTGCAGCTACTGCGGTATGAGAACACCCCTTATTCTAGAGGAGCAGGGTATCCAGCGCAATGACTGACTCTGAACAGACGCAAGGCCCGGTTTTGACGGAGGATAGTGCCCTTGAATTTCATGCTCTAAATGGATTGCCAGGTCCCTACATGTGAGCAAAAGAGTCTCTTGGCTCGTCTGCTGTTCAGTGAACTCTGACCTCTGCTTATCTGACAGAAAATGGTTCTATTCTGCACTTGGAAATACTGGGCTCTGTCAGCTTCTAGCGGCATTTGAGGACAAATCTGCATCTGCTATCTGCACGTATGCTTTCTCATCTGGACCGGGCGTTGAGCCTGTGCTATTCCAGGGTCGGGTTGACGGGCAGATTGTCACGCCCAGAGGGACCAATGGTTTTGGTTAGTTTTGGCATGTTGAATTTGTAGCCTTTGATGAACTAATCTTTTAAAGCCTTCGATCCTATATTCGAAGTTCAGGGGAAGACATATGGAGAGATGGATGCTCAAACAAAGGCATGTCAGTGAGGTCGCAGCAACTATGCAGCTGATTTTCTGACAGACAGGTAGAATCAGTTGTCTGAACGATACGTTGCTTTACAGAAGCTCAAGGGCTGGATCGGCGATCACCTTGGTTGAACATGGCATATAGAGTCGACCGGATACATATATATAGTTTATTTGTGGTTGGGATTTGGAAACTCTGACTACGAAGAGAAGGTCGCACACATTTCGCTTGGCTTCAGGCCTCCCGCTGAGGCCACAGTATTCTCCCCGAGGGTAAACTTCAGAGACATTCATTCCATATTGCCGATTATCTGCCCGGTGTTCATCATATCGAGTGGGTGATATCATACTTTGTCATGGCGGGGTTTGCTTGTTGCCATGAAGTCCTATCAGACATGCATATAAAGCTTTACCCTGCATATGGTCATGCCATCTAATCTCTCCTATCTGTTCGTGGAATTATAAATAATTTATTAAACCTCGCCTTTGATTCCTCGGATATGCCATCCGCAATTGTCACTGGTGCAACCGGTATGTGTCCATACATCGTCCGATGGTCTGCTAAATATTCTTTAGGCATAAACGGGAGCGCTTTTGTGCGTCATTTATGCAAAGACCCCCGATATGAGAAGATCTACTCCCTCTCTCCCAGAAATCCTGGAGGGGAAAACGCAAAGATCTAACATGCTACTCTCGACCTCTGAGCCTCAGCTGAGGACATGGCTAAGAACCTCAAAGACATATCCGCCGAGTATGTCTTTTTCTGCGCTTACCTGGCATAAGATGGCCAATTCAACGGATTGGTTCTGCAGGTGGAGTATATATAGTAGTTGTTTAGCTGTAAGAATCTCCAGACTATTTGATTAAGGGTTCACTTCTATTAACATATAACCGCAGTGTACATTGATTAGAGGCTAAAGAATCACGATAAATCAAATCACCAACGCACACCGGAGCACATGGCCAACCGTTTGTAAGTTACCGCCCCTCACTGCGTAAATGCAGCAGAGCCGCCAAACGGCCCGGAGATGGCAGTGTTCCGGATACGCACAATGCAGACATTCTTGGCCGCACCGACTGTTCCAGTGCACTTCATCCCTTTAGGCACCTGGACTTTGACCTCGTAGTCCATGGTGCTGGAGGTCGAGAACCCGGCCACACCGGGGATGTTCTGAATCACCTGGGCCGACACGAATGCCTTTGGGTTGGTTCCTCCACTTGACGGATCAATGTCGGCTGTGAGTGGTCCAGCGCCGTCTTGGTTTACCTAGAGTATACAAGTCAATATTGGACCATTCATTCCGGGAGTAGCGTTCTACCTGATGATAAATGACTGTGACAACGCCATCCGCAGATGCGGTGGGAAGACCCGTGCTGGCACCTTTGCCAGAGTATAGCTGAACACCATTCTCGCTGGTGCCCTGCGCTGTCATAGCACCAGACTTCAGACCTGGCACAATACTGAGAGCATCATCAACAGCGGACTGGGCACCTGTTTCCTAGATCAGCCTCGGTTTTGCTGAATGTAATGGAGCTCCTTACTCTTGATAGCCCCACCCAGCGGGGTTTTGTCTGCGAGGTCTTGGGCGCCTGCGCAACGTCAGTTCTGCTTCGTCTTGATTCATCCAGCGAAGAAATACCGTTAAGAATAGCACCACCAGCATTAGTAATTACACTTGCAGCATCGTTGATCAATTGCCGACCTGAGAACATATTAGCCTCATTGATGCTGCAATTGGAAAGCAATCTCGTACGCCTCTCCGAGGGGGGAACACGACCCCGCTTCTCCGCCACAGTGCCCAAGAACTTGTTGATGACTGTGGCCGCATTCACCGGACCAGCGCCCATAGTACGGCCTAAAGGCGAAGCCTTAATACCTCCCATTTCACCGTCTCGGATGATTGCCGTGTCTTTTTGCCCGCCACATGCCGCAGAGGGACAGTCACGTGGTACTCCATCAATGACTAAACACCGTTAATATGAGAATCATTGCGACCTAGGGCAAAGGGAGAAGGTTGAACTCACTCGTCAGGCCAGGCATGTTGACGCCATTGGCGCCTTTGATACGGGTGACTAGACCATGAGCACTAACCTGGCTCACAAGCAGTGCTGTCACTGTGAGGATGTCTTTGATCAACATATTGATGAAGTGAGATGGACAGAGAGAGAGAATAGTGGAAGCTTCTTGACCAAAGTATGAACGCTGGATTGTTTGACTTGATACTGGAAGGAACAGGACGTCGGACATCCTTATATACTCTTATTCATGCCGGTTCATCCCCTATCTCTCATGCCCATGAGGCATTAACTCTATACCAAATCCACAATGCTGTGCGAGAAAGCTGTTGATAGTAACACATGAAACACAACCATGTGATGCGGCCAGCTCCTGCTTGCTTAGACTTGTCCATGAACCAAACGTAGACGTCCTTGTAGGCCTCTCGCTCATTAAGCGAGGGTAGCGAAGGGTTGATCGACGAAACTACCCAAACTAGGTCAGTCATGAGTACAACTCCTTGTTTCATGACGATAAAAGTCCAATGAAGTGGGCAGATCATGCAGGCCAGGTTCTGGATACTGTTTGAGAGTGAGACTCGGGCAAGGGTCCATTAGGTAAATTGCAGGGGACCCACAGTTTGCCGGAGATCTATGACAAGTCTTCCTCAGATTCAGCGTATCCTGCGCCTTAGATAACCTCTACTCGTGATTAGAAAGGATGCACATAGTTGTTGTAAATGTCCTGTGTTGAATTATAATAAGTCATTAAAAATCTCTTTGGCCAGTAGCAGCATCCCAACGACGCACTGTATACCTCCAGGAGCTTATTTTCTCGTTCGTCAACTCAGAAATAGAGAATCTTTGGCGACATTCTCCCAGTGTAAATCTACAAGGGTCTGCCAGTAAAGTTTGCTAGCTTTCTCACCATGTTTTGGATCTCCCAAAAGTCCCCTTTTGGCTTGCCTGATGGAGGAACCTATACTCAAAAGAGTAATGTGTAGTAATTGCCCTGATTGGCATGCTAAAATTAGGAACGTAGAGTAGTATTAGATGTGGGGAGGTCAGCAAGATTCCGGTTCGCGCACTGGCTAGCCTTATGACTGAAACATGCTGTCGATTGTCGAATGTGGAACTGTAGGCTCGGCTGTAGTGTCGGCCGTTGCAAAAGCCGCACTCGGGACGATCCATGTGATTGCCAAGTCGGTATACTTCGCGTAGGACGGTTGATCGGGATCTGAAACGCGATCCAACCTGAAGTGGATCCCTTTAAGGAGATCATTGATTGCGAACAGGTGTTTCCCTCCAGATTTCCCTCTGATGCTATTCATCTCTTGGAGTCTGGGCCCTTAGATGAGGGAGCAACAGGCCACTTCATTCCCACTGGCAAAGCAGACAACAAAACACCTTCTTTAGTTGTTTATACCCCCCAGCAAGTTCAGTTTCGACTCCACTCTAGGCAGTTCCAATTTTTAAGACGGGGAACGCTAGTTGCCTAGGCCAGAATACTACCAGGTTTCCTCTTAACCGACACAGATCTTGTGCGAAAATACATATCTTGCTTGTGTCGACTAGATGGGTCCTTGTAGCCAGACTTCCAGTGGCGCCCGACATCGCCTTCCATGTTGGAAACACAGATTTGCTTTTATATATTCTAAGCACATGATTTAGAATGCTGAACAATATTACCAGATAAATAAACCGCTATGTTGCATTATCACTACATTTGTCCCGTCCAATATATGTATGAAAGGTACGCAATTTCAATGAGGGGCTTCGCAGCCTGGAATTTGGAAGATTCATTGTAATTAAATGAATCTTAGGTCTGCAATCTTTCCAAAGGGTTATATTATCTTGCAAAACCTATACTGCAGGAGCTACCTTGGGGGTGTCGAGCTCCGCAGTCAGCCAGACGTTTCTTTCATACTGTTGCGATCGAGAAGAATCTTGCTATTTCCCGCCCTGTCACTTTCTCCTCAATCCCGTTGACCGAAGGTATGAATTCACTAGTTTGACCCTAATTACGCATGGGCAGAAATAAACATAGCTATTATGAATTCAGATTCTTACCGTCTCATGCCATATAAGGAAGAGGAAGACACACACACAGAGCTATGCAATATATCAAGCTTAGCACCAACCAGCACGCGAAGCGGAAAGAACTAGCAACTATGCTGCTCTATTGCTTCCTCTCTGTTATGTTTACCACTTCTGTAACCCACAGTCTCCTGTTTTATATCTGCATTTCGCGTTGAGGGAGACGGATTGGCCAAGAATGTGCTTTATGCAGGCTATTATATACCCTGACCCGGGATTCTCAGGGCTGTCACAGGGAATCCTTTCTACAGAACAGTATGTCATCATCAACCTTAATACCATTCCCCCTGAGGTGGGATCCATCCGAGTTGTGTCAGGTGTCATGTGCACAAGCTACTTTGACCCCAGGTGCCCGAACCTAAACCAGCACCTCAGGAGCACGCAGTCCAGTTTCCCAGGGCCCCCTGATGTGCTGTCTATCCTTTACCGGCGCCTAACTAGGAGTAGAGGCTGTGGTAATGAGGAAGACGGATGGATTAAGGCTTTATTTGCAACCTGCAATGCATCTCTACGGTACTGTTCGCATTTCTAGTCCTGATCATCACTCTAGGAATGTGTCTCATTAGCTTCGCGAGCATTATTTTGAATCACACCATGGCAAATAATTTTTGCAGCGGACAATACTCTTTTAGGATGACGACGGTGTAAGGATTATTTATAATCCTCACCAGCTATAACGCTCTCACTAGGTACAGATAGGCCTAGAAACATGAGGTCCAGCTCTCATTAAAGAAAACGCTGATTCTGGTTTGTGAGTGAAGTTGAATAAGGATTCCCAACTTGCCCAGAGGATCTCGGTGCTATTAACTCTCATGCTGACTCCATGATCTACACCACTAGGCCAAAAAAACACCGCCTTTCATTGTTTACCAAGAGTACAAAAGAGGGGTGAGGGGTTGTTTTCGGAGCTTTGACAATATACGGCTAAAAAGTATCTTAGACTCCGAAACACGAACCTAAGTTACAAATCTAGTTTTGGTCTGGAACCCGCATCATGTGATCAGATGTTGAAAGCGCATCTCTATGTTCCTAATAGGGAAGGCGATGTCGGGCGCCACTAGATACTGTCTTGCGAGACGAGCATGTCGACTGATAAGACTGTCTTGAAAGCAGTCCTTCTCGCCGGTCCGCGGGTGCAGATACGAGGCGCTAGCTAAGAGTTGAATGCAGTGATTGCTGTAATATGTAGTGGAACAGCGAACCGGAGTAGAAGGGTGTATTTCAGTACTCCGTATAATGACTTGCCTATGTGGCTAGTTCATTGGAAGGCGCGTTTCTATCGTCCTGACATTGCTCTTATAGAGTAATCACAGTCTTCCCAGGCCGCTCCGCAGGCTTTGTCCAGAGACCACTCAATTGTTCTAGTCCTGCATTGCTCAGGTGTGGTTTTATAAGGGACTCTGCTTTGGACAGAACACATGAATTGCTTGTTTTAAAAGTTGGTAGAAAATGACAGCAGAGTAAAACTGAACCCGAGGAAATAAGCATCATATCACCGCTTCATGTAACACAAACGGGTAAAGTAGGCATCTCTTAGCCACATTGATGTGTAGTTTAGAAGTTTTCATCCACGTCAGTACTGACTTGGCCGAGCTGAAGAATAAGGTTTAATGACTGCCAGCTGATTGTGCATATGTAACTTACATTATCCCGGCGACAAATAATCTATTGATCGGTGTTGCACTATTGGACAAATACCTGGTTCAAATCCTAATAACAAACAGGCCTGGCCCAATGGGGAGGTTTTATGTACGAGATGAACCTCCTAGCTGCAGAGTTATCACACACACCACTGCAAGCCCCTCCGATGGGGTCCGGTATGATCCAATCACGTAAGTTGCCGATCGCGAGGAATTCATCTGGGACCTTGAGACAATCATTCCGGAAAGCACGAAGCTGATGTGTAATATTCCGAAATATGATCCATCATTTCCCCATAGGCTGTGCACGCATCCATGTATTTCGAGGGTGAAGTGACCGCCATGCCTCACCTGCATTATTGATCGACACTGCCACTGCATCCTGTTTGGAAAAGTCCTTGGTTGGCTGGAGTCGACTTTTCTGGCCATTACACCAACATGTCAAAGAGTATTACACACCTTCAAGAGATACAACTGGTACACATGGCTTCGTGACGGAGCGCCACGAATATTCCCCGCTCATGGCCATCGAATTGAGAGGACCGATGTCCCTCTTATCACAAAAAGAGCTGGGTCTGCCCTTCCTTTCTTTCCTTTCACATTTTCCCATCTAATTTGCTCGTCCTTCGAGCTTCATATTGCACAATATATTAAAAGTAACTCCTAGGAGACGGCGCAGTATTCCTGTCCGTGATTACATTTTAACTATATGGAATCGCAAATGGACGACAAGATGACTGCTTCTCCTGTCGGCATATCTGCCTCGGACACATCCGCCGTCGACAAGCAAACGGGTCAATCTGGGTCACAGGCTTCTATCCCTAAAGATATGGCTTACCATACACTCAGCAAGGCACTTCTCTTCCCGGATATAGATCAATACCAGCACTGGCATCATGTCGCGCCCATGCTCGCAAAGTTCCTCGTCGACGGGAAGTATAGCATCCATCAGCAATATGAGTACCTGTGTCTCTTCGCCCAGGTCATTGTCCCAGTGCTTGGCCCGTACCCGACACCAGGAAGAGACGTATACCGATGCACACTGGGTGGTAATATGACAGTCGAACTGAGTCAGAACTTCCAGAGATCAGGATCGACGGCGCGAATTGCCTTTGAGCCCGTCCGCTACCAGGCGAGTGTCGGCCACGATCGATTTAACCGGACCTCGGTAAATGCGTTCTTCTCCCAGCTACAATTGCTCGTCAAAAGCGTCAACATAGAACTGCATCACTCCCTCAGCGAGCATCTGACACTGACGGCCAAAGATGAGCGGAGCTTGAGTGAGGAGCAGCTTACAAAGTACCTCACAAACTTTCAGGTGAAGACCCAGTATGTTGTGGCATTGGACCTGAGGAAGACTGGCATCATTGTCAAGGAATACTTCTTTCCTGGTATCAAATGTGCAGCCACAGGTCAGACTGGATCCAGCGCATGTTTTGGAGCAATAAGGGCAGTCGACAAAGAAGGCCACCTAGATAGTTCGTGTCGATTAATCGAAGCACATTTTCAACAAAGCAAAATCGATGCGGCTTTCCTTTGTTGCGACCTTGTTGACCCTGCGCATACTCGATTTAAGGTCTACATCGCCGACCCTCTCGTCACCCTCGCCAGAGCGGAAGAACACTGGACGCTGGGCGGACGACTGACAGATGAGAACACCGCAATTGGGTTGGACATCATCCGTGAGCTCTGGACAGACCTGGGTATCATCGAAGGCACAATCAGTCCATCGGGCATATTGGACAAACCGTTCTTGCCCATTATGCTGAATTATGAGATGAAGGCTGGCCGGGTCCTCCCAACGCCCAAGCTCTATATGCCACTCACAGGGATTCCAGAAACCAAGATAGCGCATACATTGACTGCCTTCTTCCAGCGTTACGACATGCCAGAGCAAGCAGAGGTGTTTATGGAGAATTTACAGGCATACTAGTGAGTTGACAGCTGGCTTCCATGCCACATCTCGTTTACCTTGCTAATTGGGTTGCAGTCCCGGTAAGGATCTGGAAGAGGCAACGCGTTACCAAGCGTGGCTGTCCTTTGCATACACGAAGGAAAGAGGGCCATATCTCTCTATATATTACTTTTGGCCTGAATGACCGTCGGGCAATTGGAACAGACAGATTTTCTACGTGAGACACGGTATCGGCAAACAATGATGAATCGAACCAGTCAATTGAACTGCACTTCATTATGTTTGATGTGGGAGACTACGCCCGAGATGCAGTATGCAGGGGTTACGGACTGGCATACCATCCATCCTTTTTACTTATTTCTACCCTTATACTTTACTTGTAGGTTTGTTCGTATAAGAAATGAACTGATTTCAGTAGATATATGGAGTTATATAGCTGTTTATTAACGACCCTGACCGCTGACTTTGGGAGCGCCTTAGATTGGAAAGATGGAGAGAGAAGCACAACGGACCAGCTGCCATGGCAATAATTCCATGCTATTCTGCGCCGGAGGTTTGCCACGGGAGGTATAACAACATAACTAAAATATACGCAGGAGGCTGGTAGGGCTGCAGGGACGCAACCGGGGAGGGGCAGAGTTTGGTGTTTGGGGTTGTTTACAGTCAGCCTCCGACTGGCCAGTGAACTTTTTCTAAAGCTTTACTGTCACCCTGCCAAGCTGCAGTAGTTATCATTCATCACACCGGGTTCCTACGTTAGACTGGGACCATTAGTCGAAGTCGGCCGAGACGGGAGGATCGAATGCAAATGCCGTCCAGACAAGCCCCGGGTCCAGATACAGATACAGACACGAGAATCATGTCATATGTTGGAACTAGCAGAACCTAAGGCAGATAAACTATCTGGGGATCCCATAAACTACTAAGAACTTAATATCTCGATATCGCGTCGCCAATGACAGTGCCAGACAAAGATTAAAGGCTATCATTTCATGCAAATATCCCAGCCACAGATGCAGATTTAAAGAAGGGCAACAGCAGACAATATAGCGGCGGAGACACATAATACTCCGGAAATGACCATGCCATGCGCAGAATCTCCTCTGAACTGTACGTAGGGGTTCCCAGATTGGATAGCAGCGGATGGAGACGCTGGCATGCTTGCAGCGGCCTTGACAATCACTTCAGGTGAATGGGTTGGGGATGCCGAAGGGGTGGCCGCAGTAGAGACCGGGCCATTGCCCGTAGCTTTCCTGCAGGTGGATTGGTCCAATTCACTGACGACGTATTCCCTTTGAATCCAGAGAGCTTCAGCACGTCCGCTGCAGGTCTCATCACTATGGCATGTGTTCCTGTCATAACCAGCATAATTATAGAAAACTGCCTTCTTCTGCTGAAGAAGCTCTCCATCTATGTTGGCCGATTGCGACACGACAGGATAGCCCATGTAACCGGTGATCGACGCGCTGCTGGCACAATCAGCGAACGCTTCACGGACGAAATAAGCGGTGGTGTGGTGGTCGCTATGGTCTCCGTCTCCGTAATCATGGACAAAGTCCTGGGTGTTGATGTGGTCGTATTCAAATTTATCGGCCAGATGTCTCAGCACATTCACCAAGTCGCCCTTGGAGTATGAGGATCCGCCCCAGGAAGTCAGAGAGGGTATGGTTCCTTGCCACAGTTGCTGCAGGCTTCCGGATCCAAAGCCCTCTCCTCCGTTGTTACCGTCTGGTAGCTGAAGAAAGACAAGTGAGATACTAGGATTGTTGTTCAATGTAAACAATGGGATGTTGAAGCCTGGGATGCCGGCGTCCGACTGTGTCCAGGTGTTGTCATTACCGCTCATTTGGGCGTACGCAGCCTTAGACCCTTCCTGCCGAGAGGTCCAATAGTCTGCACCATTGCCCGCGTCTCCAGCGGTAATGAAGATGGTGCGGACCCTCCGGCCAGATTGAATGTCATTGAGAAGTTTGGGGCTGAAGAAGAGGAGATCGTCGTCCTCATGTGCGACAACGTTCAGGGTTTGGGCGCCTGCAGTAGCTGTGAGCGCTACGGGAAGAAAGAAGTGATGGAGCTTCATTCTGGTGTGAGAAAGCCGGTAATAGGATAGAGGAGGATAGGATGAGAAAGAGATGGTATGTGAGATTGAAGGAAAGCTGCGCGGCTGATAAGGAAGTTTCCGATGTAGACAAATAGTACGCAAAACATATTTCCATTTTCGTACTCTGTGGGGAGGCTCGCTGAACAATGCTGCAAACCATAAATGGCATCTTTCAGGTACCTGTGTGTGGTTGGTAAACATGCCGTCTGCCCCTGGCAATCATGCCAACTACCAGCCTCCAGGTAGAAAGACAGCGAATATGGTGTTAGGACGTTGGCCAGCTTTATACATATTACCAAGCTGCTACGATCATCAGCAGTTCCATCTGGCTACTCAAAGCGCGGGCAATGAGAGGTAAATGAGCAAGGCTTTTACAGACATTCATAATTCTTTCGGATTATCCGGGTCAAATAACTGACGTTCGCACCCTGCCCAGTGGCACTGGCAAATCTCTTGTTGCGACAAAGGTACCTATACCTTCCTGGACTCAACGGTGTCGGTCCCTCTCAAAATGGACACAGGCCGGTTCCAAATCGGCAGAGTCACTTCGTATACTCACTTTGTCAAAACTTGGTGTCCGATCCAGAGCCTCTCTTGGTCAATCACGAGGCCCGTTGATGCTTCAGTGGACCCATCCTATGTCCGATGTGTACTTGTTATATCGTAGAGGCTGGAAACCGTGTTCGGGCGAGGATTTAAGCTGTCGTAGTTTGATCGTCCTATCCGTGGTGTAAGAGAAAGGGACGTGCTGTAATGGCCAGACGAGGGTAGTCTTGCCAGAGGCTATATCGGGATGCAAGAGGTGCAGTACAACAGACACTTCCTGGGACCTAGACGAAATAATCATACATATAAACAATATGTGGGAGCATGGGTCTTTCCACAGGCCCTTGACAGCCATCTCAGTCCCCAATGTCCAACGTACATCACTGATCTCCATGAAAACTGATCTCCGTGAATCTATATTCTCTCAATAACTACCAGTCGTGCGTTCCGTTAAATCCGCAGGAACTAAGGCTATACTTTAAACCTGAAAAACAAATAGCAGGCAAAGTTGCATTGCCAGGTTAAATCAACTTGGGTACTCTCAGTCCAGAAGGTGGCCACAAACTGAAAGTGATCATGCGATTAAGTCACAGAAATCACTCTACAATTGGCTGGGAAATATAAGCTGAATGTCTCACATATTTGGCTGTACAAATGGAATGTGAATATAAACCTATTGTTGTCAAGACGCTATCTGAACTCTCCGGATTTGGCCAAGGTCACTGCCAACGGTAGCCGTGGCGCCTCAGCAAGAATGTCGATGTAATAATGCTTCCCGACTCAGAGCTTGGTTTGGCTAAATCTTTGCAACTACTGAACCCGGTGCATTATGTTGTCATCTTGGTCCTGCGGACTACTGAGACCACTGAATGCAGGCTGCCTTGTTACTGCCTTACTATTTCTGCAAACATTGGACCTCAGGCACTGCAAATCATGATATATTTGCCCTCATGTCAATTGAAAGGATTCCTTGTCCTTTTGCCCCCTTACTTTCAAAATGATCTATACCCGCCCTAGTTCAGGATACACATTCCTGGTGGCTGCATTCATATTCGCCATCCTGATTCTCTGGAGAGAACATGTTTGGAAATTCAATAGTCAGCTGCTCCTCCATTGCAGTGCCCCCACTACAACTGTCAATGTTACTAGTTCCGCGATTCCTAACCAAGTCCATTATGTATACATCCTACGAGATGCTGACGCTGACTTCGCGTTCCAATTCAAACACTTTCTTTCTCTCTACTCCGTCTTGCAGCATTGGCACCCCGATACTATCTATCTCCACACCAATGCTAATCCAAAGCGCATCGAGAATGCCCGGGCAGGGAGGACGGGAAAGTGGAGCCAGCTTATATTCAACACTCCGAATCTGCGAATAAACCATGTTGAACCGCCAACTGTTGCTGGAAACGGGAAGCCCATTGACCAGATTGAGCACAAGTCCGACTTCATCCGCGTTTCTGCCGTCTGTGAGTTCGGCGGCATCTACCTTGACTGGGATGCACACCCGATTCGCGATATTAAGGTCTTGAGGGAGAGCGGCTTCAATTCGGTCACTGGCCGCCAAGCCGGCGGTGAGATAATGAGCGGGACCTTCATGGCCAAGAAGGATGCTCTCTTGCTCCAGATGTGGAAAGCCGAGATGCACAAGGTTTACGATGGGGGTTGGACAACGCACAGCAATTCAGTCGTGACGCGATTGGGCCAGCGTCTGGCGCGGTTGCCCGGAGAAGTCCTGATCATGGAGCAGGATGCATTTGGGCCTGGGAGCTGGACCACATCTGAAAACATCCTGCTATACGGCATTCACAATGAGACGGAAAACAATCTGGAGAACGCTACTGATTGCAAGTCCTTGCCGTCTTACGAGGAAGGAATTGCGGATCGATGGGACAGGCCGCAGGACTTTCCGTCATGGGAGTACGACTACTCCCATACATACATATTACATGCTTTTAGTCCTGCTCGGAATGGAAATCCGGTCGAGGGCTTCGAGCATATCACGCCGAAATATGTCCTGGAACGGCAGAGTAATTTCGCACGGCTGCTTTATCCCGTCACGAGGGATATGTGTCACGCCGGCTTTGTGGAGATAAATGATCCATATGCTGGATGATTAAGCCATTGTTCATATACGCCCAACCAAGGATAGAGATTTACGTGGTCGAATTGTACAAATCATCCTGTTATAGCTATTATGTCCTCTGTTCTAGATGAAATTGTACTGGAATCTACTGGCAATCAGTCAGAAACATAGCTACTGCGCAATGGAAATCCACTGCAGTGCAAACCATACAAGATTTGTCATGAAAGCATAAAGCAGTTGTTCCAATAGATGGACAGGGGTTTATATCTATCGCCAGGTTCTGTCAAACTGAGACACGCCTAACACCTAGACCATGTCTTACTGTGCTCATATGTCCGTTCAGGTCATGCGAGTGTCATAATCAAGTAATGTTTTGCTCACCAGCAATGTAAATGCAGAACCCTTCAGCCATCCACTTGTGGAACTGCTAACCCGGTTTTTGACAATGCTCGCAACGACACCGAAAGCGGCATAATGGTCTAACAAAATCCGAAAAGAAACTGAAAAGGGGAAAAACCAGCGGCCGTGATGAACTAAAAATAGGGCAGAAGTTACGGCTGTGGAATGACAGAGAGCAAGGGGCTCAACCAAAGGGGCATGTGGACGCTGAGGAATGTTTCGGTACGGGCTGTGGAATTTGGATTGAGCCCTCCCAGAATTTCCTAACTAATTGCTGAGGATATTCTTTTCTCAGTTTTTCTTCAGAGGGACAATTTCACTGTTCATCAGGCGTCAAAATGTTCATTCTTATATTGTTCCAGCGACTTTACCCCTGTCCCTGTGAAGGTTCTGGTGAACAAGATATAAACGGTTTCAACCCGCATTGACGCAAAATAGTTATCCAGAATGTCTGTTCACTGTGCTTATTATTACCTGCAAAGCCATTGTTGCATTGAATGGGAGGATAGTCAGAGCGGGCCCGCTAGTGAAACCACCTAATTGACGAAAACAAAACAGGGTAATAGGATTCCTAAATAGGCGCATATACATTTCACAAGGGCTTGCTCAGACTTACTGAAAGGTCCGGGTCAAACCTATTCTCAGCTAGCTGGCAGAGACCATGACTGAGGATATGTCTCAGCAACTCTGTAGTGTGTATAATGCCGCCGAACAATAGCCTAACGTAATTGCTTGGTATGGAACGATGGAGGCATTCAAATGCCACAATAATGGCCATCAACTAACCCTAGAATTTCAGAGTACTTTGATTCAAGAATCGCAGAGCCCTGCATCTATTAATGGTCGTCGTTAGCTTCATTGAGCAGTATGAATACCGCAGGACAACCCATTTTCGGGCAACCCGCGTCGAAATAAGTCATTTGACTGCTGGTTCTTTCCATACATACCCGGTGCGAAAACAGAAATCCGAGACCTTGGGAACAAAATCACTAAGGGCTATAACAGCAGCTGTTTTCGTCCCAGGTTCCTCACGTGAACATGTCACTCTCGAGTAGTTGATTGAAGCACAGAATGGTAGAACCGAAGGCAGTATCGGTCCCACTTTGGCCTATCCTCGCTGCGTTCGTGGATAAGATCCAAAGAGATCACAGCCCGGGAAGATATGTCGACAGAACTACTGGGCCTTTGCTTATGCCGTCGATTATCCCATTCAGCAGTCACAGTTAACTCGAAACCTCCCTGCGCGAATTTGGCAACATGATCTTGCACACCCCCCGGCGGCGTCTTCACATTACCAAGATTCTCCCCGGGCTACTTGTTTTCTATGCCAGCGTCTATTTCCTCTGGCCGGTAGTCAGGACAGGCTACAGGAATGGGGATTGGCTGTTCATCAGTCGCGACGTCCTGAGCGATGACATACTTTCGCATACTCAGAACGAGACTCTAGGCGTGAGGTCCCTTTATATCCTATAGCACTTTCGTACTATCTAACCCGACTGGTCTATAGTTCGAGCATATCTATGCGATCGGCTTGAAAGAACGGACTGACAAACGGGACTTTCTGACTTTAGCATCTCTCGCTGCTGGTTTTAAGGTAGACTGGATTGATGGCGTGCGACCTGACGACCTGGATCCCAGATCCCTACCTAATGTACGCGCCAGCATCCGCACTTTATTACTGATCTGCTAACCTGGAGATAAGGGAATTAACCTAACTGATTTGAAACCCACTGCCGTGGCCTGCTGGCGCGCACATATGAATGCACTGAGAATGTAATACAGCACACTCTCGCCAGACATACCCATTCCCCAGACCGTGACTAACGGAATTGGACTGAACAGGGTCCTTCAGAACTCCTACACGACAGCCCTTATCCTAGAAGACGACGCGGATTGGGACGTGGCCATTAAACGGCAACTTCGCGAATTTGCCCGTGGGGTGCGCCTGCTAAATGGCGAGGAAACCGCACCCAAAAAGGCCCCCTATGGCACAAACTGGGATATCCTCTGGATCGGAGGCTGCGCCTCGGGCCCCGGAGCCAATGAGACGACCTTCTTCGCCATCCCAGAGGACCCAACCGTCCCCAGTGTCGAGAAGCGGGACGGCTGGGGCGGCCCACTGGATACATGGAAAGAACAGTATCCCAACTTGCCGATCGGGTCGACGCGCTTCTTATATCGGGCCGAGATGGGCTGCTGTACGTACGGATATGCCGTCACAAGGGAAGGGGCCAAGAAAATCCTTGCCGCGCTGTCCGTGGATCGCCTTGACTGTGCTGTCGATAATGCCATGAGTGACCTGTGCGCCGGCATTAACGGTCGTCGGCAGCTGAAATGCTTTGCTACGTTTCCTAATTTGATCGGCACGTATAGACACGCTGGTCCGGCATCACGCGACTCTGATATCAACGGTGGTGATGATACCGCATTCCATGAGGCTCAAGCATGGAATATGGTCTACAGCACTCGGCTCAACATCCATCAGCTGGTGGCGGGCGAAAAGAAGGTATATTCGCAACACAAGAATGAAAACACAGGCGCCATAACGGAGTTGGATTTAGCGGAAGTTTACTATCCCAGGGGGGTCTTGGTTGGCTAATCTGGACTTTTGTATATGGAAGAATCTATAAGACGAAAGCAACTGCGTTGATCGATTGCCATTCCCTGTGATTTGAGCCCATATGGCTGGTTTTCTCTTCGTTGTAGATAGTTTGAGACTGTGCCCAGTTCTACCCCGTGGCTTGTGAAATAGGAGCCAGAATGGGGACATACACGTTGAAGCGTCTGCGTGTCGAGGATGGTTCTCGCAAAGGTATTCTCTAATCTAATTACATCCTCCTGGGTGTATCGCTTAGAACGCTCACTGGCTGCGGTTCGTGTTCCCTTGAATAGCAATTCACTGAATGCAGGGTGCCCCACACACATTGGTCTTATAGTAACATGAGTGCTACGCTACTTTGAAACGTCAGATATTTTGGGAGTAGTCTTGGTTTTGTGACGATTTCATTTTGATTGTATTGCAGATATTAATATGATGTATTAATACCTTGTTTAGGATAGGCATTCAAGGAGAGTGACCACCACCTACTTTGCAACGGTTTCGTCGGTCATATCAATTGCCGCATTGGACAATTCGCACATGACTCACAGTTCTTCAGTGGCTGCGAAGCACTATACGCATGTATCTGATTGTAAAAACCACACAGATTAGCTTGCCTTTAATCTGAAAGCATTCGATCTAGGTAAGGTCACACATACAAGGTCATCCCTGTCAGGGCCATTAGGATACCGACGAGGCATCCCCTCGAAATTGGCCGATCGCTCAGTGCCCATCCCAACCCGACAATGATACAAGTTTTCAAGTGTCCAATGACAGTGCTGCTGACAGGGCCAACAGAATCGATGATGATGAATTGTGATAGATTCACCAGACATGCAAGGATACCACTCTAGAAAACCGAGTTAGCCATTTTTAGCGCTGTAGCAAGACAGTGCAATAGGAGGGGTCTGGGGAAGGAAGTATTACTGCCATGATAGAGACGTATAATGATGTCGAGAGGCCGGCAGTTGCTGGCAATGTCTCTGCAAAAGGAACAATGCACAGAAGTATAGCCGCGCTCAGTGGAGCCTGGTTCAATAGGAGTTGAACACTGCCGATTTCGAATTTCCGGTGATAGCGTCCGACGAATGCTGTATATAACGCACTGGCAACGACGCCGGTGAAGGCAAAAACCGCGCCCTTTGAAGATGCTGTGACTTTGCCGTCTGTCCTGGGTAGTGCGTCATAGTATGACATGGTCCCGACACCGCCACACAGCACTATCAGAGGTATGATGGAGGCCGTGGGAATCCTTGCACGATACAGAAGATAATTCAAGAGCGCGGTAAGCGGTGTCAGAAGTAGTCGCACGAGTTGGTGGAAGATGACCGATGAATACGCTAGCGAGAGATTCTGCAGTATCACCTGGAGACACATGAGTACAGCCAAGTGCAGAGTCTGGTGGACTGGCACTCGCTTCGCAGTGAAGACCCCGCACCAAGGACGTGATGCCATCCAGAGGGTGAACCCTGTTACGAAAAAGTGGTAAGATGCAAAGGCGATCTGGCAGTTGCCGAATGACTCGTTGACGAAAATAGACTTGTTGGTGAATATCTTGCATGGATCAGTAAGTTTCAGGGGTTGTCAGGCAGTTGTGCTTACAATTGCGACTGTAGAGACAATATTTACCATGGTCCATATCCCCAGGCGGGCTCTGGAGCTTCGAGGTCTTAGTCAGTCTATGTGAAAATTGAAGGAGTATGAACGTACCCGTTGTTGTCTTTCTGTCCCAAAATTTCTCTAAGATCCAGTGGAGACTTGAGCCACCAGCTGAATGGCCATGGCTTCAGCTGCTCGATGGCATTTTCACCATTGGGACTCACATTTGCTGCCAGTGAGACAACCATTGTACTTGGGTTGCCATATACCGTCCCTTGAACAGAGGAGAGACATTGACTTTAAACGTAAGAGGGCATCTCCCCAAGAAAATAACATGCTACTGTCCTTCACTAAGGTGGTAACCTACATGACAGTTGATTTCGAATGCGGACATCCTAGTCCTATCCGCTAGTTCCTGAGCTCAAAAGACCCTTATCATCTACTGTACTTATTCTTGGCAGTCCTAGACTCGGTGTTTTTATTATAGATATGCTATGGCTATGTTGTAGGCTATACCACAGTCTCAACGTGTACATATTTGATCCTATTCCGTATCGCCTCGAATGCAATTGCACGCTGGAGATACTATATCAAACAACCTTCTAACTTTATTTATTGTTTAATTGGCAATAATGTCCCCGTCAGACGTCGTTGTCATCCTACTTTGTAAGGTTGCACTCCATCTCTGGGTACTTCCGCATTTGGCAATCGCCCTCCAACAACAAGAGTTGCAGATCCTGTTGGCTCCAAGGGATCCGCATTGGGATCTTGGCATGTCTAGCTGATTATTGCTGACTATTATGGTAATTCATAGGAATGTGACTGGAATGAGCCATGAGCTTTAGAGTTCAGACACTGTCTTCATGGCACTCGGTTACTATAATACAAGAAGTGGAGCACGGTTTTCATGATGCATTCAGGGAGATGATGCCGTCGTATAGCCACTTTTGAAACAAAAGTCCGGCTTTGGTAGGTAGTATTAATGAACCCAATTGCTCTGGTAGCCGTGGTATTCCCTGGAATTACTCCAAGGGATCCTAAACCGAACTCTTGACAAAGTACAATATGTAACACGCTCGAAATCACCGCCAACCGATAGGTGAGGATATGTGATATCCTCCAAAAGCCCTGTAGAATCCTCATTATCCATCACCAACTCTTCTGGACCAGCACAGGAACAAGCCGTTATCATGCACTCGGACTCTCCGTCATCCTCGTCGTTACTTCGTTGGCTGAGGGCACAATGCTCGCGCCGGCGCTATCAGTGCGCCTTTGGAGCCGCGATCTTGATTCTCCTTCTATTCCACTTCCGTACAACAGTGGTTCCCTTGGAATCTCCCAGCCGGCTGGCATCGCATTTCTCTAAGCCGTCAACGGCTCGCGCGGTGTCAGCTAGAAGCCTTCTTTCACGCCCAATCTCAAAGGACCCGGTCACGATTCCCAAGATCATCCATCAAACTTGGTTTCCCGCAGGGAGCAACATGTCTGAGCGAGCACAGTCATGGGTACAGACCATGCGGAAACAGAATCCAGACTGGGAATGGGTCTTGTGGGATGATGAGACAAACAACATGCTAGTTGAGACCTATTTTCCGTGGTTTTGGGATACTTATTCAGGACTGCCGAAAGAGATCATGCGAGCCGATCTCGTGCGCAACTTTTACATGTATCTCTTTGGCGGGTACGTTTCTCCTTCCAGATGTATTCTTTCAGTACTATTGACGCTGATGGGATTCTCATGCTGCAGAATGTACGCCGACGTAGATACTGAAGCCCTCATCCCGGTTGAACCGCTCTTCACCGGCCATGGAACTTCGCTGGCATCGCATCACAAGACTCTGTCCTCGTTAGGCCCCTATGAATCTCCCCTTGTGCAGCGCGCCTTCATGGGACGAATGGCTCACAGCGGCGACCTCATGGCCTCGGCAGCGGTGCCTAACGGGTGGATGGCATCTCCTCCAGGCCATCCGTTTTGGCTCATGAACATCATCTTCCTGATGGAGCATCCCGAGGGAACCGGCGATGGGTCCGTAGAGGGCCTGACCGGGCCAGGCGTTCTCAGTCTGATGATCAAGCATTATTACGAGAATTTCAAAAACGAATCGTTGAGGCAGCATGTCTGCGATCGGGTCCAGCAGCGACAGCCTTCCTGGTCGATTTTCTGCGAAAACGAATATGTGCACAATGAGAAACTAAGAGACGCGCTGATCCTGCTTCCGCGACAGCAGATTTATCCCTTCAGCTGGGCGGACGATGCAGACTCGGTCTGTCTGGCAGCTTACGACAACCCCCGGTTCGATGCGGACGAGTGTAAACGGATCATGGAGGTCGACGCCTGGCCGAGCTATTTCATCACCTACTGTACTCATTCTTGGTAGTCCTAGACTCGCGTTTTCATTACATACGTTATAGCCATGTTGTATCTGCTGCAGTCTCCGTGTACATATTGCTGCTTTTATTCTATACAAAAAGTCCGCATTGGCAAGTAACATATCGATAACGCGAAGTTAAAGCAAGCCGTCCGGGACGCCTTCTGTCTGCGTTGATAGTTGACTATTCTACGATGCCCTCTTTCAGACATTGCTGTCATCCACTTTGTAGGGTTGCACTCATCTCTGGGGACTTCCGCATTTGGCACTCACTGATCGATCACCCTCCAATAACGAGGTCCATCACTCCACTCTGCTCTCTTTGCTATTGTCTTCTGTTCCCGGATGTGGATTCAGCCTGATGGCGTAGTAGTCGGTCCCAGGCAGGTCGGTAGAGACGTATATAAGCGTGCCCGTGGCGAGAGGAGAATGAATTCTATTGCGCACACAGTAGTCGACAATCATCCTGTATATTATCCATGGAGCGTCATCGCTTCCATGGCAGTTCATGATCTTTATGGCGACCATAAGTCGAACTGGCAGTTGGTCCTTGATGTCCTATCATGGATATTCTGGTCCAATGCCACTATTCTACTGAATAAATGGATTATCAATTCCACAGACTTTCGTATGTTGACTGTTCCCACATCCCATGTATGTTAAGCTGACTTGTCTCAGATTACCGTGAGTCTCTAATACTGATCTTTTGAGCCTCTGATCAGTTGCTGATTCTGTAGCTATCATCCTAACATGCTGGCATTCGGTGTTTGCGACCATTGTCACCCAAGTCCTTGCACGGACGACAAGGCTGCTTGATGGCCGGAGGAATATACCCATGGATGCGCGGATATACTGTCGGACAATACTCCCAATTGGACTATTATATTGCGGGAGCCTAGTCTGCAGCAATGTGGTTTATCTCTATCTGAATATCTCCTTCATCCAGATGCTCAAGGTGCTTTATTTTCTCTACATTAAAGGCGATTTGCTAATGATTCTAGGCGGCTGGCCCTGTTGTCACACTTATCACGAGCTGGTCTTGGAAGGTCGCAAAGCCCTCAATTGGAGCCTTCATCAACATTCTCATCATAACACTGAGCGTCGCAATGGCCGTGTCGGGCGAGATCAAGTTCTCATGGCTGGGTTTCGGTTTCCAGTTCGCCAGTCTAGTCTTCGACGCCAATCGACTCGTCATGGTCCAGATCCTTCTATCCGACAGTGGCCAGAAGATGGACCCGCTGGTCAGCCTTTACTACTTTGCGCCTGCGTGTGCTGTCATGACATCGCTGGTGGCCTGGCAGGCCGAATACGCTTCGTTCGGATGGGGTTCGATCGCGCAGGCTGGGTGGACAGTTCTGACACTGAGTGCTGTGATGGGGTTCATGCTTAATGTCTCAATCTTCCTATTGGTGAGTTTATTCGATGAAGAAACAGACGATATCCGTGCTGACCCACAAAGATTGGCAAAACGTCCGGCTTAGCGATGACGCTGATCAGCATTCCCAAGAATATTTTACTCATTGCTATCTCGGTGCTTCTCTGGCACACACCCATCAGTTTCCTGCAGATCTTGGGATACAACATCGCTCTATGGAGCCTCCTTTTCTACTCTATCGGCTGGAATACTGTCAAAGCGTATATTGACGCTCTGAGGGTCTGGAGCCGCAAGAGTGAGGAAAATGAGGTCTTGTTGGCTGATAGGGTGTGATCATCACCGGTATATATGACTCCTAATCTGTCATTGGATATGCGCCCTTGATATTTATTGTTCACGATCATAGATATAATGCCATATTTGAGATGTACTCATACTTGTTGATACTAAGCATCACTCATTAAGATTCGATAGATGTAGGCGTGATAGTTTGCTTGACCTGACTGGGCAATTGCTTTACTGAACCCAGAAACCAGAAACCCTCTTTGGTCTGTTCTTTCATTCTCTTTCTGTATTTTCAACTGCTATATCCAAAGACTCACAACACGGTCGCCGCGACAAGAACGGCAATCAACACAAAAGGCACCAGGACATAATGCTTGTAGGAGCCCAGAGGAGGACGACTCTGATGCAGGACTTTCATCTGGACATCCGCCTGAGGGAAGAAGACGCCCCGGCCGTTAACGGCCATCATGGATCTCCGTTCGGGGTACTCCGGCCGACACAGCAGATATCCGACCGGGACCCACAGGTTGCTGGCAGTGAGATAGCCAATATGCAGCAGAGGGGGCCACGCCACTGTGGTGAGCAATTCCATGATCAATGATTTGGGAGCAATGGCATAATTGCTGCTCGCGGCCGCATAGAACGACAACAGAAATGTGCTGAGAGTCGCAAGGTACAGGAAGAGACTGTGTACAAGCCCGTTATCCAGCAAATCTTTGCGGAGCTTCTTGTAGATCGGCAGTGCCGTGAAGCGGTTCCACGAATTCGCGCTACTCCCAGTGACAAAAGAGCCCTTTGGTTTGCTCGAGACGCAGTGAAAGCGAATGATCGCCAAAATATGGGCTAATTGTGTTAGTGTTGTTCGCAACGTCGGGCTGTCAGATATGACTTACCACTTGCAAGCCAACTGTTCTCGAGATGGGCAAATGGGCCAATGCGAAAGCCCGTGTGGGCGGATTGGATCAACCCATGCGTCCACGTCAAGGCGACGTGTAAAACTGCCAAAGTAACTTGGATCCGGACCAACAAGGGCGATGCCGCGGGAATCAGACGCCCCGAAATGCAGAGGACGGGAACTGCCGCGAAGCCTACCATGTACCCAACCAGCCCCAAGACGATGGACACTCCATTGAGGGCAATGCTCCACTGCCGATGCCGGGGAATGCTTTGGTCCGAGGAGGACAACAACACGGATGGCTGTTGGGAGTGGCCAATCTGCCATCGGTTCCTCTGCGCGATATGCCCATCCAGCGACGAGGGTACCAACCCCATCTGCAACGGTTCTAGCACCTGCATCGTACGATACCCCAGGCCCTGCAACATGAGCGACAGCTGCCAATCCTCCGAGAAGGAAAACGTGGGATAGCCGCCCACATCGACGATCGCCTTCCGCCGAAAGACGGCCCCAGATCCCGCATCGATGGCGGCTCCCATCCGGTCAAGCTCGGAATTGTGACATGTGTAGAAGTGCACACGAGACTGTTGCAGCGGGTCACCGTCGGGCAGGTTATAGTAGTATTGCCTCGTCGTGAGCAAAGCGGCCTGAGGATCTCTCAGCAGATGAGGCAGCGTGGCTCGCAGAAAATCGGAGGTGGGCATGCAGTCGGCGTCCAGAACGGCACAAAACTCGGGTTGGACCTCGTTCTGCAACGAAAAGAGCGCATAGTTGAGGTTTCCGGCTTTGGCGAACACGCGGCCGGAGTGCTGTCCGCGCGTGTGGTATGACAGGTGAGGCCATTGGGAGCGTAGTTCTGTGACGGCATCACGCAGCGCAAGGGAGGCCCCATCATCCAACAGAAGCACTCGAAAATGAGTGACTGGGTAGTCCATAGTGCAGGCCGCGCGGACTGTGTCCAAAACCACATCGGTCGGCTCTCCACAGCAGGGAACCAGGACGTCGACCCGAGGCAGATGGTCGCTGCCATGGAGTCGCAGTCTGTCTCGGGGACGGCTTTGCGACGACCTGCCTGCTGCTACCGTGAGGAGCTGATCATTTCGGGGCATGCCTGGCTGGAGTCAGTTGCCATAACGAGATTGCGCACACCGCCTGATTCGTCGATGACTTACGGGCGAATATATACTCGACAAGAAGCATGAGCCATATCTGCCATGTCTGCTGGGATGCCGTGATGACCAGGAACAAGCGCACGAGAAAGTAGAGGTGAAAGGCCCAGACGGCCGCCTTGCTAATGAGATAGAGAGCGTTCCTGTACTTCACACTGCACCGAATGCGGTCGTCTGGTGGAAGCTCCCGGATGTCATACTCGTATTTGGACAGCATTGCAGTAATTGGCTGGGCTATTTTCGTGGATCAGGGGTACTTCCAATCGGCTTTGTTTGTTGCTGTTCCCAAAATGGAACCAATTCTGCACTCTAAAGAACACTCATCATGGTCGAAATTGGACTGCTCGGGTCAACACAATGGGCTCTACGAAAGTCTGAAGTCGAAATATTTATCTCCTGAGAAGACATCTTCTTTGGCTGTGTTCCCCTGAAGGCACGAGTCGGTGAGGGTGTGGCTTTTGTCTAGATGCCATCGCGTCGGCCGATTGGCTGCCCGCCGGTACTCTTGGCCCACTAATTGCCTAATCGGGATATTTGAGGTTCTACGAGATGCGCCGACGGTCGACGAAGAATGAAGAAGTAGGGCCAAGCCGAGAGACGCCTTTTCTTCTTCGGTTGTCTTGCAATATGTTTGGCAAGCCACTCGTTCCTGTTATGGCCTAGATACTCTATCTCAGGTCAATGAATAACCCCAGAATGGATACAAATGAACAGATTGACAGAAATGACAGCCGGAGTTCGGAAGTTGCCGGATCCGTGACTTGGCAAATAGCACAGCCATCTGGCGGCCAATCTAGGCCATAGTATTCATAGGATAATGGGACTAGCTCCGTATGATTTTCAAAGTCGATTCAATGGTGGACTCTAAGTTTTATACAAGAACTGACGCAGTTGTTGGAATTGCAAGAGCAATTGATGTGTTTCCTTAGTATTAGGTGCATATTCCAGTTCTGGATAAGCATATAGATATTAGATCTTCTCCTTCACAAGTGACCAGAGGTTCTTGATTAGATTAAGATCAGGAGAGTTTGGTCCATGGAGGCCAAACCATGACTTTAATCTGTAAGGAATCAAGCACGGTAGCACCCTTCTCACAATCCTTGCAGTATAGACTGAGGCATTATCCTACATGAAGATATCACCAGGCTTAATAAACTCGGGAAGCCATGCTTAATTGCCTGTTACTCCCCTTTATGCAGATTCTGGATCACTATCTAAAGGGACCAAGCCTGTATATATATCTTCACCAAAGCCTGCCTAAAACATCTATTTAACACCTTTCCCTGTCTGTTTGGTGCGGACATTATATTCATAGAGTTAATCTCTTGGTTATTAGAATGTCCAGATCAGTTAGAATGTTGGATACTAATACCTCTCTTAAATAAGCACTCATCACTCCATTTAATACATGCCCAATCTTCCAGTGTAATAAAGTATTGATATTAATTTTCCCAGTTCAGACATGCTAAAGCTTGCTATACAATAAGAGCTGGTTGACAAAGCTATCTCTATTTATAAAGATTATATTCTTAAAGAAGATATATAATGCCCTCTTTTTCACAGTATTATCTACCCCAGTAAGAAGATCTTGCAACTTTAGATGAGGAGAAGACTACCTTGGATTATAGAGATGATCTCTCTGCACCTTAAACTGACAAGGACGTCGAGAATATGGTTCTGATAGATTATCAACGCGTTTTCATTCGTTAGTTGATTTAATAGTTGAAAGGGGAACGTCAGGATGCTTGGCTTTAATCTTGAAATAGCTCTATATAATGCTCTTTAACTCACAGATTCGTGGGTATAATCGAGGGGTTAATTCTTTGCCTTTACAGCCCATTTTGGTTGTTGATATCTAGGTAATGGATAATGGATATCTACGCGTTTGGTGGTATTCTGCTGCTGGCAGAATAGTAGGTGGTAAGGAGGTCAAATACTTTTTGCACCCCACTGTAGTTCGGAAGTTGTACCAAAATAAGTCGCCAACATATGCATCCCACACCTAGGGATACTAAGTAAACCCTTTTTACTAAGTATACCATGTTTTCAACGTATTTTCTGCTGGTTACTGAATGCAGGGATTAGGAACGTCAAACTGCATTATAGTCAGGCACAGGCATCTAGACCTTTGTGGGGGAGTTTGAAGAACAATTACTGTATATGGCCCAAGAACATGCACTGGATAAACTTCAGCCTTTGTATCAAGCCTCGACACCAATGTAACTCTCCCCAGCTTTTAAATTATTGGGGGCCAACACCCTGGCTGATTCTGAAGCACCGGTAGTTGCTAGTCGGCTTTTATGAATTAACTCTTCCTTAGTGTCGAAACTGGACATTATCTGCAGCGACAACGGGCGTATCAGAGTCATCCATCGCGGACGGGCTTGCCAGCGCGGAGATTACAGCGTCGCAATTTAGACGAAGCTTACCACATCCATCCTTCTCGCCGAACCAGTCGGGGCAAAATCTAGCTCGGCATATGTTGTTTAGTATATTGGTCAAAGTCATTAGGCCAAGTCACGCCCAATGCACGTTGCATGAGCTTAATCAATCAACAGCCATCACAGTTACATCGGCTTCGCCGATCACCTTCTCTGTCGATTCAGGCCCGGCCATTTCTATGGCATTCGTATGGAGTTTCCTTGAAAGATTCTTTCACGAGGCTTCATGCGTGTTTAGAGCGTTTCAGCCATGCTTCCCTCCAGCAGTTTCAACGCCAGTTGCAACGCTGTACGGACATTATCCTACTTCATGAAGTTACCATCGCATGCAGACGAAGAAGATGGCGTATCGAGGATGTTGCTCGGATGTATGTCGCGTGCAATTGCTGGTGGACAGCAGCAGGATATGGCATAGTTGGAAATGGGATATAAGACAGTCGTCGCCTTCGCAGCTCGTTCTCACGATCATTCCAACGCACACACACAGTCCTTTCGCCCTCCCCTCAGGATTCTTGACGAATCTGTCCTTTCTCTTCTTGTCATTCTCTATATCGTTTACTTTAGGTCACTCTTTGTATTCCGGCTTCTCGCCCCATCGACTTCATCACCATGTATTTTACCAAAGTGGTCAGTGCCCTCAGCCTGATGGCTGCTACTGTATCTGCCCTGCCCCATCAGATGTCCTCGCGCGCGTCCGGTGCCCAGAACGTTGTGTACTGGGGCCAGAACGGCGGCGGCACTGTCGAGAACAACGATCTGGCGGCCTACTGCACGTCGACCTCCGGCATCGATATCATTGTCCTGGCCTTCCTGTATGAGTACGGAAATGGCAACAAAATCGCCTCCGGTACCATCGGCCAGTCCTGCTACATTTCGCCCTCTGGGCAGCCGCAGAACTGCGACGCTCTAGCCTCGGCCATCAAGACCTGCCAATCCAACGGCGTCAAGGTCATCCTGTCCCTCGGAGGCGCCGTCGGCGCGTATTCCCTCTCCTCCCAGGCCGAGGCGGAGACGATCGGCCAAAACCTTTGGGAGGCCTATGGCAATACCAAGGGCAGTGGAAGCGTGCCTCGACCCTTTGGAAGCACCTTTGTCAACGGCTGGGACTTTGACATTGAAAGCTACGCTGGAAACAACTACTACCAGTACCTGATCAAGAAGCTGCGCTCCAACTTTGCCTCGGATCCTTCCAACAAGTACTACATCACCGGTGCGCCACAGTGTCCCATTCCGGAGCCCAACATGCAGGTCATTGTCACCAACGCTCAGTTCGACTACCTCTGGGTGCAGTTCTACAACAACCCCGGCTGCTCCGTCAATGGCCCCATCAACTACGACCAATGGGTCTCCAACCTGGCCAACACCCCCTCGGCCAACGCCAAGATCTTTATTGGCGTCCCTGCGTCGCCACTGGGTGCGACGGGAACGTCCAGTGGTGCTCAGTACTATCTCCAGCCCAGCGCTCTGGCTTCGCTTGTGGCCAAGTACAAGAATAAGCCAACTTTCGGGGGTGTCATGATGTGGGCCGCCGGCTTTTCAGACGCCAACGTCAACAATGGTTGCACTTATGCCCAGGAGGCGAAGCGCATCCTGACTACCGGGTCTACCTGTTAATCACAATCAGCTGGATGCTCAGCATTGTGGACATTCTTTACTTCTTCTGTCGCTACCTCGCCTGTCGTTCTTTATTCTGTGTGTCTGTTAGCTGGCTGGGCCATCACCAGCAAGTGTACCTGCTGTGACTGTAAACTAGATTGAGATTTCTTGAATATTTGAAGATTTTTCATGCATCCTCAAGACAAATGACACGTAAACACTCTTTTTCATCCGGTAGGAGAATGTTGGCTAATTGAGCGCCTCGACTCCCGCCGGCATTAAGTTGACCACTGCGATATTACCTAAAGTAGTTCTTATATCCCCCTTTTCCCTCGGGCTTATCAAACTGTTCCTCCGGTACTGCTCAACGTCTGTCCAGATGGATATTATGCAGAAAGAACATAACAAGGAACATATGGCCAATGCGCCGATGCAGCACTGGTCAGGGACCACTGAGCATCGGTAGCTACGGTCATTGCCTTTCGTACAGGAGTTCCTAGGACATACTGTGAGCGACAACAATCAAGCTGAATATGGATCACGCTTGACTCTTGGCTCATCAGAGTGGTCCTGCAGCAGCCTACTGGACCGCTTCGCCAGACAGACCACATCACTGTGCAAAGTCCTGCATACTCAATTCCCGGCAAAATATACGGAAGAGAAGAAGGGAAGCAAGCCTCTTCCCAATAGCGCCTCCCACACGCAGAAACAGAACATTGCTGTCACGACAGACACCTCCTGTCGGGTCACAACTGCCTGAATAGACACTTGCGGCGCTTTTGATTGACCCGTGATCAATACCAATAAACGCCTTGGCCGACAAACGACGATTTATTTCGGTCTTCCCATCGCCCATATCGACCAAGCCGAGGACACTGCGATTGAGTCTTCCCAACACGGGCAATACTCCGAAGTTGCACACTGCAATGATGGAGGCTGGGCAGCATGGCTCAGACCAGAGATCACCAATCAATATAAAAACTGGACAGCAGCGCCGTGTTCACTGCTGACAGCGTTACATCGCGGTGGTGATGGTTAAGCCATCTCCGCATCAGGTTCCGTGTTCAGCAAATCGCTTCACTTGGCATGCAGAAATACGAACAGTCCAAAATACATCCTTGGTGGAATTATCTCAAATGCGCAGGTGACCTCCTTCCTGGTTAAACTCGCAGAGTAGGCTAATATCGTCTAAGATCAAAATATATAAAGGCGAGCATATCCGCTTAGCAGTTTCCACCCCAACTCCTCTTCCATCCCCCATCCTGTCAAGATCTTAGCGTTCTCCTCCTCTACGATGAAATTCCTTGCAATTGCTTCTCTCCTGGCCTCGGCCAGCGCCACCATCGTCTATCCCTACACCAGCGCGTCCTGCGGGGGCGATTATGTCGGCAGGATCACCGCCTGCGGCTGTACCAATATGAACCGCAACTACGATATCAAAGGCATCAAACTCGACTTCCAAAGGGCCACGGCCAGCTTCTACAAGGGCAGAGATTGCCAAGGCGTTCGCATTTCCAAGGCCTCGGACCAGACTTGCGTCCATCTTCCCGTCGGTTGGGAATCCTTTGGTTCTGTGAACATTCACGGGGGGACTTGCTGATCGCTGTCGCACATGCTCACGAGCCTTTGCGTCGAAAGTATGTGTGCGGAATATGGGCATACCGTCGAGAACGCATCATTGCTGAGCTAGCCAGGCCAGTTGGGAAATATATGTTTCTTCTATGTGCTCAAATCTCTAGGATAATCACAATCTATTTACAGATTCTTCAAGGGTTGCAATATCTAATTCATGTGTTCTATTCATATCCATGCGCCATCCATCTCAATACCCTTCAAATCAGACGTCTAGGTGGCGTTGTTCTCGCAAGTCCAGCTTGCCGTGGATGAACTGTCATGAATCGCTTTACCCGAAACGTACAGACCCATGCCACACTAGTCTCTGTTAGTTGCTTCCTGGGGAAGGGACAAGACTGATGAGCTTACCAGGGCGCAAGCGAACGCCAGGATGAGGATATTGACGATGGTCAAACAGATCTTGGAGCGAGTTGAGAACCATCGGCCCTTGTTCATCACGAGCCAAAAGATGGCGGGCAATCCGTCTATCCAAGTTAGCAGTTACTCAAAACCTAGCTGGGGGATATCGGTGACTTACAGCTGAACCAACTTCCAAACAAGGAGCTCTGTAGATCTCGTTAGTAAAAGCCCAAGGGAACTTAAAAGTGAATGGACATACAATCAAACTCAGCAGCTCGTTGAACACAGGAATCGACTCCGCGATCACCCAGGCCACGACCCAGACGCTCAACCCGATGGCCACCCATGACCCGATGGCCAGGAAACTGTTCTGGTGCAGGTGGGCGGATCCTCGGAAAATGCGCACGTAGATATACTTGCACGCCACATGGCCAAAGACGACACCGGCAATCACCACGGTGGGAATCGCCAGGCCGTAGGCGACCTTTTTCATCACAGGTCCAGCGGACGACAGAGCAGGAGACGCCACGTCGGGGCCAGCGTAGCGGTAGATGACCATCGCCGTCACGATGTACAAGCTGGTGTCCACCACCTGAAGCATAGTCAGGGACTTGGGGAAGTCCCGGGGATCATGCATTTCCGAGATGAACCCGAAGAAGGCGACATGGGCAACTAACGGAATTAGCCACTGGTGAGAATAGAAATGAAGCGATGTCATGAGGACGTACTGTACGCGAAGATGATGTTGGTTACGGCAAGGAACGCCTTCTGGAAAGAAACCTCGGTGGTCGCATCCACGTGGACATGGTCTGGGGCTTGCACTCCGATCGCGATCATGGTCACCGTGGTAGCTACCACAATACTGATGCAGGCTGGTGCATTGTCAGCCGAATCTGCGGATCAATAGACGAGGAGGAATGCGTACACGCCATAGACATCCAATACACCTTGCCCATCGTGCGCGGCAGGGCTCCAATGCAACTCACCACCAATCCAACCACCCCAAAGACAATGGTACAGGTTCCGTGGTTGGTAATGGTGTTGAAGAGCACGCTGAAGGTGAGGATGTGACTGGCCATCAAGAAAATCAAAAACAGCAGCTGACCGATGCCGAATAACTCCCGTCCAAAGCGGCCCATCAGCAGCTCTCCGGCGTCTCCCATGCTATGGATCTGGGGGAACCGGAGTTTGAACTGTCCCATAACGTAGCCAGTATACCACGAGATCGCGGACAGCCCAAGAAGCAGAATCACCGCTCTGCGTGGTCGTGGTTAGGATGATCGTAAATGCGAGGTTGTTCATGGTACACTTACGGGACGATCCCCAGCGTCGCCACGGCTGATGGCAGAGACAGAATCCCGAGGGAAATATTCTCAGCAACCATCACTATCTCTTGTTAGAGACACATGGTAGAAAACAGGAAGATATGTTGCAGCCTTACATGTTCCACATTGCCTGCAACCAGGTTAGCTGAGGAAACGGACAAGGAGGGAACGAAGAACGAAGCTTACCACCACGACATAACACGATATTTGACCTCTCCGCATTCTTCATTTCCAAAAGGGTCATTTGCCGGCGTCCCATCAGCGTATTCCTTCTTTTCGATGGTGGCATCGTCGGCGGTTGGGTCGTTAACAACGGCAGGGGCCTCGAGATCCCTTGAGACGGTCATGGCGGTACTCTGTAGACGACAACAAGAAAGTCAAAGGAAAGCAAGGTCCAGAATGAAGGAGAATCTGGAGAAGAAGAAAAACGGGGATGAGCCAGATCTTCTAGAAGAAATGTAGGCTAACCGAGTGTTCCTCTTTTCACGGATTTTTTTTTTTTTTTATATTTTTCTTTCTGGCGCTTGGCAACTTCGGTAGGGTTGATGGATCTCGGGTTTACTCCATACGTGAGACTTCTACGGAGTTCTCTCTCTGGTTGCGGTTGATATCTGTCAGCCATGATTATTTCTGCAGCTATGATAATATCAGTCATGGACATTACGTATGAGAAGTCCGATGCTAGCCAGCTGCACACACTGAAATTTTTGTGTGCGAGAATGAGATCGCTGAGATGATCCCTTCCTGTGCTCCACTGGGCAGTGGATCATCGTCATCGTCCATGGATGATATCGCCGCCTCGGATTGGCCAGCAACCCTCACAACGAGGATTCGACATCATCATTTGCCTCTGGCCGTCTGATAGGCATTTCTGGAACATGTTCTTGGGGCACTCCGCATCCACGAAGGCCATTGAGGGATTTTGATCGCGTAACAAGTACTACTCCAGATTCCTGGGGCAAGACATCATGAACCGGTTAGAAGTTGTACAAGGAGTGAAATCTGGCATGATATCTGGAGTACTCCATGGAGTTACAAAAAACCCCGCATAGAGAAGAAGCATCTACTGGGGATATTACGGGGAATACTGAATGGCATATTTGTCGATGATCCGACATCATATCTCGGGATCTTTGTCACCCCCGTAAGGTACACTCGACAATGGCAAGAACTCCATGTATACTATAATATCACACACGGCGTTCAAAGCCGCCGACCGAAACCATCCGGCATCTTATCATCGGCCATTGTAATATTCTACCGAGGAGTCTGCAGTACGTATCATATCGCATCTTCTGCCTGTGATCCGAGTCAATCCTCGTAGATAGTCATATCCGAGATACCGTAGGAAGGCTGACGATGAGGCTACGGGTCCACTTGGCCGGCTCTCTCCCGGGCCGGGTCCGGTCGGTGAACTCTTAGCAGACCGGGAGGGTCAGTTTCAACTTTCATTTGAAGATCATTATTATTCAGGCTCAAATGTAGAGAGCCAAGACGAGGGATGCCGTCTGTGGCGTGCGCCGGATCCGGTCACGTCACGTGGTCCACCGGTCTCTGTTGTTATTCGCAGAGCAAAGCGGAGCATATTCTTTGAAGTGCCACTCACAAACTACCTGGTAGATATCTATAGCGGGGCAGAGAATGGGGATACTCACTCCTTCTGATCACATTTCAACAAAAATCCGTAGCGATAATGCATCTCTTTGACATTGTGGTTCTCATTAGTCAATTCAGAGGGTTCTCTGCTTTTGGCCAAGCCTACCTTAGACTGGAATGTGGCCCCTCTTACATAACACTTTGCCTGGTCAAGTTAAACTAGAGTAGGCATTTTCACATGCCAAGAGTACTTCTCTAGGCATGCTTTATATTTGTATGCACACTACCTTCGGGTGTACTAGAGCGAAATCGACTTTAATAAACACTAGTCCAAACCATCTCTGAGATGTAGAGAGGTAGAGTCCATATGTCATGGCTCTACGGCATCCTTCCGCAAAAATGTCTCTCCTCCAGCAAAATGCAGTTGATCATGCACAACCATAGCCAATCACTCTGACAATGGCCGTCACCTGAGGACCTGGTTAGGACTGATGAGTCTGACTTGCCCATCTAACTAATGATCTTACCGAATAGTAGCAACGACAACAAAAAGAAAAGCTCCAACTACTGCAGCTCAGAGACGTGAGACTCACAGAATGGCTGACGTCAGAACACGTTGCAGGCCATCGTCACAAGCACAAGGGAGATGAAAAGAATCCTTCATTTTGAGACCTCTTGTTACTATTTCTTCGCTATGTGTCCATAGCACCGTGGCTCTGGTCATTTGGTGAAGCTACTTGATTTCCAGGGCAGCTGTATTCCTTTTATTATGGGAGGAGGTGATCGATTTCCTGACCGGCCCTCTGTCTCCCAGCCCCTTCTCCGTCCGGACTCCTCGCTCATTCAGCCCTCTGCGAAGCGACGACATCTTCGCGCCGTAGTCGATCTGGGCAGGTGAGCCATCATTTTCATCTCATTTTTTGACTTAAACCAACGTGCCAACCTTCTAATCTTGTCCAGCAACGGGATACGATGCTCTGTCTCCGACCTCTCCTCCCCGACCGCGCGCATCCTGCCGACCGTCTACCTGCGACGGGTCAACATCTCCCTCTACGACGCCCAGTTTGACGATGATACCGGCTGTCAAATCCCCATCCCCAAGCATGTTATCAAATCGGTAGTCGGTGCGATCGTTCGCTTCCAGATTACGTGTGCGCAGATCGGTGTTCCCCCGGAGAACACCCGCATTATCGCGACCGAAGCCACGCGCACCGCCCTCAATGCGAACGAGTTTGTGGATGCCATCCGACGCGCCACCAACGCCTCGGTGGAAACGCTGCCCAAAGAACTTGAAGGAACAATCGGTGCGTGGGGGATTGCCAGTAGCTTCTCCGACATCGAAGGCCTGGCCATGGATCTGGGGGGAGGGAGTATGCAGATGACCTGGATCGTCTCCCATGCGGGAAACGTCCGCATCAGCCCCAAGGGCTCATTCAGCTTTCCCTACGGAGCAGCTGCCTTGACACAGAAGCTCGGTCAGTTACGCAAGGGGAAGAGTCCAGACGAGGCGCTTCAGGCGGAGGAGGCATTCCGCCGCGAGATGGAGAGCAATTTCCGCAAGGCCTTTGAGCAGCTCGAGATTCCTGAGACGTTGGTGGATAAAGCTCGAACCGAGGGGGGCTTCCCTCTCTACCTGTCGGGGGGAGGATTTCGTGGTTGGGGATACCTCCTGCTTTACCTTCATCAGGTTCGCGGACAGTATTACCCCATCTCTATCATCAACGGCTACTCCGCTCCCAAGGAGGACTTTGAAAACACCGAAGCCCTCAAAAAAGTCGCTCGGACCGCCCGTGACATCTTCCGCGTCTCTGATCGCCGTCGAGAACAGGTCCCCTCGGTCGCATTCCTGGTCAATGTGTTGGCCAAAGCGGTGCCATACGGCATCAAAGAGGCTCAATTTTGTCAGGGCGGCGTCCGCGAAGGCGTTCTCTTCCGGGACCTCCCCCCTTTTGTTCGACAGCAGGATCCGCTAGAGGTAGCGACCACCACGTTTGCCAGCCCGTCCGCGCAGGTGATCGCCTTCCTGATGTTTGGCGCCATCCCCGCACGCACTGAGGAGAGGACCTTTCCCGCATCTGTCCGCGGGACCCTGATCCAGGCCTTTGCCAATTCGCTGTTTGTGCACGCCGCCATGTCCAAGGAGTTGTCCTCGACTGCTGCGCTGTACAGCACCAGCGCCGGCATCCTCGCATCCACTCATGGCATCCCCCATACGGACCGCGCGTGCCTGGCATTGATGCTGCAGGAGCGATATGGAGGGGAACTGCCCCCGCGGGAGAAAGATTTCAAGTTCCGGTTGCGGGAGCTGCTGACCCCCGAGGAGGTTTGGTGGATCCGATACTTGGGGAAGCTGGGACTGGTGATCGCCCGACTCTATCCCATTGGAATGATTGACCCGGCCCGACCGCGCATCGCAACCGAGGCACGATGGGCCAGTAATCTGGGCAAACACGGGAATAAGACAGGTATCGAGCTGAAGTTCTCGGTACAAAAGGTGCCGTATGACCCCACGCAGCTGAAGTCCGAATTGGAGCGAGACATTCGCAAGATCCACAAGGTAGGCAAGAGGAAGAATTGGATCGGGGGGAGAGAGGGCTGGGGGATGAAAGTTAAGGTGGTTGTGGCCGAAGAGGAGATGCTGTGATATCTGAGATACTTCCTGAACAAGCTCACTACTACTTGCCGTCTGTCTGCCAACGCGTGTTCTGCCTCCGGGGTCACTCGCCGACTGCAGTTGCTTCAATGCAGGTTGAGCAAATTCAAGGGATAATCTATAGCTACAATAGTGAAGACAAGTTTGAATATACCCTTTGTGCAATTCAACCTAACCTCTTCAAGAACGTCTCTATGACTGGGAAATTCTCAATCCTACCTTTACTCTCTTACAGCTCCTCGGCCCATCCCTACCAAAATGATTTCCCGGACTGTCTGTACAATGTCCGGCCTGGTATTGTCGTTGCCGCATGGGTATGACGACTGGAGCGGTTCCTACAGCTTGGTGACGAATTTTCTACCAACTTCAACGCCACCATCAGGACGCCACATGCAGTTGTGTACATGACGAGTCTGGTGAACCTCTTTACCTTTGCTGCGACGCCAAATCCCGCAATAATCATAAAGCGTATGTCATTGTCCGCCAGAAAGCACCCGTTGTGTACTGCTGTTATGAAGTACTGCATCCCTTCCTTTGGCTCAAGTCAGAGACATGTGGATCGGTATCATCACGCAACCAACCGACGTCGTCGACTGTCGAAGAACCGCTCAATGGAGGCGCATGGAACCCTCCCAAACCCCGCTTTGACGCCATCTTCGGGCAGACCGTACACACAGTGCCGATCACCAGCGTGGCAGTGGGACTGAAATCCCGGCGTGTAGAGCAGGAAGGAAACAACAGACATTCTCCAAGCACACACTTGCTACATCGGCCTGAGTTTTTTTTGGCTGGTAGGGCAGGAGATTGATCGGCTTTATGTTGCATAGCCGTCGGCTAGCACAACAGCTATGAGTTTTATGCGCTGGCTGTACAGGAAAAGAAGCACGACGTGTTAGAGGCAAGACAAAATCCTGCCCACCAACAAGCGGTGAGTTGCGCCCTAATGGGCGACCGATCAACCTTGTGCAGAACAGTCATCCGTTCCTTGTCCAGTCCTTGTCTAGCCCTTGTCCGTTGATTGGCCTTTTATGGGTTGGGGCCAGGAATGTATCGACTTGTCGCGCCGGGACATTTCACCAAGCTGATGTATTTGGCACTTGAGATACAGTAGTTGTCAGTCTCGATCCCAAGGCTCGGCCACCTGGTCAGTGGCTCCTGCAACCTTACGTATCTTATCTGATTTGGATCAATAGTAATGGAGCGGGCTTTTATCCACTGATGCATATTATTCTTCAAGTCCGATATAAAGGGGGCCAAGACCCACGAGAGTCCTTCCATGGGCATAGTCCAAGCTCTCAAGGATGGAATCGGTCGCCCCCACTTTGCTGGCCGTTGTTCTTCTTGTATACTGCTGTTTTCATCTCGTACGCCCTCGAACACCCCGACTCCCTTTGCCTCCAGGGCCCACCCTTCTCTCCGGACCATTTCCTGAGAAAGATATCGCGACCACATTTCGAAAATGGAATAAAAGATATGGCCCTCTAGTTAGCTTCAAGATTGGAAGCCGTACGTTTGTCGTCCTCGGAACCCGCCAAGCCGCACAGGATCTGCTGGAGAAGCGAGGCAGCATCTACAGCTCTCGGCCCCCTTCGGTATGGATGGAAAAGTACCTCAACAAGGGACTGGCGGCAGCATTCATGCCGTATGGCCCTGAGTGGAGGCTGAATCGGCGTCTGCATGGCTCTCTGCTGAGTGCTCATCACACCAATGCATATCGTTATTTGCAAGATATCCAGAGCAAGCATCTCCTGCACGAGTTTCTCTCGACCAATGACTTTCCCCACTGCTTTCATCAATACACGTCGAATGTGATGTTCACTCTGGTGTACGGAAAAGGAAGAGGCAAGGACGACAACGATCACAGAAGATTGGAGCAAATCAACGAAATGGCCGGGTTTGTGTTGCAAGGGGCGTCTTTCTGGACCGTCCTGATCGACCTGTTCCCCATTCTCGACCGTCTACCCCGGATTATCTGGAAATGGAGGACAGAAGCCGCTCGGCTTCATGACAAGACTATGGTTGTGTATCGCGAATACTGCGAGGAGGCTCTTGCAGCAGAGTGCTGGAACTGGAGCAAAGAAGTTGCACAGAAACCGGATATCATGCAGCTCCCTTGGGACAATGTATGTTACTCGCTTGGGGAACTGTATGTGGCAGGCATTCATACAACCAAAATGGTGCTGGAGCTGTTTGTCATGGTGAGCATCTTGTATCCTGACGTGGTACGCAAGGCACAGCAAGAGCTGGATTCGGTGGTGGGTGCAGATCGGCTGCCTTCATTTGACGACATGGAAAGTCTGCCGTATATCAATGCGATCATTTCTGAGCTTCTGCGATGGCGACCAATATCCCCTATTGCCGTGCCACATGCGGCAATACAAGACGACGAATACATGGGGTATTTCATCCCCCGAGGTGCAACAGTCATTGCGAATCAATTCGGAATGAATATGGACGACGCATTGTTCAATGACCCATCCAGCTTTCACCCGGAACGGTATGTAGAGAATCCGGATCTTCCAGTGTCGGCTTTTGGGTTTGGCCGGAGAGCCTGTCCCGGTCAGCGCCTGGCTCGGTCAAGCTTGTTCATTGTTATTTCGCGTTTGCTTTGGGGTTTCAATATCACATACGCAGACAAGGAGCCACCGACCGAGGAATCCTCGCCCGCTGCAGTCAAGGCCACATTTCGAGTCCGGAGTCCTCACAGACAAGAAATCATAGAAAGGAATTGGGCCTTAGCAGAGAAGAATGAACGCCTTGTCCTGTCACAGATCGAGTCTAGAATGCATAGTATATAAAGAGATTCAATAACCAGTTGCCTACTTTCCTGTCGGTATCCCATATCTACAATGCACAACAATGTATAGTTCAAGTACGCTACAATTGATGCGCTACCAACAAACTTGCAAGTAAGACGTCTCCATCAACTCAAGGCTTTATATAAGTTAGCAGATACCAAGACGTTCGTCACCGAAAATGAAGCCAGACTGGACAAGTTCTAATGTCAGAGTACTGCGACGACTGTATTACTAGGGCATATGCACAAATATTGCCTATGATTGGTCGAATCTGCATTATGCAATTTCTTATGCTGACATTACATAATCATCCTGCTTCCCCGCAAAAGCTTCCCCAGATGTCTCGGATCATCCGTTCCTTCATCTGCCGCGACCTCTTGGGTATCGCATCAGATCTCAAAAAGAAAATGGAACCAATGAATTCAGTATGAAGACCTCACCAACTCATGTCAATCTAGCCATCAGTCCTCATCAGTGTTCCGTCTGCTTCAAATCCTACAAGCGACGGGAGCATCTCCAACGACATCGCAATTCCCATTCCACCGACCGGCCCCATCGATGTCCAGCCTGTCCGAGTACGTTCCAGCGAGCCGACGTCCTGCGACGACACCTCCGAACATGCGACCGTATTATTTCTAGCGCTTATCAGGGAGCGACTCGTAAGCGCGCTTGTGATCGCTGTGCGCGTCAAAAAAAAGCTTGCAACGGCGCCCGACCGTGCCAGAAGTGTTCCAAGAAGGGAGTGGAGTGCGCATATTCCACACCGAAGAATGATACCCAGGCGGTCGAGGAGATAGCTTCTACATCAGTTCCCTTAGGTGCTGATAGTAGTAATGTGGCAGCAGCAAGTGTTGATCTGTGGACGCCCCACACTGGAGACGCCGAGCAGCTGGATAGCACCGCATTTGACACTCTCGCGTGCCCTGATCTCGATTTTCTTCAATACCCCGACCAGACATGGCAAGATTTGTTTAGTATAGGTTTAGAGGATCCCTCTCTGGCGAGCGCAGACCGCAACTACTTCTTCCATTTCCTCGACGCTTTCACCAGTCGGACTGGCTTCGTCTCGTCCTTTGAATGCGGAACACTGGAGCAGAGATTGGATGTCTTGTATACCATCGAGGAGAAAGAACGGCTCACAGACTCCTTTTGGACCCTTAACGTGGACCAATCGAGCAATCAAGATAGCAACAACTCGTGCGCGGACTCATCGCAATGGTTTAATGACCCGCTGGCCTTGCAGACACATCAGATTTCCCTTCTAATAAAGGAGGTCGTCATGATAAAGCCGCGAAATAGCTGTGTGACCGTCTCGTGGTCTCCAGATATCGAGCAACGATGTCTGCAGTTCTTCTCTCCTACGAGTCTCCGGAAGTACATTGAGCTCTACTGGTCGATCTGGTCTCCAAACGTGAACTTTCTCCATCGACCAAGTTTCCACCCGGCGAGCTCTAAGCCAATCCTTCTGGCGTCTATGGCGATCATTGGTAAGGCAGGCTCTCTCCCATCTGAACATGGCCGGTGCTGATTGGAATTGAATAGGCGCCTGTGTTTCGCCAAACCTCGAAGATAACGACAATGCTCGGATGTGGTTCAATTGTGTAGAAGAAGCCGTTTTTGCCGATGAGGACTTCAACCGGGATGCGGTCTCACCGTTCCACCCTGTTCGTGACAGACAGAAAATGCAAGCTCTGCAGGCCGCTTATATGGTCTGCTTGTACCAAAATTGGGAAGGCACTGATGCCAGCAAGAAGCGCATTCGCAGACATCGCTTTAGCACCGTCGTTTCGGTAAGCCGGCTAGACTGGAGTTGCAGGTGATTTACTGATCAATACCAGACCGTCCGTGATCTTGATATCACGACAGCGCGACATGTCGACTACAACGCGAAGCACAGGGATGAGTTCGACTGGAATGAATTTGTCGCTAGGGAAGAGTTGATCAGGTATTGTCAACCGAAATGGAAGTACAGTGATTGAATTAACCTTCACTGCTAGGACTTTTATCTGGGTCTTTCTGCTGGATACAGCGTTTGTCACATTCAACAATCTGCCGCCACGCATGGTTGTTAAGGAAATGAAGATGCATGTGGCAGCCCCCGAGTCTTGTTTCCAAGCACCTACGGCCGATCAGTGCTACGATGCAATTCGGAATTGGATGCCTTCTGCGAGCCTCTGTTGGAAGTTTTCCTTTCGTGCACTGTTCGAGACCCTGTGCATAGACGACCTGCCACTGAAGATGCAACAAGCCGTGGCAGCCCTGGGGCCCTTGAACCTCTTCACGATCATATCCGGTTTGTGCCCTTTTCACAGCCGAGCTCTCAGCTTCCAAAATACTGACATGCGCAGGCATTCACTCCTTGGTATTCCAATACCAGAGTTTCTTCAGCGCAGGGCACCTGCTCCCACGGACCCACACCGCGCTGCAAAACTTCAAGCATATTTGGCACCTCCATGAAACCACAACAATCGGGCAGTTGCCGCATACGACCGTGGATGAAAGCAATTTGAACGCAGACAACATGTGGAAGAGGGTGGGATTCTGTCGCCACGCGGGCGATTTCTGGCTTCTCGCAAGTGTCAAAGTCGATCGATTGTCTGTAGCAGAGGCAGAGCAGCACAAGGCAATCAGTGGAGAATTTGTGCTTGAAGACAGCGAACAGAGTGACTCGATCTTGTCGCAATACGATCAAACGAGTATGCGCCAAGTCAATGAACTTATTTCGGAGTTTCAAAGAGTGCACCTCGGCGACATGCCCACCGCTGTGGATTGACCGACTCAAGCAGTTCTATTATTTGAGTGAACTATGATCTGCCGTTCCAACATAGTCGCTGAAATATGCCACCATATTGCGACCAATGGCGATTTCCAAACCCACGAGTGGGATGTACCGATCGTCATCCCACCCGTACCCGACCCCCACCTCCTCCTCCGACATGGAGTTATCCCACTCGATAACCGATAATCAAACCCCAGATTTCACATCTATAAATTACGACTATGGATTATGCCTCACTGCAGGGATACTTCTGGACATTGATTGATTTCAGCCAAGTCCAGACTCGAAGCGTATATCGGATATCATGCTGTCTTTAGCGCTCCTTGGGGCTGTCGGAGCCCTTGTCTTTCTGGTGTTTCGTCTCCTATCCATAGGTCAACGGCCCAAAAACTACCCTCCTGGACCTCCCACCTTACCTCTCATTGGTAATATTCATCAGGTGAGATCGTATGCTGTTCACAGTCTCTGAATGCCGACTCACACTTGGCAGATGCCCACTCGCGATGCCCATCTGCAGTTCCAGAAGTGGGCACAAGACTACGGGCCCGTCTACAGTCTGATTCTCGGGACCAAAACTATGGTCGTACTGTCAAGCGATCAGGCTGTCAAAGACCTGCTGGATAAGCGAAGTGCGATGTACTCGCACAGACAGGAGATGTACATCGGCCAAACGCTATGCAGCGGAGGCCTTCGATTGCTTATGATGGTAGGTCTTCAATGGCCCCAACAGCTAAGCGTGCTGGCAGTGCTGACCCCAGCTAGGGATACACCCCAGTCTGGCGAGGAGTATGTGCCCTTCAATCACCAGTTAGCTTCATGAGCCTGACAAATTACAGTTTCGAAAAATGGTTCATGGCCTCCTCAACGTGACCGCTGCCAAGTCCTATGTTCCCTACCAGATGCTTGAGAACAAACAGATGATGTATGAGTTTCTCACTCAGCCAGAACGGTTCCTATATAGCATCCGTCGCTACTCCAATGCTCTAACAACGACTATGGTCTTTGGGTGGCGCACGCCGACCTACGAGGACGAGAAAATGAAACAGCTTTTCGACGGCTTCTCTGAGTTTGCCGAGATAAACCAGACGGGAACAGCCGCCCTTATTGATTTCTTTCCGTGGTTGAGAATGCTGCCGGACTTTCTCCTCCCGATGCAGAAGAGAGCCAAGGAACTTCACCAACGGGAGAAGGCTCTGTACGTGGGCCACTGGCTGCGAGCAAAGCAGGACATCTGTGACGGAAAGATTAAGCCCTGCTTTTGCGTCGGTCTGGCCGAGGCCCAAAAGTCGAACGGATTCAGTGACGACCAGGCTGCGTACATCTCCGGGACGTTGTTGGAGGCCGGTTCCGACACCACCTCCAGCACTCTGTATGCGTTCGTTCAGGCGATGCTACTCTTCCCTGACGTTCAACGCAAGCTTCAAGAGGAGATTGACTGCGTCGTGGGACCGCGCATGCCGACAATGGAGGATGAGCAGGACCTGCAGTATGTTCGCGCTTGCATGAAAGAGACCCTGCGCTGGATGCCAACGACCATTCTCGGCGCGGTGCCGCACGCCGTCACACAAGATGACGAGTATATGGGTTATCTTATCCCCAAAGGGGCTGGCGTCGTGAACAACGTGTGGGCCATCCACATGGACGAGAAGCGTCACCCCGACCCGCGGGTGTTCAACCCCGATCGGTACAAAGATGATCGCCAAACCTTGGCTGAAGCAGCCGCTAACCCTGATGCCACCAAGCGCGATCAGTTCACGTTTGGTGCTGGTCGCCGAATTTGCCCTGGAATCCACATTGCCGAGCGCAGCCTGTTCTTGGGAATCTCGCGCATGATGTGGGCTTTCAACGTGGAACCAGCATTGGATGAAAGGGGGCGGCCCATCTTGCCTGACGCAGATCGTTTGACTCAAGGGTTTGTCTGTATGCCAGAGGAGTTTCCTGCTCGCATCACGCCACGGTCGCAGGCCAAGGCGGATGTGGTCATCAAGGAATGGAACGAAGCAGAGCAACAATGCTTGGATCCAGAAACCAAGCAGTGGTTGTTGCTCTCGCCAGGGAAATGAGGTGTTGGCGACTTGTGATACCTTGTCTTTATGATGTACCAAATGGTTTATGGATTCTCTCGATGTGACATATGCGTATCTGCTTGTACATAGTTCGATACCTGATACAAAACTCTGGTCTTTGTTCACCTCTCCTTTACAATGAACCTCACAGGACA